TTTTGTATATTTTACAGATATCACATCCACCAGGATTCATTATAGCAAAATAATAGTTTACAAATGAATTCAGCTGTGGGGAACAGCAAAAGTACGGCTTGAGAGGGAGGGGGGTATGTATGTACCAGGCAAATATAAGGGCTTTAACATGGGATTTGGGGGTAGGCACCCTGTACAAGTAGGGTTTTGAAGGGAGGTTGAAGAGGTTTGTTACCTTCAAAAGTAGGATTTTAACGAGGGTCAAGGGGGTAGGCCCCGGTGTAGACACCCTGTAAAATGGGTCTTTAACAGGGGTTGAGGATTGATTGAAGATATCCTGGAAAAGCTTGGCTATAACATGGGTTAGTAGGGGCTTAATGTGGTTTTAAAAAGCTCCAACGTTCCTCTTAGGGTGGTTAGTCACACTTTTTTCTCTAAAACTCAATTGTATTGTTGTAGCCAGAATGTTTCGGGTACGAGACCAACTGCGAAAGAAAGTTATCAAAAGGATTAATGCAAATGCCTTTTATATGAACAAAATGTCAACTACGGGGGAGTTTCCTGCCCCTGCGATCTTATTTGTCCATTTAGAATAAGATAAACCATGTAACCAGGTCCATGTATTCCATTCTGACAGAATTTCAGAATCAATTTCAAATTAAGTTTATTATGTTTGAAATCCCGAATGTCCCCGGGGGAATCTCTCTTCGAAATTATAATGTCAGATAGATATAGATCCGCCAAATTAAAATAAGTCAAATTTCAGTTGGAATTTTTGTCAAATGCACTTCAGAAATTAAACTTCTGGGGCCCCCTTTCCTGTCAACTGAGCATGTCATCAACATGTCATACATTATCCCAAAAGAAATACAGAAAATATCTTAGTAAATACCCGTCCTAATGACATAAACCATGGGCTTTCAAGAGAATCTTTTGATAGCCCATGTATAAACATAGACAAAGATTAAACTTCAGTCCTGATTTCGCCAAATTAAATAGCTGCCAATATTTGAAATTGAGCAAATTCTTCAAATTAAGTAGCGTGAAAATAAGTGTATCTAAAGTATCTGTAAGGGGGGGGGGGCTCAAGGCATAAAGATTACCGGGAGATACAAACCGGAGAAATAGATGAGATGATGAATATGTATTGTATGTTTTCCAGTTTTAATTATGTTGTTTGTTATTGGTCCTAATATGATTAGGGACCACAAATATGTATGTGACAGTTTTGAAGTTCAAAAAACGGGTAAAATTGGTTAAAGCAAATTGTATATGATAATGATCAGAGCCGGGATTCAGAGATACACAACTAAAATAACGAGGAATTAAAAATAGCCTATAGACCATGTATACTGCAATCATGGACTCACTTGAAAGCCCATGCTGTAATCAAGGTAATTTAGGGATATCCAATCTTTGAAGAAGCAAAAACGCAATCAAACAGTTAATTAGTTATTGTGTGATCTAGATTACAGATCAAAGAAATCAATTCCAAGATCATTATTTCTATGTATTTAGTTCGTTGTCTTTTTGAAAAAAGGTACAAGAAAACTATGTATTAATATATCAAGGCCAGGGTGCTCCTGAATCTGATAGTTAAAGCGTATGCTAGTATGAGGGGCGACGTTTAAAGTAAAGCATTGTTTTAAATCCTGGGAAAATGCACTCCCCCATTTTACAAATATTGTGTGATGCCAATGAACCCTGAAATTTGTTTTTGTTTTCGCGAGCAATTAACAAATATGTTTATGAAAATCTTGCGAGTCCAGACATATGATTCTCATTCTGTCTCAGCTTAGTGTTGATTAGATTTTATCCCCACTCTTCCGACGTCTGTGTCTCCCTCATTTTTACCCTATATTCAGTTTCTTTTTAAACCAAATTTACAATATCCGTTCACATATATAAATCAGTAGTTGTTTATGACAAGATTATTTTTATAGATTATCAAAAATTAAGGTAGCGTATTCTGTAATTTCAACTATATGTTAGCCCCCCCCCTCCCCTTCGCCGACAGTAATGTATTGTTTAAAATAATACTGCATCCACCGGCCAATTATTCTTTCACCATTTTGAGCAGTTTTCGTGTGATTTTGAACAAATATCAAATGTGACCCCACCCCTGGAATAAGTTAGCCCCCCTCGCCGACAGAGATGTCTAGTTTAAAATAATACTGTATCCCCTGGCCAATAATTCTTTCACCATTTTGAGCAGTTTTCGTGTAATTTTTGAGCAAATATCAAATGTGACCTCACCCCTGGAATAATTCAAAAGTCCCCTTAGCAAATGCTGGATTTGGCCCTGGTACTTGTTGACATCCCGTATTTAGCTAAAGCAAAACATGAAATATTAACACGTGCGGTAAATTATAATTTAAATGTAGCGCAAAATCTCACATGGTAACGACTAATTTTGTCTTGTGTCTAACCACGGCGTGCTTAGAGATTTCTAGACTCTAGTCACGCTCTGTCCACGCCAGCTCTAAGCACGTCTAAGTACGCCTAGAAATCTCTAGATACACGGAGTTCCTAGACCGACTAAGCACGTCTAGAAATTACTAGAAATTCCACATTTGATGCAGTGTTGATTACCCATATACTGTATCACCTAAAGAGTGATTAAATGTTTTGTCCAGGGTACGATATTTGGTACATCCTTTAGAACTATAGACAAGTACGATCAGCCAATTAGCCATGCGGATATGATAAGTTATGTTAAATTATAGATGAAAAAACAAAATTATATATTTAAAATCGTTTTGTATCATTTTCTGTCGCACTGTGTTCTCCGAATTGTGAAAAAATGGGATTCTAGATTATCGTAATTTTTAGTCCTCTGCTAATGACAGACATAATTCAGCCAAAGAGGAAGTATATTAAACAATTGTAATAAAAATTATTAGAGAACAGTAGGTATGTTAATGTATTAGGTCAAATATCGCTTTGCTATAGTGTAGTACCAGCTCCTTTATTAGACATCCTAGAGATTTCATACCATGGACTATCAGGGTTATTTGAATGTTTACATCATAAATAAGCTATACAAATCATTTTTGACATTATCATAAATATGGCATTACCTCATACGATAGAAATCGTAGTTCAATTACCTCCTTGTGGACTTTAAAAACTACTCCACGCATTCTAATATATAAGGTAATGACGTGATACTTTCTTTTTATGTATACAGTTCTAGGACTCCGATTAATGGATTAAATCATAACCCTAGTAAAAAAGGCCTCACGAATAATGTCATATGAGCTCTAACTAAATATATGAGCTTTAACTAAATAGCGTTACCCAATGAAACATTCAGGCATTTATGATAATTAATTAAGTTGTCTGGCATATGACACAACTCCAAAAATATTCCTTGAATCAACCTGGCAAAATAAATAAAACTAATCAGATTTAAACTTTCAACAATATTCCTTGATTACCCATATACTGTATCACCTAAAGAGTGATTAAATGTTTTGTCCAGGGTACGATATTTGGTACATCCTTTAGAACTATAGACAAGTACGATCAGCCAATTAGCCATGCGGATATGACACAATGGATTAAAACCCTCTTAGGGAGTCCGAAATCAGAGGTCAATTCATTCCATGAAGTGAGGAATTATTTTGGTACACCATTTGTACTTACTTTGATATGTTCAAATACAGGGTGTGCAAAAAACGCAGCCCAAAGAAATCCAATTGTCTTCATTTTTAAAGGAAAGAAAGAAGAGACTGTGTTGAATAGCTTCCGTTGTTATTAAGTTGTAAAATATAATTACCTTGGACACCTGCTCAAAAGACTATAGTATTAGGAAGATACGAAAAACGCAGTCAGAGGTGACTGCCATTGCAAGAAAACCGATTCACTTTCTAACCATTGTGTTTTGCCACTTCAGATTTGACACAAATTTTCCTCGTTCAATGTGTGGTGAATTTGTGGAGTTTCATTAAAATCACTCGAGTGACTTTATAGTCATGGTCAAAATGCCTTCTTAAGTCTGAACCAGGGCGTTTAACTGTGTTTTGAAAGCATTTCGACCACAACTGTAAAGTCCCTGGAGTGATTTTGATTTCACTCTACTTTACCATACATTGAATGAAGATGATTTGTGCCAAATTTGAAGAGCCAAAACACTATGGTTAGAAAGTTATTCGGTTTTATTGCTATGACAGTCACCCCTGACTGCGTTTTTCGTATCTTTCTCATACTTATGTATTTTTTAGCAGGTGTCCAAGGCATCATGTTTTATAACTAACCAACTACAGGGTCTATACATACACAATCTCTTCTTTCTTTCCTGAAGAAATGACCATAATTGAAATAGTATTTTCCAAGATATAGTGATTTCTTTGGGTTGCGTTTTTTAATGAAATTAAGAAGAGTAAAATTAATATAATATTTCTTGAATACCCCAAACTTTAGTTTTGAGATTATATTAATGACACCAAAAAGTTGAAATAAATTAGTATAAAAAATAAAAAGAAACTTACAATTTCAGTACTGTACTTTATTGTAATTTATTTGATCACTTTCTTTTCCGATCCGTTTTAGATGCTAACATCAGTCTAGTACAGTCCAGTTATTATTCGTTTACGTAACTACCTCAAATAAATAAATTTAAAAATGTTCAACACTTAATACTCAACGATGACTAATGCAAGATCATAACTTATCTTTCTTTTATAATAATAATATCATTAGGGATTTTTATTAGATCACTAGATCTTTTAGTTTTTGTTTTGTTTTGGACATCCTCTAATAAAATCATGACATAATGGTGAGGTAATGCTATGAGGTAATACGTTATGATATGACTGTCAATGAAGGTCACTGTTTGAACTTAAACAAACACTCTACTGATCATGAACTGTTGCATTAACAAAAAATGTTAACATGTCATTTTAGTCAATAGTGTTTTAAGTTTGGGGTACAGATAGCTACAAATCCAGATGTGGTAACCCTCAGTGTCAGATAAGTTCAGTTAAATACAATATTGTAGTTAAAACTATTTTATTTCTGTGTACAGGTATAGTACATCGTAATAATCAAATACATAAGATGCATAATAAAACGATATACAGTATTATATTTTGTACCGCCACCAACCGATTCCGCCCAATGAGTCACTATCTAACTTATTCTGAATGCTACCTCTAGTGGTTAACTCAGGCCAGCATTTATTTGGGTTACATTTAAAATAGCCTAACATCTGAAAATGTCTGAAAATTTCATCGTAAATGATATAACATTTATATTACGAGTTTAACCGTTAAACTATGAGATCGAGGAGATATTGCCACAAACACACAATATAATGTACAGAAACATTGCTCTAAAAATGTATAAGCTGACTATTGTATGTCTAGACTAGATATGATAAAGCAAAGTAAATTACAAAAGAATCGTTAAATCCCAAGGTTCAATAGATCTTTAAAAGGGGTTTGAAAACGATTCACAAGTTATTAGATATTAATATCCCTAGATAATGAATTTACAGACCTGTATCACTTTAGATGCTGGTTATTTGACCTGGACTTTTATTCTGGATTGTCCTATAAGACCACATTAATGAATGCTGGAAATGTAGTTATTGTTCCACATGTTAATATTCATTAAGGATTCAAAATATTTCGCAGTAATAAAATTCTCTGAATTTAAGTAGACGATCGCTTCAGCAGCATCTATTTTCGATGTAATCCTGAATTCTACCCCAAAATGACTGTAAAATAATGAGTATTACAGTAATAATGAGAAGGACAATTAAAGATACAAGATTAGAGGTGTTCTCATGAAAAGGGGGAGATGCATCGGGTAAACAATCCTTTGTGTTCACTCCCAATGAATACTTAAGAGTTGTCAAGTTACTGTCAAACAACATTGGGGCTTCTTTATACAAGAACTGCCTGATGCGTGGACTAGTATCATTAAGAACAATTTGAATACTACTACCACCATTAATAAGCATAGATATATTGGCCTCATTATGTATTACGTCCAGTGTTTGGTAAACAACTGAATCCAATAAAATCAGCAGTAAGGTAAATATCACAAATGTCATGATGACACAAAGACCCCAAATCAATGTCGAAAACTCTTGTTTCAACGCAATCACTTTTTCAAAAATAGTTGACACAGATGAGATCGCTTGTGATCTAACAACACGTTCCGGCTGCTTTTCTGCTCGCAGACACCCAATTACCGACCAACATCCTATGAGGAACACAAAAATGCCTAATACAATTTGCACAATAATCACGATAGTGGGTAGTTGACGCACAAAATCCGTTGTGTGTTCAAACACATCACTAACCTTGTCCGCGATAGTAAAAAGACTTTCGGATCCTGTAAGATTTGGGTAAGTAATGTGATGTGTCGAATAAACGTCGTTGGCATAATCTTGAATGTCATTTGAAGAAAATGTGATGTTATTGACAGTTATGTTAAAGTTTATGTTACTAATATCAATTTTGACAAGTTTGAACTCAGAAATTATACGTTCTACGGCTAGTTTTGGTTCATCGATAACTTCCTTTAACACATCAATTGGCAGAGTGGCCGTTCGTTTAGCTACATCCTCATAAATCTTGTTTCGGTTAGGAGTTGATTGATTTACCATGTGGATGACCATTGTTCCCACACAAGATATCGATCCTGGAATTTTCTTCACATTCTCGAACGTATTCGTGATTGGTCCAGTGTCCAAAATCTCTACTAGAAACGTCAGCATTAATACTAAAAGTAAGGCGTTTATACAAGGGTGTGTCAGAAGATTTACAATACATCGCATGCCTTTAGATTTGCATTTATTTGATTTGTCGTTGTTCAGTTGGCTGTTACGCGTATTATCGCCCACTGCATCGTTTGATACGCCAACTCCTGTCAAAACCGATTCGCCGCTGAAGATGCAGTACCTGTAACTGTGGAATCTGAAAAAACATAATATAAGATAATGGAAACATTAAACCCAAATTAAATGTAAGACAACCACTCGCTAGTTTATCTAAATCAAAAGCCAAGCGTGTTTGTGACATTTACGTTCTTAGAAGTTGATAGATTGTCCACATTGCAAAACACAACGTGTTTTTATTTAATACTTTTTATTTATGATTTAATCCCAGATATGGCAATGATGTATACGCCCCAATCCCTCCATTACTCCACCGTATGAAGTTTGATTATGGACAAGGGGAAAGGCCTTCGTCTGTCCGTCCGTACGTACGTCTATGTGAGTGATAACTTAAATACACCCGTCGATTGACGGAATCGGTTTTTTAATGAGCTGATTAAAATTCTGAAGGTTGATTGCTGCTTTTTTATAAATGTCTGACACTTTTTTAATTTTTTTCGTTGCTGCCAGGTTAATTAAGTTAGCGTGTGCCATATTGTAAGAGGTATCTGATATAATGAGTACCGATTCACATCTAAGTAATTTTGAGGTTCGTCATTCAACAAGGTTTTGTCAGACTCACCATCTAATAGTTTATCTACAGCTCTATCCGACGTGTTCGGTCGTTGTTTTAACTCTATGTCATCATTGCGGTTGCGTTCATCATTCCCTTTTGGTTTCATGTTAACTGTTTTGGGAGGGGGGCGTCTTTTTGGCTTTGTCTTGGGCATACCGGTGAAAATATACCTGGAAAATGGGCAAGTGTGACTGTCACTCAAAACAGAGACTGCTCAAAACAATAATTAAACGGAAGGTCTGAAACAACGGCCTGTAAAGAAGAACAGAACATAATTATAGGAATGAAGCTGATTTCCCACTTCGTGGTTGCTCTGAAAATTGTACTAATGATAAGGACACAACAGAGTGCTGATAAAAAGCTAGCAGAGTCTTTAAAACATCTGTACTTAGGAAAGAGTATGCCATTTAATTGAAATACCTAGCACATATAGTTGCCCTTGAAAAATGTCTGTGTGCCATTTTCAAGTTAATCACGATCGTTGATTTCGCCCCTACTGATGATCGAGGTATGCAAAATAATGAAATAAAAGCTATAATAAGTGGGTTATTAAAAGTAATTAAATCTTATTTATCAACTTATATTAACGTTTTGTTTGTTAAATTCTAAACCATATACAATTACTAGAGTACTTCATCATTATTTTTCAACATGTTTTAAATATCAAGAAATATTCAAAAGACATACATTTTGAATGGAAGTTTTGTTTATAAATAATCAGTTCACTACACGAGTAATAAAGTGAGCCCAGAACTTGCTAATGATTTAAACAACATAGCTTAACTCCAGAATTTTAATGAGTGTGGTAAGGTACATTCATGTATTAATTAATCTACAGAACATTGAGCCATGTGCTTAGATTCTTTTTGACATTGCAAACTATTTCGAACAGTATCACTTAAAAGAATGAGTTTTTTTGCAAAGGTTTAAAGTAATCACGGTTGAAACCTGACGTTTTGACTGCATCGAAGCACATTTTTTCTGTTCCTTTTGATTCTATTTATAGATTTTCACTCAGCTGAAAACTATACGATCACTCTCTCCGAATCAGCTTCATGTGTCTAGAAATTGATTTTTCAGAAGGGAAACAATATGATTGAAATTGAAACAGAATCTAGGTCAGTAGAATCTGAAAGTATCATTTCAAATACTGTGTTATTTTCAGATTGGCTAAATATTGAAACATCATGCCTGACTATGTGTGAATTATCAATCAATACGTGCAAGGCAGTGCAAACTATCAAGTTCTCGTGATTTCTCAATGGCGGTATTCGTCTAGCAATCTAATATAGATTTAGTTATCCCCGCAATGATCTGTTAAAAAATAGCCACTGCCACACAGTTTGGCATCTATATTACTGACACGTATTTTCATATTTTCATTACAAGGTGTTGTGCGTATTCGTCGTTAACATTCAGACATGTGATCCAAGTATTAGACAAGGGTGAATAATCACAATTGCGCACCCTGTTCTGCGCAAGCATGGTCAGACCAGTTGAAGGTGAATACGTGTCTGGACAAAATGGGACTTTAATTTCTTTTTATAAAATAGAAATATCTGCGAAGCTATTGTTAAGAGGAAGTGTTACATTAATGTGAATTGTTGATTTAGATTGATTCCGAGCCCATTACAGTCTTCCTAATTTGAGTGGAGACCGGAATTTTAAAGTGTAAATAGAACTTCCGATTCAGAAAATGAACATTGATAAAATAGTACTCACCCCACCGATGTTTCTGTGTTAAAACTTGTGAAATGGTTGCTTCCGTCAGTATCTACCTATATAATGTATTACATTTGTTAAATTGTAATTGTTGTACATGTCGGTGTACATGTATTTTACTACTATCTCGGACTTTGATTTGATCACCGTGTCAAGGTGTTCTTCCAATGTTTATAATTAATCGATATAAGGGGCCCATATAAAATGCATACTGAGTCCCCGAATGAGTCACCCACTCCTTCTGCAAACACAGAAGTCGAGGTCGAACTGTATGATATTGTGTACATTTGGGACTTTTAAACTGCTAAACACACATGGGCGATTACAACGGAGAAGGGTAGAGATGAAAGAGAAAAATAAAAAAATGTTAATGAAAATTGATGCGCACGTTTTGAAGTAAAACAGAATGGTAATAGTTAAGGTGGCCTAAAATGCTGCTTATTTTTTCGTGAAGCCACTCAGTAAAATTACGATTTCTCTGCACCCTGATGTCCAATCAACATCATTCGAGTATCTATGTGTTCCTGACACGTTTGGGCATACGTTAATGACAACGTCTACCCAATGTTTGCACGAAAATTGACGTAATTCATGACTGAAATCGGGAAAAAATATGTGATAAAATCTCTCAGAATTTTTTATAATAACTATTTACAAAAATCTTCCAGAGACACAAATCCATTTAGGTAAGGTTTGTTTTAAAGTCGAAAAGTCCCAATAAGACAATACAAACCCAGATAAAACCCGGAAGACTGCAGATTTCATGTAATGATTTACGTTCATGTAAACAAGTACATATAATCCCCAAATAAAACACTGGCCTACGTGACATGTAATAACATGTTCAAACTGAAATATAGAAAATGCCAACATAGCATTTGCTTCCGTGTTCTGTGTGCCCCTCTACCTGCTTAATAAGGCAATGTATCTTCAAATAAAACCTTAGCAAGTAGATTAGAGTCTCTGGAACACTTTTGTAAATAGTTTTCACAAGCAATTTTTTTCCGGGACATATAAATCGTATGTCCCTCTTAAAAAAATAAATTTTGAAAAAAATCTTTAAAAAATAAAAATAAATAAATTCGGAAAAAAATTGAAAATAAAAATTTGAAAAAATTGTGAAAAAAATTGTGAAAAAAAATTTAAATGTTGAAAAATTTTGAAAAGAAATTCTGAGAAAGAAATTATGCAAAAAAATGTGAAAATTCAATTAACTTCAGAAAAATTGAAAACAAATTTGGAAAAAATTTGAAAAATTTGAAAATGATAACATATTTTGCAAGTAAACACACCAGAACATATGGGATACATGCTTATTATTTCAAACCTCATCAGGTATGGAATACAACAGTTATGCACGGTCGGTTTGGATACAAGAAATATCCCTTGGGATATACAATATATCTTCCCTTCGGTCTCTCGGGAAGATATATTGTATATCCCTCGGGATATTCCCTGTATCCAAAACCTCCCAGTGCATAACCCCTATATATTTACTTGTAAAAATTGGTTTAGGTATTTGACATGTAATTATCCTCCATATGCAAAAGCATCAAATTACTCAAAATACATTGGGTGAAAGGGTTGATATACTTATTAATTACTTACAGGAGATGCGGTTCAGATTGATCATCTCTTCAAAAATGACTAATTTAAGCAAGAGAAACATTAACTTGTTTCAATTCAATACAATATTTTCAATTACATAAATGCTTCCTTGAATGAAGAGATGGAGATTATATAAATTGATTGCATTGCAAGTAACGATTTGAAGTTGCCTAAATGGCCTGAAACTGTATCCAAATGTTCATACGGAACTGGCATCGCTACAGCTTGGCGAAGTTTGATTTTCAGATAGTTTTTAACTCAACTAACGGGTAGTGAAGCCTGAAATAACGGTGGAAATGTATAGTTTTAATAATTTGGAAGGTCAAAGAAATGATTCACAATCATCTATAGGTGCTGTAAGGTAAGTGTTCTAGGTCAAAATGAAAACTTTACAGAGATGGATAGGCAGTTGATATTCAACCTGCCAAAACTATCATATTGGTTTTCAATCATTACATTTTAGTAAGCCATTGTCTCAGTGTTAGATCATAGTTTGGGATATTAGTGTTTGTGTCGCAATCTTTGGTCCGTTCCCTTTTGGAAACCGTGCACTTTTTCACATTTTTTTCTTCAACTTGTATTGTAATGACTTCAGTATGAATGAAATGTCTCTTGATGTTCTGATCCTGGAGTTTGATGTTGGCTCTCGATTTGAGGGATAAAGGGGAGAGAGGGGTTGACATTATTTCTCTTTACGTTAGATCATGGTTTTTAGAATAGATAGGCCTATTTTTCTTATGACAGGTTTACACTTGGAGTTTGATTCCCTTCCTAGGTTTCTTTACAGTTATTCCCTTTGGCAGCCAAACGTTCACGCTCCGACTAATTCCTTTGATGTTAAAGGCATTGACGAGGTCACTTATCAGTGTGTGTTTTGCTTTATATTGATGGAAAGGTTGCGAATAATGTCCTATTTCTAACCTATTTTATAAATAAATATGACGTATAATTTATATAAAGGCCAGTAAATTCTAAATTGTTTTATTTCTATGTTACAAGTTTCAAAATAATATTCGAAACCAACATCGGCTTACTATACATATGTAGCAAATATAACAAAATACACATAATAAATAATAAGTCCAACTACTGCAATATTCAATTTATTTATTGCAGACATTAAATAGAAATGAATAATATAGTTATAAAATTCAGCAGTCGACATTGGCTATATATACTACATTATCTTAATAAATATACATATAGATAATCACTCTTACCTCATACTACAGCGTTTTCTTTATATTTTACAGATTTTAAAATAGTATTCAATTTAATTAATAGTGTAAAGTACTATGGCATTGATCATATTTCTGCGCTGCAGATTTAATGAATTATAATACAATCCAGCATCCGACATCGGCTTACATAAATTGCATATATAGTAAAATGTGCATAGTTTTATGAATAGTCTGTATAAGAATATACTAAAGCATTTTATTTCTGTGTTTCATATTATAGAATAATATTTTGTACAATAAAAATACCAGTAAAAACCCAGCAGCCGCCAGCGGCTTACATGAATTCCATATACAGTAAAATGTACATAATTGTATAAATACTCTATGTAAGCATATACTATATGCATTTTAATTCTGTGTTACATATTTAAGAAATATAGACCGAAGAGCAGGGGTAATATCGTGTAGGGGTGTATTCGACGATATTACACCTGCTCTGAGGTCTATATTACGATTCGAACAGGAAAACTCACCAAAATGTTTCGAATATTCATTATTTATAATTAGACTTACAATATAGTACATAATTTTATTTATTTTTCAGAATAATTATACAATAAAAATACATAGTAAAACAGTTACTATATTAGTCTCTTTATATAATATAATTTTTAAAATATAAATAAGATGTAATGCTGTTATAACAGATGGATGCAAAAATAATTTACACATGATATATGCAGATTTTTGTAAATCTGAAAATGTGATTAAAGCTTTGAGAATAAAAGAGACGACACATGAAATGAATGAATTTATTAACTGCTTGTTGAGAAATGAAATTTTCTCCATTATGTGAAAAGTTTTTGATGAAGAAAAAGAGTTATCCCCGTCTAATTGAGGTATTATTTTTTGGGAAGACCCTGTACTTTCATATTCCATATATTTGAATCAATATCCTAATTGGTAAAAACTCTGGGGCATGTGATTTTTGAGTGGAGAATGAGACGTGTCTTAGAATCTCGATTTTTCAACAAGTTGTTTTAGGATGAACTCTGTACACACAACCCAGTCCATAACCCTTCTGAATACACATTCGACACCTCCATCTACCACCAATCTGTTTGACATTTTTCATCGTGCCACAGCTCACGCATGCACTCTTTGAATTTGAACTCATGAGTGAAATCACTCGCCTAAAATTCGAGGCGAGCCAATGACTAGCTCCGTCGTTTTTAGGGTACACTCTATATACAAAACCAGGCTTATAGTCATATCCTTTATGAATGCACATTCGACATCGCCATCGACCATTTATCTGTTTCAGATTTTCCATTGAACTACAGTCCACGCATTTGTTCTTCGTAATAGATCTCAGCAGTGTCGGGATCCGCCCAAGCGTCGATATGACCCAACGCATAAATCCTTTACCTTTGTCAATTGGTTTTTTTCGCTCATAATACAAGTTTTGATAAAGATGCTTAACTCGTTCTTTGAAACGTTCTGGATAATATATTTCTGTGATTTTATGCTGAAGTCTCACACCATATGACTGTAGAAGTGTCAAGATTGATATACCAATGTACATTACGCCTAAATAAACAAGCTGTGTTTTGTCCTCATAAAATGGAGGTGACGGATCTGGGAGACACGGCGCAGTGTTAAGTTCCAACGAGTATTTGAAATGGGTAGAGTTACCTTTGAGCAAAATCGGTACTTCTTGGTGTAAAATTTGGCTGATACTGGGGCTAGTGTCATTGAGGGCAACTTCGAATCCACTGCCACCGTTTATCAGTACAGTTACGTTTGCTTCCTTGCGCACCACCTCCAAGACTAAATAAATCAGAACATCCATTCCACACAACAGAACAGCCGCAGCTAGTAATGCTAGAATGATTAAAATACCTCTTAAGATTGATACCAACTCCTGCTTCGAAAGGCAAAATGCCGTAGAATCAATGAAATGGACTCGCTCTTTTTTACGCAAAGGCAGTAGATTAGATTCACCTTTGTCAAATCTCTTGAAGGCACTTGTGATATAAATGTTGTCATAGTCGAGATCATGCAGATAACCTCGGAGATAAAGACACGCTTGGAATATCACTAGGACTACGATTGGTACTGATAAAAGGTAATTGAGAATATCTACAATAAGACGGCTAGCATACGTCATGTCATTGAAAGCAGCAATCAGCGTGTCCCCTAACGACATAATCCTTTCGAGTCCAGTTACATTTGTCTGCTCAAAGTAAAACGTAGCATCAACATCATTAGTATAATTTGCTACATCATGAGAATTGATTGTGATATTACGGACTGTTATACTCACATCTAAGTTACTGATATCAATTTTAATTATAGGAAAAGAAGGAAATACACTTTTTATTATCTTTTTTGGGAAACGATCAAAGATTGTCTTCAAAGTTTCAATTTTTAGGGGAAGCATTTGTCTCACTGTTCCATTAGTAAATTCCTGAATGTCCAATAATAGGGCCGATTGCATGTTCTTCAATTCTTCGCTGAACATATTCACTTGACAAGATATCGTTCCTTTGATTTTCCTTGCATTGTCCAAAGAATTGGTGATCGGACCTGAGAGTAGGAGTCGAATGATAATGGTTAACATGATGGCTCTTCCACGTGAGGTGGAAATCCCTGGTAGGGCCAAAAGAGCTATAACTCGCACACACTTAAACTTCACAACGGCTAACGAAGTTAGGACGGAGACTGTCATTACTAAAGCTACTTCTTCAGTCGGTGGATAGTAACTATCGTCTTCGATGTGCGACTTGGTCTCCCCATGGACTGGTTTTGCTGTAGTATTTACTGTCCCATTGGTTTTCTGATTTGGGACGCTGTGTTCTTCCACGTAAAATAAAAGGGATGCGAGCACGATACACGTGACTAATGTTATGAGAAAAGTTAAGATTTTCTTTATATATTCCCATTTCCACGTATTCAATTCTATTTTGTCACGAGTCTCACTTTTCGTTAGACTGTCAGCTTCATGGGGTTCGTAATAAAACTCAGATGGAACATGAATTACAGTTGACGAGGACTCAATTTGATCAGCAGTTTTAGAGACATCACCCATGTTTGAATATCTTACAACTTCCTATCCTTTTAAGATTTTGCCGTGTGTTCAAAGTATGTAGTTGCAGCTTTATTTGATGGAATCTGGAATACAATTCAAAAACAATATACACTTTTATCTTGAATCTTTGAATATATATTTCTGTAAAGACCTAATACATGAATTCACAATAATTAGAACCCCGGACAGGTAAAATGATACAGTCGTGTTTTTACTCTATATTTGCGATAGCACAACCATTCTTATTGAAAATTCAGTAACCAGACAATATTTAAAATTAGGTTAAAAGTTCAATTGTTCAAGCGAAAACCTGTATTTTATTTATTGACAGTGAAGTGTCTTTAAAAAAAGCCTATCAAAAATCATATAATTGGGATTTTTGATTAAATGTTTAATTTCCATATTGGAAATTGCCTCTAGAATAGATTTTGAAAATCTCCATAAGAATAGTTGTTCCATTGCAAATATAGAGTAAAAACACAACTGCATCATTCAACCTGTCCGGGGTACTAAGAGAAGTTTTGGACTTGTTTGACTATCTGTAGTACTTATAAGACGATGACTATCAGTTATGTTTTATTTACTGTTACTTAACTTTTTCGATTAGATGTCACTTTTGTTGTAAGACGGGAACTTATCTAGAAAAATGCGTTTCAAGCGACATCTATATGATTTATATACGTTTTCTAATAAATGATATAATGTGAAACATAGTTTGGAGATGGCAATGTCGAGTTAATTTAGTCCAGATTAAAGTGCTCGCAACTGATTGGTTCCAATGATTAGAATTACAACACGCCTACAGTGTACACTATTTATCATGATTTTACATAGGTGTCGTCTTCAACACTAAAGTGTAAATACATATAAACCAAGGAACATCAAATTCATATAGATGTCATGTAGAGACTATCCTCCAAAAAACAGTACTCATGTGACATCAGTTATGATCTTGAAACGCTGGCATGGTACCAACTACACCCACATTGAGTACAGAATATTGAAATTAAATGACGCCATATTTTTATCACTTCATAAAGGCATCGTATAACATGCAATGTATTGGTATTTTCTAGAGTTGTCTAGAGTGTTTGGATTATAATTACATCAGCATTAGATTAAATTGTTCAACAAATAACATACGATTTTTTTAATTGAACAGCCACTGACTGAGATGGAATGAAGCTTCTTTTCTCATAGCTCAATCGTTAAGGTAAGTCTGAAGTAAGAGGTAAGTTGAATCAATTTACTTACAAAACATTGTTCAGTTTATTTCAATTTGGAATCTACTTAGATACTGTCGTTAGAAGCAGAACCATTCATTCCACTCTATGGATATATATTTACCGATGGATGAATTGATAATTTATCATGTGATCAGTAGTGACATGCATGGCCCGGAAAAAGAGTAATTAAATGATGCAAAAAATGTGATCTGTCAACCTCGGCCATTTAGGCAATTTTCCAAAAAGACGTTATGCTTTCAGAAACCTGCGTTGTCGACCCAAAACTTTTACATCTTCCATCTATATTTAGATGGATAAATAGATGGCAGCACGTGTATTGGTAGGACCAGAATAGATTGATGATAATTGAACTTTTCAAGGTTTTTAAATTTTTGCAAAGCAATAGAAATGAGTCCTAAAAAAGTACATTAGCCACCTGCCTGGTCGAGTCTATTTAGGTTGGATAAATGATAACAAAAATGTACAGATTTCGTGACATAACATTTTGTGTCACTTCAGACATTTTCAGACATACATTATGCGCGTTGAATTATCAAATATGGCCGATCATGACTCACAAGACACCGTTTTACTGACCAATCAGACATAAGGCATTGATCAAAGTGCGTTTAGTTTCAGATTTACCCCGTAAATTGTGAAAGTAGGATTTATGATCTTTTTTATTCAGCAATAATATATCATACACTTTTCACTGTTAGAAATATAAATAATGTGACTTGAATGATAACAAATGACATATCTGTAATATAGGAATTTTTCAAACACTTCGAAACTCGTTCGAAAAGATAAAAAAAACAATACTCATTCATATTGTTAGGTATTAAGCAAAAGTGATTGTGAAAGGAGGAAATGCAGGCATACGTATGCGATCTACTCTAAAATGCTTTTAATTTGAGTAAATTGAAAACACTTTGATAATGACTCAAATTTGAGGCAAATACCTGCCTTTGTTTGACCATTATTGATTTTTCAAAATGTGAATCAGAAACAATGTCCAATGTTTGTAATCTACTCTTAAAACATTCTTCTTTCAAAAAGCCACAACTTAGACAGATCTCATTTATCGAAATTGCCTTTTCTCGTAAAAAATGATTAACCTGTCGAAATTTATATTTCTCGTAAAAACAATCAACATACAATTCCATTAGCTAAATATGTGTCCCGAACTATCTTCCAAACTGACGTTGAAACAGGCTTTCTGAAATTGTCAACATGCTAAAGGCTTTAAAAAACACGTGCGAAAAACGGGTAGTGTTTGATATTAAAACGTTAAATGCTAATAATTAACGCGCTTTCATTTTAGCGGCAAAACGCGTTATTATTCATTAAAATAACGGAAAGACGCGTTATCACGAAAACGCACGTTTTTAGAGTGAACGAATCATTCATTTGGATATTGAATATTGGTAAATCATTGAGTTTTTTTTCAAATTGCAAAATAGTCTTTGAAAAGCATATTTAACTAGTATTAGAAATTCATATTTTCAAATATTTGTCATTTTTTATTTCCTTTCAAATGTAGTTTCGGGAAGTAGTATTGCCGCATAACTCGGGCCTTTGACTGATTGAAAACAAAACTGATTCAAACGAATATTTTAAAAAGCCCAACAATGCTTTCATCTATAGAAGAAATCAACGAAATAAATAAAAAATATGTGAAAACAAAAAAAAAATGTTTTACACATTGAACTTATTTAGTTACACAGTCCTTACTCTGTAAATATTTTTAAATAGAATCTAAAATGCTCTAAAGATTCGATCAGTTGAATTGAGATGGGCTTTATATATTTTTAATAATAATAGCTTTCTTGGCGCATATTATGGTCCAAACAGTACTGAAGACCAAACTCTTCTGTTTTTGAACCTCTACTTTCCTGTCGTGAACACTTATATGAACATGCTGGCAAAAATAAAGTGTTTTACAAAATTTGAATAGGTATCTATTCTATATAAGTTAATATTAACAATTTTTAGTCATATATTTATTTTTATTAAAATAATGCGAAACAATTAAAACATTTGCGATTTAAGTTCTATTATTCTGTATTTTTATAAACTATACTTACTAAAATATACTTCCACACCAATTTTGAACAGTTCTGAATTATTTCAATCTTGCAAAAATACCCATATTTATATTATTGAGATTGGCAGGTGTCCAAGCTTGACCTGGATACTAAGTATCTCTGATGTAACCCTGATGAACACATAATAAATCACGATTCTATTACTGTATGCTATCAGTTTTGTTTCCAGACAAATGACCTTACTATCCAATAAACGTGGGTCTGGGGTCACATTTTATTTCTGATGTAACGCTGGCGATGAACACATAATGAATCACGATTCTATTACTGTATGCTATCGGTTTTGTTTCCAAACAAATGATCTTGTTAATCCAAAGAAACGTAGATCATTGTCATTTCAGGCTAAATTACCCTGGAAAAATATCCTGCAGTTTCCTCAATAAAGAGAACAAAACAGCATTGAGTACATAAAACGGATATGAAAGCAACCCAATACACAACATCTTCTGAAAATTAAAGAATATTTTGCAAATAAGCTTGATTTTAATTTGAACAATTATTAATTAATAAATTATCTTCTTTTTATCCAGGTGCCTATTTGTGAATCATTCGTTATTTTTGATGACTCAGTTCAACTGTTTGAAGGTGAAGTAAGTATTGTTTTGTTATGAGTTCAATTTTCGTACTTTAAGAAATCGATTGGCTTTGATCCTATCTTATGACAAAAGTACATAAAAATTATATTTTCGAGGACATTACTAATATTTGTTTATATACATCCCACGCTTTCAGTGATTACTTCATGAAACAGTAGAGTAATAAATGTATTCTTAAATCAAGTTACTATAAGGTCATTTTATATCCAAATTTTCAGCATGTGATGTTTTTATGACATATTTCTCACGATACCCAAATGTAATGATGAGATTATGTATAAAGTAGATTAGTAAAGTAGATTAACTCATAATTTGTCATCATGTGATATAATTAAGTAAGCATGTTAAAAAGGTAATTCTATTACCATGTGATGAAATAATTCGAATTATAAAACGTAATAGATTGAGGAATTTGCAGCCTTAAATTCTAAAATGAAAAAAATATGTTTAAAGCTTATGGTGTGAGGTTCCATATCCATCCGCCAAAAGGTATGATATAGTCCATTTAAAAACCTGTGATGTTGTTCTAAATAACGCCATAGTTTGCTTCTAGGGTACCTATTATGCCATTATTTGGTATCAAAATAAAGAAGAGGAGTTCAGCTTTAATTTTAATTAGGAAAATAGCGATGTAGGTCAAAATAGTTCCAGCGTGAGCATGTTTACTACGCGTGTCTCCGTCATCTCAAAATTGAATAATGGTAACAAACGCGAGTTACATTAAATGGACGCTGATATCTCAAAGAGTAATCTGACTCCCTATAATTTGATGTAGATCAATCAAACCCCTATCTGAACAGGTACATTTGGTATATAACACTGTAAGGGGGGGGGGTAAGCGTTTCATAGTTGGTCACGAACGCGATATGTGCAAAGTAACGTTCAGATTTCCGAATTTCGTGTTGGATTACGGTACTCATCACACCTTATAAACGATGTTCTCACATATTTCTTCCTTATATGCCTAATATCAAACACTCCTCCAGCTAGATCTCAACTTTCAAAGATCATGATTATATTATAGCTTCACAAAATACTGAACTTTTCTTCACAAAACAGTCATGTATCGATAGAATTCATACATACTAGATTCATTAAGCTTATTGTAATAAGTGCCATTAATATTATCAATATGTTACCTTTTACGAATACTTGTTATAAGACTTGGAGTCCTTATTGATATGTTTTTAATAAATACTGATTGGATCAATCTTAATTAAAAATAAAAAAAAGTCTTTAAATCAGAACAAATGTGTACTACCTGTAAAATTCCCTAGGATAACATGTTTTATATCACTCCCTCTAAGCATTTTAAACGTTTTTACAGCCAATTAATGATCAAGACAGGATTCGAAACGTTCAGTAGTTTTAAATAATTAAGGTTCTGAATAGAATAAAACTGTTTTTGTGATTATAAAAGTATTATGAAACTTGTATTATACATATGTTGAATAACTAATTTTGTATAGAAACAAGAAGCGTCACTATAAAAGGTTTTCAGTCTTTTTCATTTCATAACGAGCAACAAAAGCTACATACGGTTGATGGTAACAGTTTTTGCATAAATACATTCTTGATAGTCTTTGATAATTCTACTTCATGACATTCGTGCTCAAATTGTTGCTGGGACTTGCAAGTTGCGTAAATATAAAATAATACAAGAAAACACGATGACGTGGTGAAGTGAAACAATGATGTTTAGAATCAAAAGTCACGTTATATTCCTTTTGCAGTTGTGACTTTTAAGGATGAGAGATGGCTTAATCTTTATAGGATAGAAATTGTTGGCGTAATGCATGAACGAAACTGAAAAGTAGTTGATGTCTTGAGTATATCACTACATACACTGTATCGCTCCACCCCAAATTGAAGACGATTTAATCAATATTGGCAACTTTATTTCAATAGTAAGAGGATAGTATACCAAATTCACACATAGCCATACAAGGCAAGGTATGTCCGCTTCCAGCCAATCCGAACACAGTATTTCACATATAGAACAGTGTGTGAAATATTCAATAACACATGCAAGGTCGTATCAAACAACAATTGCAAAATGTCTTGTTGTCAAGTTGGCTGATCTACTCACTCCCACTTCTTGTATTTTCTATCAAAGAGCATGAATAAAATTAGAATCAGGGGGAGAAGGTAAACAATCTGAAACTGCCGTCAACAGAGTAAATTGACACTTTGAAAGTTCCCCTTGCAAAACGTTTGAGTGACTCGGTAGAAAATATTTTGCAATGTGTAAAAATAATTTAAGCCTAAGACTCAATGCATTATGGCCGCTTCATTCCACTCAGATGTTGTTTCCTAAACTTTGCATTCCCACTACGAGGTCATGCAAAGATTTGGAAACAACATCTTCATGGTATAGTTCAGCACATAATGCACATAGCCCATGAATTAAATCTTGATACAAAAGATTTTATTTTAGGACCACCTTTAACTTCTAAAGTCCCAAAATAGAAAGTAATAAGGTAATAGGTATTTTGGCGATTAATTTAAGGAAGTCAAATTATTATATCATTATTCCCTTTCTATGATTGATCAAAAAGGTCATTTGATAAGTAGTAGAGTAGTTGATGTCATGAGTATATAACTATACGTTTGCGTCATCGCAGGCTCTTTATTTTGTTTTTCTCTTTCCAACAGATATAGTGTATACCAGAGAAATTCTTGAAGAAATCAAAATCATGACAACTTTACTTCAAAAATTGGGTTTCGTTTTTAGGCCATCTATTAGGTTATTTCTATACTTTTAAGTATGCAAGTAGGAAGTAATACGATGATAGGCATTTTACGATTAATATGAGGAAATGAAATTATTCTATCACTGTTGACCTTGCCATGATTGATCAATTGGTCATTTGATAAGACTGATTACGGAATCGAAAATGATATAGCTTCCGTGTATGATATAACGAAAGAACAGTCATTCTACGACCCTGAAAGTTGCAAGTTTGTAACGTAAATTTCCTGAATTTGATGGAACAGAGACAATTCAACATATTCTTCTGATATTTATTAACACTTTAAGAAAAGTGAGTCACACGAGCCGTGTGTGCCTTGTGTATATACCTAGGAAGCCTTAGGAAATGGTATTTTCACTGAAAATGTACTCCTTTGAAAGAATATGGTAAAGAAAAGCCAAGGGCAGGATATTTGAGCACTGCGAATCTCCTTACTTTTTAAACACACATAAAATAACAAAATATTGAAAATTGCACTAGAGGATTAAAAAATCATACTGAAAAAATATATTTAGCACAACTATTTAAAACATAGTTTTAAGACAAGTTCAAGTGCAAACTGATAATATACTTGAAGATTGTTTTCAGATGTCACATCTGTTTATAATGAGTGATTGCGGTTTTTATTTTGATATCTGCTCTAGGCACCACATGATAACCACAGTGCAGTAGAATTTTGATATCATTTCAAATGTAATACAATAATAATTGTTAGATTGTTAGATTATCTAAATTTAATTCCAACAGCTCGGAAACAAAATTGTTCATGGAATCCCGGACTTTTGGATTGGCTGCTCCTATCCATTCTGATACTCATAGCATGAAGGATAGAGATGGAGAGGGCGTGGCTTACACGATGGCTCGTATCTGGTATTTCACGTCCCCACTATTTGTTTGAGAAAGAGTCGAAGGCGAATCCTGGAAACCCGGGTTCGGGAAAGCAGGGTTCACTGTTTGTTTCCGTTGACAAGTGTGCGAAACTACATTCATAATCCATACGACAGTGAACAGGAGGTTTACAGTCATACCCGGGCGCGCCAATCCCTTATTAAAATGTTTGTTTCGCAGACCAGGGTTTAAGGTCATTCCAAACGAAATAAGTGCTTAATGAGGCCACGAAATATAAAAGTTCGTTTTATTAAAATTTTATACACACCCCTCCATAAGTTTGGCAACCTTTTTTCCTCATTGAACTACGTGTTAAAGCCTCTTTACCTTTGAATTTTTATTTACTTAACCGACGATAAAATAACTTATAATATTGATGGAAACGTAACTTGACTTTATTTCCAATACCTCCAAATTTTCTCAATTTTTTTCCTCAATTACAATAGGTCGAAAATTGATGATAAATTTGATGAATTTTTGAAAATCGTCATTCCCATGTAATCCAATGGGAAATGGAGGGTTTGGGGCAAATCAAAAATCAGGATATCTTTTCAGTAAAAGATTCAGCAAAATATAATTTTATATATAGAAAATTGAATTGTCTAACCTTTTTGAACATTAAGTGTTTAGTTTATTTGATGAATATTAAAGTTACAGCGCTTCAAAGTCATTTTTGAAAATAATTTTTCGCCCCCTGTGTTATTTCAATGGGAGAGGTTTTTTTGAAAAACAATTTTGACTTTAAAGCCCTATAACTTTGTTGAACCTGAAGAAACACTTAACCTGCGATGAAAATACTTATACTATTGATGGAAACGTAATTTGACTTTAATTCCAATACCTCCAAATTTTCTCAATTTTTTTCTCAATTACAATAGGGCGAAAATTGATGATAAATTTGAAGAATTTTTTAAAATCAACATTCCCATGTTAACCAATGGGAAATGGTAGGTTTGCCGCAAGTCATATGACAGAATATCCATCCATCCGAGTCCTTGCATAAAAATACGAGTTAGGCAGGCAATTGAATTTGCTAACTTTATTTAACAAAAAATTGATATGTTTCTTCAGGTTCAACAAAGTTATAGGGCTTTAAAGTCAAAGTTGTTTTTCATAAAAACTCTCGCATTGAAATAACACAGGAGGCGAAAAATTATTTTCAAAAATGACTTTGGAGCACTGTAACTTTTATATTCATCAAATAAACTAAACACTTAGTGTTTTAAAAAGTTAGACAATTCAATTTTCTATATAAAAATAATTTTTGCTGAATCTTTTACTGAAAAGATATCCTGATTTCTGATTTGCCCCGAACCCTCCATTTCTTATTGGATTCCATGGGAATGACGATTTTCAAAAATTCATCAAATTTATCATCAATTTTTGACTTATTGTAATTGAGGAAAAAAATTGAGAAAATTTGGAGGTATTGGAAATAAGGTCAAGTTACGTTTCCATCAATATTATAAGTTATTTCATCGCCGGTTAAGTAAATAAAAATTCAAAGGTAAGGAGGCGTTAACACGTAGTTCAATGGGGAAAAAAGGTTGCCAAACTTATGGAGGGGAGTGTACGTGTTATTTTGTATCTACCAAGACGTTAAACACATTGGAAATAGATACGTATTATGACTGGTCTAAAATGTGCAATGCTAGAAAACCCCTTATACTCGTTCATTCTCTATTTTGACTAAGATAATATATCAGTACAACGGCTACTAAAACAACCAGTAGAGATGAGGAACTTGAAACAAATTTATTTTTATTCATATATATGAATTATATTTTATGTAAATACAATGCCACGCTATTACCGTCCTCCAGTGTTGCAATTTCTGTTGTGTCAGTCTGGGTCAAAATCTTACATATTACAATTGATAACGAGGAACCCTTCTAATAAAAACAATTAGATCTAGGTTTGAAAACTCCCGAAAATAACACGAACGAATCTAATTAATAACCGTTCACATTTTTCCAAAGGCGGATTTGGATGACGGCAAACCCGGGTTTTGAGGGCGCGACTTATGGCAACGAGTGCTTCTGATTTTGTTTTCGAATACTGATTGCTAATCCACGTATAACTTGACATACGATTTCAAAGGAATGATTAAGATTTATAGCTTTGTTTCTTTGTTAGCCATGCTGCATTTAAAGTGGGAATATCGATTGCCGAGTCGTATCCAATGATCCTGGGCCTATCGTAAAATGAAAGCTTTGAATATGTTGTTGCCTTTAAAAATGTATCTATTTTCCATGTATGCAACTAGAATTTGTGCACATACCTTATAATGATCGATAATGGCAAAGGAAAATCCTCTAATTCTTCGTCATAATTTCTCCTTCGACGTCCGCCATTTTTTATTAAACCGGAAGTTTTTCTCTGACGTCCGCGCAATGTTTTTTCACTTTTATTTCAGATTACGCTTCGGATTCAACATTTTATACTTTCTAATATTAATTAAGTGTTTTCTATCAGAAAGATTTCACAAAAAGACTCACACTATCAGAGATTTTATCGATTCAAGCAGCCAGAAAAATTAGTTTCAATTTCACCCGCTAGGTGTTTCGACGTCGACTTGGAAAGAATTTGAAAAATCTATGAGTGGGACTCCTTGTATGGAATTGTAGATTCTAAACGATTTGCCAGCTCTACTGGTTGATGAATATTGCCATATGCATACATTTTTATAAAACAGAAATAAGGAAGAAGATGTTGGACCAAACTTCACCCCGATAGCTCAGAAAAGGTAAAATTTCTCCATTTTTCTCTCCACAGACCTTAGAGCCGCTTTAAAACATGGAAAAGTGAATTTGATAATTTGGCAATATAGTTCTGAGACTATTTCTAAATTAAATGTTATCGTTGGCAAAGTTTATTCATTTTGAACGCTAAGCTATACTAATCATTATACTCAAACTAAACAGTTCAGACGGCAATGTATTTCCAGAGGTATTCGTATTCCGTTACTTGAAGCATCATTTAGTCTAGCATTTAATAGTAAGTGGACTATGATAATATGAAAATCCAGTATTAAAAACACAAAATACATAATATTATTAAAAAAATCTTTAATCATTGATTCATTACGAAAATATATGTAAAGAAAAAATCAAACGCTAAACCACGCATGCAATTGTCTATTCGCTATGTCAGCGACGGGTCACTGGTATGATATGTTGTATCTCACTTCTTCTATCGTCGGAAAGTGACACGAACCTCTCTTGTACTTTGACAAATCGATAACTGCTGACTTATCGCGACAGCTCTCGCAATAGCAATGTCCATGTTCCAGCTTTTGGTGTCTAACCTTGCAGCTTACGACACTGATGCATTGATCTAGTGCTAGTTTCTCTCTTCTGCACTGTACAACAATCTGCTTTAAACTTTGGATCTCTTGTCTACAATCCTCGCTCGCTCTTTGAAGTTTCTTAACTTTACGATTGTTCGAGATGACCTCCATTTCATCAATGAGGAATTGTTCTTCTGCAAATAAAAACACACCATTATTTAACACACAGTTGTGATTTAGTTTGTAGAATAAATGTTTTTTTGTAGCTCTAAAACAGGCCAAGCTTTGTGTAATCATTTATTACCAGTTTCTTGTCTTTTTAACTCTTCTTCTGCCAGTTTGCTATATCTTTGGATACACCAACTTTCCATAATCTCGTGTATCGTATTAGTAGAAAATCTCATAACTATGTCAAGATACGCCATTATTTATATAATTCACCTTTTATTTCTTCCGTTTACTTAAAATCTCAAAATTATGTATTTTGTTGATGTTATTGTCTCTCTGGTGTCTATATGCGACACAAGCTGCATAGCAATTGGGTTATGACGTCATCGTAATATCTGATGTTGTTATGACGTGACTATGAAAGCAAGCTACACGTAACATTAACTTTCAAACGTCACAAGCGAGGAATGCATTTCATCATATGACGTAGGGACATTAATAGCACCCTAACAACCAGCTGTGTGAAATAAAACAACAAGCTACTTTCATGGTACCAAATATATATAATAGTAAGGTCAACCTAATACTCCTCAACCGCCACAGCTACACAACTGTACGATCACAAATACTTTAACGTCGCAATCATGATCATATGCACGTTTTGCAAGATTTGTTTTGAATAATAAATACTTTTATGAAGCTGTAGTGTTCTGGGTACTTGCGCTGTTTGATAGGCAAAAGTTAAGAGAAACACAACTAAGTAGGTTTGTTGTTGGCTATATAATATGATGACGTAATTTTATTATAAATTACATAATGTTACATAACAATACTTTTGCCGATAGGGCTAACAACCGCCAATAGCTGACTACGTCAGCTAGCCCATACTAAGTGTTATGGAGATGAAAATGGTATAGGCTTATCAAACCTATTAAGGTAAAAGCTTCATTTTATTCAATTTCGATCGTAGAGATTGAACTCTTCAAATGTATAATATATATATATATATGAAGTCTACGCAGTATGAAAAACGGCCATTTTCGGCCCGACCTAGGCCTATAGCTTTGGTGTTAATTAATTAAATTAAGTACTTGAATATATTATGCATATATCGCCAAACGTAATCGTGTTTGTCCATTGTTGTGTTATTAACGTCATTATTAAGCATACCCTTTCCCTAAATAATTTGAAAAGCCTTTTCTTCAAATATAATACGAGGGGTGATCAATAAGTAATGGACGCTTTTCTACACAGATGCTTTTTATGGACCAATCCCTTCGATTTTCTTACCAGTGATACATCATTCAATTATCTGTTATGAAGGGGTTGGTCTATAAAAAGCATCTTTGTAAAAAGGCGTCCATTACTTATTGATCACACCTCGTATAATGAGTTACATTTTGGCAAGAACCTTCTTAGTCGGCTTAAACATACTGCTGTTTGCGAAAACGGACCAAATGGTCGTCCTTGGTCATCGATGTTACAGCCTTTGTTGGGCTAATTTTGATGCTACTAGTACTTAACTTATATATCACGTCATTTCGTTCTCAGTACAAAGACACAATACAAAGTATGTTTCAATCAAATCATAAATATTCAATCATGAAACTCGACCAATGGTCCATAAAAACGATTCTTCGTATCAGCATCAGTATGATTATGCTCATAATCAATAGCTGCATCTACAAATTCCTTCTCTGTAATCTCTCCATCATGATCCGCGTCCATGTAATCAAACTGCATCCTTGCTTCACTGGGTTCCAGGTCGAGAGCAGCCCAGAAGTGGATGTACTCGGAGAAACTGATTAAACCATCAGAGTTGAAATCCAAAGCCTGCAATAAAGAGAATATAGGAATGTGGTCAATTTGTACCCAAGAGTATGGGCGATTTATACGCATACGTTGCCGTTTATATTTTATATATTAGCTTTAACTCTCTTTTTAACTCTCTTTAAATATATGACTTAGACGTTAAAGAATATATCGACAGGTCACTACTTTAGTATAACTGGTTTAATTCGAAAGTCTATAACTATCAAATGATGTCTGACACAAAAAATGCGCTAGAACTCCAATGTGAATGTACAGTACATGTATTGTGGAGACCTCAATCCATCAAACAAAATTTATGAACTTAAGTGGTCAATTAAAGGACATAATTGTCAAAAAAAGATCCAAATTAAATGACTCGTGCTATTTTTTGTATATATGTGCAATTCTTTAACCCTTTTCAAATCATTTCTTTACAAATTGAAATTCAATGTAATAAAAAAAGTTTTGTCACGCAGAGCGAATCTGAATATAAACTAACTATACTTAGAAAAAAAGTTCGAAATAAACTTGTTTAAAAAGCATACATCCTAATTTCCCAAGCTTTAATTTTATGTTTTTTAGGATTAAAAGGAGTCAAGACTCTTAAAAGCCCGTGTATGTAGCAAGTAGTAGTCAAAGTACCCCTGGTAATAATTATTTAGTTTTAGAATATTTTGTGCTCATATCATTCCTTGTCATGTCTATTTTCTACAAACCCACAAATGGTTTAAAGTGTTTACCTCTCGAAAGGGAAAATGCATTCATTTGGGATAAAGTGGTAACAATATTTTCCATGTTTCCCATATTGGTGCATCAAGCATTGAAAACAGGTGGGAAATGGATGAAAATCAAGACAACATCATGTTTCATTTTTTTAGGTGTTTGCATATTTCCTTTTATTATTTCTATGAGTACTTTTCCTGGAATAAATGCATTGGCCAAAATTTCCGCTAAAACTAGAAACCAACTTGAAAATCGTGTCTACGGATCTGTATATTTGAAAACAGGTTGTGACTGGGAGACCGAAATGTCCATTTTCTTTTAAAACCTCTCAAAACTTCCTGGCTACGGCCCTAATAAAGTCCTAATCTCCAAAATAATCGAAGTTATGACTTTCTAAATTGTGTAAGGTTTCGAAGGCGAAGGGGACAAGCAATAACTTTACCTTTATTTGACCTTCTAATGTAGGTCTGATTTCAAATAAATTAACTGCTCAATATTGTCCTGGCGAGATTTACAAAACAATAACCGATTTGTTGATTTTCAAACAATATTAAAATAAGAGCTGATTATCGAGACTTGAAAAAATGTAACGCATCGATTTTTTACCACAAATTCCATACATATAAAGTTTTACTAACGCCTCAAGTGAATTTCCTGACCGTTTTTCAAAATTCAAAATATTTGGCGCTATTTGCGTCCCATATTGCCCATTGTTTTGTTTTGGTATTTTTAGGCCAAATTGTTACGTTATTTGTCCCCAGTTTCATGCGACGTGTAAGTACGTAATTTAACAAAATTCTAAGTATAAAACACGCATGTTTTTCAAATTCAAAGTAACGAATACAGATATTCACATGAATTAGACCTAAACCTCTTGTGGACTAAGTCTTTGTGATTGACCCACAATGGCCAGCTATAGCCAACCAACTGACAGTTGCAAAATGGATTATCATCTTACGACCACTCCGTTCCAAAACACAAAAATAACTAATGATCCTACGATTAGCTTTTTTTCAGTTTGAAAATTTCATTTTATGATTCATTTCAAATAAGCGGCGCGATATAATGAGTTATGGTAAGATATATTGTTTAAGAAACATGAAGAAAAATCACCATCCTGATTACACTTAATATAGAAAAATGTGAAATTATCATGAAAATCTGTTAAAATAGATTTAAGGGGGTAAATAACATTTTTCATGTGCCTCCAATATTAAGGGGTATTATTACCACCTTGCCGGGCCAGTTCTAGGGGTTTTAGTGCTAGTTTAGTAGGCGTTTATTTTACTATATCGACCTGAGAAATGTGTGACGTCATAGTGGTGGTCCATATGGACCGGTCTGCCGGTCTAGAATATATTCTGGACCGGCACTTTTCCCCGGTAAATTAGATATCGTTCAATGCGTAAGATTTTCTTGGTGTTTCAGTCCTGGTCGTTAACGGTGATAATAATACTAATAACGTCATTTCTGCGAGCGATTTAGTGAAATATTGGACCTTGGGCCTTCGGCCCTTGGTCCAATATTTCACTATATCGCCCTTAGAAATGACGTTATTGTACTAACCATAGTTTTGGTAATGGTTTGCTTTTCAAAAAGTGATAAATTCCAGTATGTGTACAAGTAAAATAGCACATCTATTCTTGTATCTAGCACAAGAAATACGAGTACATTACGTGGGATAAGTGATATATTCCGTCATTGTTATTGTTAATTGCAATGGCATATTGCATTTCTTAGATTGAACCTAGTTTGAATAAGTTCGGCAAAGTAAGTAAGTTCGGCATTTTGTCGTCGTCGTAATAGTATTACATTTACTTTTAATATAATTCCCAGTATTTTTATATTTAAACTTTAAAACATGCATTTACAATTCAAATTTCACTTTTCATATTGTGGAAATCGTGATGTAACGCAATTAAAGTACGTTTTATTATAGTTTTAATAATAAGTCGTATTTTAACTGCATTGCGCCACAATTTCCATCGTGTGTACTCAACTTTTAACTTATCATATGCACGTTTTGCAAGATTTGTTTTGAATAATAAATACTTAAGTGCTATGGAGATGAAAATGGTATAGACTAATCAAAGCTTCATTTTATTCAATTTTGATCCAAGAGATTGAACTCTACAACATATATTTGTATTCGAGATGTCAGATGTAAATGATGCACTAGTCTATGAATTTTACAAGGGGACGTTTTTATTTTTACATTAATTCAAAACATCTAGACTTTTAAGAATTCCACTACAGTGCTATCGTTGGACGGTTGCCATTTTTGTATCAATTGTTTAAATTATTCCTGTCATCTTGCCAAAGTTTTATTGAAGTCTACATAGTATGAAAAACTTATTTCAAAGTAAAAATACGGCCATTTTCGGACCGATCTATAGCTTTGGTGTCAATTAATTAAATTAAGTACTAGAATATATTATGGTTTATGTCGCCAAACGTAATCGTGTTTGTTCATTGTTGTGTATCATTATTAAGCATACCCTTTCCCTAAATAATTTGAAAAGCTTTTTCTTCAAATACATATAATGAGTATATTTTGGCAAGGACCTTCTTAGTCGGCTTAAATATACTGCTGTTTGCGAAAACGGACCGAATGGTCGTCCTTGGTCATCGATGTTACAGCCTTTATTGGGCTAATTTTGATGCTACTAGTACTTTACGATATCACGTCGAAGATAAGTCATTCCGTTCTCAGTACAAAGACACAATACAAAGTATGTTTTAATCAAATCATAAATATTCAATCATGAAACTCGACCAATGGTCCATAAAAACGATTCTTCGTATCAGCATCAGTATGATTGTGCTCATAATCAATAGCTGCATCTACAAATTCCTTCTCTGTAATCTCTCCATCATGGTCTGCGTCCATGTAATCAAACTGCATCCTTGCTAGACTGGGTTCCAGGTCGAGAGCACTCCAGAAGTGGATGTACTCGGAGAAACTGATTAAACCATCAGAATTGAAATCCAAAGCCTGCAATAAAGAGAATATAGGAATAGGGTCAATTTGTACCCAAGAGTATGGGCGATTTATACGCATACGTTGCCGTTTATATTTTATATATTAGCTTTAACTCTCAAATATATGACTTAGACGTTAAAGAATATATCGACAGGTCACTACTTTAGTATAACTGGTTTAATTCGAAAGTCTATAACTATCAAATGATGTCTGACACAAATAATGCGCTAGAACTCCAATGTGAATGTACAGTACATGTATTGTGGAGACCTCAATCCATCAAACAAAATTTATGAACTTAAGTGGTCAATTAAAGAACATAATTGTCAAAAAAAGATCCAAATTAAATGACTCGTGCTATTTTTTGTATATATGTGCAATTCTTTAACCCTTTTCAAATCATTTCTTTACAAATTGAAATTCAATGTTATAAAAAAAGTTTTGTCACGCAGAGCGAATCTGAATATAAACTAACTATACTTAGAAAAAAAGTTCGAAATAAACTTGTTTAAAAAGCATACATCCTAATTTCCCAAGCTTTAATTTTATGTTTTTTAGGATTAAAAGGAGTCAAGACTCTTGAAAGCCCGTGTATTTAGCAAGTAGTAGTCAAAGTACCCCTGGTAATAATTATTTAGTTTTAGAATATTTTGTGCTCATATCATTCCTTGTCATGTCTATTTTCTACAAACCCACAAATGGTTTAAAGTGTTTACCTCTCAAAAGGGAAAATGCATTCATTTGGGATAAAGTGGTAACAATATTTTCCATGTTTCCCATATTGGTGCATCAAGCATTGAAAACAGGTGGGAAATGGATGAAAATCAAGACAACATCATGTTTCATTTTTTTAGGTGTTTGCATATTTCCTTTTATTATTTCTATGAGTACTTTTCCTGGAGATAATGCATTGGCCAAAATTTCCGCTAAAACTAGAAACCAACTTGAAAATCGTGTCTACGGATCTGTATATTTGAAAACAGGTTGTGACTGGGAGACCGAAATGTCCATTTTCTTTTAAAACCTCTCAAAACTTCCTGGCTACGGCCCTAATAAAGTCCTAATCTCCAAAATAATCGAAGATATGACTTTCTAAATTGTGTAAGGTTTCGAAGGCGAAGGGGACAAGCAATACCTTTACCTTTATTTGACCTTCTAATGTAGGTCTGATTTCAAATAAATTAACTGCTCAATATTGTCCTGGCGAGATTTACAAAACAATAACCGATTTGTTGATTTTACAAATAATATTAAAATAAGAGCTGATTATTGAGACTTGAAAAAATGTAACGCTTCGATTTTTTACCACAAATTCCATACATACAAGTTTTACTAACGCCTCAAGTGGATTTCCTGACCGTTTTTCAAAATTCAAAATATTTGGCGCTATTTGCGCCCCATATTGCCCATTGTTTTGTTTTGGTATTTTGAGGCCAAAATGTTACGCTATTTGTCCCCAGTTTCATGCGACGTGTAAGTACGTAATTTAACAAAATTCTAAGTATAAAACACGCATGTTTTTCAAATTCAAAGTAACGAATACAGATATTCACATGAATTAGACCTAAACCTCTTGTGGACTAAGTCTTTGTGATTGACCCACAATTGCCAGCTACAGTTGCAAAATGGATTATCATCTTACGACCACTCCGTTCCAAAACACAAAAATAACTAATGATCCTACGATTAGCTTTTTTTCAGTTTGAAAATTTCATTTTATGATTCATTTCAAATAAGCGGCGCGATATTAAACAAATACTGGATGATCAGGAGCTGGATATGGCAGAATACCTATTCGAGAAAAAATATTGGGCGAGGCGGCAGCCGAGCCCAATATTTTTTCGAGGATAGGTATTCTGGCCATATCCAGCTCCTGATCATCCAGTATTTGTTTTATTATGCACCTCCCAATCAAAGTTAAGTGGAGTACTTACAGTTTAGTCACAGATATTGGCCAGATCGTTTTGTAGTAGGATCTCATAGGCTCAAAGAATAATACAGAAGATGCGTGACTAAATTGGAAAATTTCAAAAAAAAGTGACCACCTTTCAAAACGGTCCTTATACAAAATGTTACCTGCTTCCCCGTGACAGATTTTGCACTTATTTTATAGCTGAGATCTTCATCTTTCTATTTCTACTTGTTCGGTTCGAGTAAATAACCTATGGATGCAGTTATTTGACTTTTAATACGGCAAATATTTTTCACGAAATCCGGACTCTTGTGTGTCTAAATATCATTGTACTGATCTCGTCACATTTCTGGAACCACGGGAGCACCATTCAGATTTGGACAGACAAGAGTCCGGTGATAAAATATCACTGTTTTGGCCTCTTATCAACGCAGTATTGCTTGAATAACGGTCATTGGTGATAAAAAAGGTAAAGAATAACAAGACCCTTCGAATGAGGTATGATTTGTCTCATATTTTTCAGAAATGGCTCCAGAATCGTCATTTTAAAATTTGAAATTTTCTGAGGTGTCCATGTGTCTCATCTTGAGGAATATTTATTGAGCTACTGATCCTACCTCAAAATAATCTGGCCGGGATCTATGAGTTTAGTTAACATTATTTTGACATTTATTTATTCTTTCTTTCAAAACTCAGACGACTTCCGGCCAGTTTATTCGCTACACTGGACGAAAATATTTGCCCCGGGAATTTAATTTTTATTTATTCGAGACGTTCTTGCAGAATTATATGTAACTTTTGAATGATAAGGGTAATTGTGATTGATTAAGTGCATTTTTTCTTCTATTTTCCGCCAGTTTCAGATGTAAGCTTTAAGTAGTACTCCAGTTATTAAGAAATAAAACTTTGAAGTGGGAATGTTGCAAAAACATTGAAAAAAATATCCGACCCTTTTTCTCGAAAGGGTCAGATATTAAAAAAATATCCGGCAGTTTTCAGAAAAGAGCAGAGTATTGCCAAATTACAAGCAACTAAGAACCAATCAGATTTGAGTATTTTAATGAGGTGCATAATAAAATGAGTTATGGTAAGATATATTGTAAGAAATATGAAGAAAATTCACCATCCTGTTTACGCTTAATATAGAAAAATGTGAAATAATCATGAAAATCTGTTAAAATAGATTTATGGGGGTAAAAAACATTTTTCATGTGCCTCCAATATTAAGGGGTAACCATAGTTTTGGTAATGGTTTGCTTTTCAAAAAGTGATAAATTCCAGTATGTGTATCTAGCACAAGTAATACGAGTACATTACGTGGGATAAGTGATATATTCCGTCATTGTTATTGTTAATTGCAATGGCATATTGCATTTCTTAGATTGAACCTAGTTTGAATAAGTTCGGCAAAGTAAGTAAGTTCGGCATTTTGTCGTCGTAATAGTATTACATTTACTTTTAATATAATTCCCAGTATTTTTATATTTAAACTTTAAAGCATGCATTTACAATTCAAATTTCACTTTTCATATTGTGGAAATCGTGATGTAACGCAATTAAAGTACGTTTTATTATAGTTTTAATAATAAGTCGCATTTAAACTGCATTGCGCCACAATTTCCATCGTGTGTACTCAACTTTTGATTTAAAACTTATTCTACGGGATTAAATTAGGTCTTACCTGAAATAATTTTCTATAGAATGTCTTATTTGCTTCGATAACTGCCGGGCATTTTGCATGATTTGACCACATGTTTAACACCTGTTGATCCCAAGTTTGAGCCCAGATATCTTTCTGTTCAGCTTCATAGGCATATACCATGTCTTGAAATCCATTTATTAGTACATCTGATGCAATTCCGGATATACCAGCTGAAAATATTTCATTACATTTCAATTAGAGTGAAAAGTATCGACATTTCTTTCGATTGTGTAATATAATTCAACCCAACCTGATTTCCCAATTTAGAGCGAGTTTTAAAAAATGAATATTGCGTTTTTCGTAAATAGAAAAACGATGCATAATCTGCTCTGAACTGTGAATTTAAGAAAGTGATCGTATTCATCGACATTTATGCTTATGCAATTCACGGTTGCATTTTTGGCATAAAAGGTGATTTCGCAAAGTAGGAAATATGTGAACATTTTACGTATTTTTTACTCAAATTGCAATTCTCTCAACTGATTTTTTAGCATTCCGGCTAAATGTTTAAGGCGGTTATTTTAGATTTTCCGTCCTAAAATCGTGTCTCTTCTGATACGTGTGACAAAATTGCCCATTGGTGGGGACATGTTGTACACGGTTGTTTCTTGAACAAAAAATAATAAACCTGATCATACCTGATTGAATCATGCGAAGTGCGACCTCAACGATATCTTTCGTTGATGCATTTCCATCTTTGTTCACATCCAACGTTAAAACCATCGTTGCCACTTTTCTTAACCAGATATCTGGAATATCCTTCGTCTTTTCACTCTCCCAGGGTGTCTTCAAATTATACTCGCGGCGGAATAAGAATGCCATGTTTCACAAACAATGAACCACAGTTTGCAATATACTGTATCTTATATAGAAATATGCCATTCGTCACACATACACTCTCCTCCAAAAGGTTGGCAACATTTTCTCCATAGGCCAACGTGTATGTGTTAAAGCTTCTGTATGTTTGCATTTTTAACTTCATAAGCTGTGACAAAATAACTTATAATGAAAAGGGATGTGTCACTGGTTAGTATCATCCGAAGGTAACGGCCGTCACCTTCGCATCAAAGATGGCGGATGGGAAGTGTCGGTTTTGATATTTCTTAGTTTTCATCTTAAACTACTTTATAGTTGACGTAATGCTTTGATATTTGAACCAAATCCGACTCATATGACATGGGAACTATGGAATATGATAATTTGTTCATATATCATGCGTGGGCGCCACAGTTCAAGGATGTCTTCTACCGCTTAAGGGAAGGTAACTGGAAATGTAAGATACGGTAATGGTCATGTTAGTTTTCAATATACGACAACGAGACATCTTAGCTCACCATTATAAACTCTCATAACATCACCGCATCACAGCATATCAGTTACCTTTAAGCTATCATCTGTTAAACCAAAATCCCAGTTACCTTCCCTGAAGCGGTGGAAGATATCCTTGAACTGTTGCGCCCATGCATGGTATATGAACAGATGATCATACCCCAGAGTTTCCATGTCATATAAGTCGGGTTTAGTGCGTCAACTATAAAGTTGTTTAATTTTATGAAAACTAAAAAATATCGAAATCGACACTTCCCGTCCGCCATTTTTGATGCGTAGGTGACGGGCGTTACCTTCGCTTAATACTGACTAGTAAGATGTGGAGATGTAGCTTGACTATATTTCCTTTACCCCAAACAAATTACAAATTACTTGAATTCCAAAATGACGTTTTTTTTTATTTCGCAGTCTATTTGAAAGCCAAAACTCGTGATTGAAAGCTCGGTCTGCGTGAGAAATATGTATTTTTTCAAAACATTTTTGCTTTTTTGAAAAGGTGTAATTTAAGGTCAATACAATATATATATATAGAGAAATAAGTATATTTACGAACCACTTGATTTGAATCTTTTCTTTGATAATTGTGTTTTTAACTTGACAAATATGCAATCCTTTATATAGAACTTGTTTTTGAAGAAATGAGAATACCTACGTTAATATACATGTGTCTAATTCATGTTGAAGTTCTAACTTACAATTAGTGTCAGGCATAATTTGTTACTTATAGAATATCGTTAACTGCGATTTAAAGCAGTATATACTACAATAATACGTGTATGTAACTTTTGTCCTGATGTCAAGATCAATGTGAATGAAGATGCATATTTTAAAGGCAGAAACAAAGAAAGAAGATCTGTCCAAAATTGCATGAAACATGTCCGACTGATCTGCCAATATACTTTCTTAACCGTCTCAATCATATTCAGTACATCACGTGCACAGACATGGGCCACCCATGCCTATGGGGTTTACGAAAAGACCGCCCCCACTGACGACGAGCTGTCTGTGTTTTCTGCAGGTACAGATGTGGCCTCAAAACAGGGTTAGAGGAAATTGTGTAGACGACGACTTTTATATTAACGCAAGGCAATCAACACTTCCTGGCCTGATAACCTATCATTTATACGGGAATCTATCCTTTTTAATTGTTTACTGAAATTCAAAGTAGGCCTATTTTTAATGAAAAATACCTATTTATTATGAAAATGATTTGTTAGAGGAAAGAACGCTGAACACGACATAATGTTACATGCGTTATCTAGTCAGGACCAGAAGTGACTAACAATTTAAGCACACCTATTTTGTCATATTGAATGTGGCTTTTACCGGATTGACGTTTATGGCCTAGTCACATAGCCCGGCCGATGAGGTTACGATGAGCCAGCGATGCAATTTTCACCGAACTCGGCCGAACACCGGCGGGACACCGGCCGGACATCCATGGCGTTTGTTGCTTAAAACCGCATCGGTGGTAGCTCGGTGAAATTTTAACTTCGGAGTTAAATTTCATCGGGCTCTCACCGAGCTCCCTCATCATGTCATCGCAGCCCCATCGTAACCACATCGGAAAACACGTCGGCCGGTGCACGGCCGAGTATCGGCCGGTGTCCCGTGCATCTGAGACAACCAGAGGACGAGGTTTTTTAACGGACAGCGGCCGAGCTCCGACCGAGCTCCGGCCGGTGTGGGACAGAGCATCGGCCGGTCACTGTTCAAAGCCCGTTAACAACCCGGCCGGCGATCGCACGGTGTCCTGTTACCTGCTCGGGTACAGGCCGTATTCCTTCCTATGTCCGGCCGACCTCCGGCCAGTAGTTGCTGCCACATCGGCAGAAAAAAACTACCATTTTGAGACAGACTCCGTACGGTCACCGGCCGGTGTTCGGTCGGTCGCCTGAAGATGTCCGGACGGAGTCCGTTCACGTCACCGAGCTCTGCTTCCGATGAGGAGAGCTCGGTGGCACCAAAAAAATCCACCGAGCTCTACCGATGCATCGGCCGGGCTATGTGACTAGGCCATTAACAACTGAGAAGTCAAACATTACGTATTGATCTTCAAAAACTTGATTTTATCAATCTTTAGAGTTGTTTTTCATTCTTAACATCGTAATGAAATGTGCATTTCCTCAATATGATCCAAAGGGACTAACCAAAATGAAAATGGTCTTCTAACAACTGAGACATTGACTTATAATATGACATTACAAACCTTGTAAAGGTACTGTAGTCATTGGATTAGATTTTTGTTTTTCCTCATTCAATTTTGCATCTATTTATCTTCACGTGACCTAACTTTGGAGATTGACTAGTCGGTGTTCTGCTTTTTTCGTAAACCGATACTAATGTATATTTCTCATGTGCCCACACATGTATTGTGTAGCGGGTGATTTGGACAACCATATTTATAGGATTTAATGAATAAAATAACTTTGGAATTCAATGAAAAACATATAGGCCACAAAGAATCATTTGAGCCGAATTTATTTTTAAATTGGGGAACTTTTGGAAAAGTTGATCGCTCAATTTGATTATACAAGTGCTAAATTTCTTAGAATGTAATGATATAAACTTATTGAAGGGAACTACCGACGTGTAGAAAGGGTGGATCTGGGGTAAATTATTAGAGGGAAAACTTGCTTTTAATATGATCATTTGGGCTGAAAATACAAACAATTTCGGTTTGCTAAAAAATATATTTTGGATAATATTCAATTTATTATGACTTATATCAGGTGTTCCAAAAAATGAGCCCCTTTTTGATCAGCATTTTCTCGGAAACTGATTGACCAAATTTACCTTAAATTTATACAACGTAACGTCAGGGTATCATTAGTAAGCTGTAAAAATATAGAAAAGATCAAGTGAATACTCTGTGAGAACTAAGAAATTCAGAATAGTATTTCAAAAATTCCCATACCAGAGCTCTGCGATGAGACCTCCACGGTGTTTGTACCAGTTATCATGTGATAACATCTGCCAATCATCTGTCTGTGTGTCATGTTTAATTAATTCGTTTCATTTTTCCCAAATATCAAAAATCCATTCTTTCTCAAAATTCATTTGAGGTGATATTGTTAGAATAAATATGGAAAGGTACTTTTGCTTGGAAATGGATTAATAAGTGACTTGATATTGGTCATTTTGACATACACACACATAATATATCTCTAACATACATATTTATAGCACTAGCAGAAGATACCCTAAAGTGCTTCAAGTAAAATCTTTAAATATTTTTGCCCATCTATTTCGTTGCTACGGTATGGGATATTTTGACATGTTATCTTGAATTTCTTAGTTCTCACATTACATTTACTAAATCTTTTTCATATTTTTCATACATTGCTAATGATACAAATTTTCGGTGAATTTGGGTCACCGGTTGCCGAGAAAATACTTGTCAAAATGGCTCTTTTTTGTGGACACCCGATATGTCAGGTCATGACATCTAGAGTGTCAATATAAAAGGCATATATATTCAATCATTGATATCGACCAATGGTCCATAAAAACGATTCTTCGTATCAGCATCAGTATGATTGTGCTCATAATCAATAGCTGCATCTACGAATTCTTTCTCAGAAATCTTCCCATCATGGTCCGCGTCCATGTAATCAAACTGCATCCTTGCTAGACTGGGATCCAGGTCGAGAGCAGTCCAGAAGTGAATGTACTCGGAGAAACTGATAAAACCGTCAGAGTTTAAATCTAAAGCCTGCAATAAAGAGAATATAAGAGCAACGTCAATCTGCGCTAAGTAGCTTTTCTCAACTCGTGAAAGACTCCTCACCCACGAAGTCATTCACTCCAACATGGAGAAGCAATTCTTTTTAACTGATTAATTATTCATGAGTAGTCTGTATATGGTCCTACAAGTCTTCATTGGAACTATCACGTGACATTCGACTGGCGGACAACAGCTCAGATTAGGACAAAATGTAATCAAAATTTCAAAAGATTACCCCCGATTTATAAAGACGCTATAAGTGCGTTGCGAAATCTTTATATTAGCCACTGGGGGTTTGTATTATAAAAATACTATATCAGATAAATACAGGTTTACAAAACTCTATCAGTTGACACGTGTGAGGTCTCATGTCTATCAGCTGACTTTGCTGGTATGTTTAAAGTCTGGGAAATCTCCCTCCGCTTGTAATTGTAGTTATCGTCAAATTTTTTGTAACATTCGGTTGTATCACAACATTACAGCTGATTATATCAGATCCTGTCTACCTGATCCATTTAGATTACCGAGCATGATTTAGGCGAATTGCATCTGAATGCCTAAAATAAATGATTGGTCAGGTCGCAGCAAGATTACTACTAGTTCAACAAGTTAAACCCAATACCACGGCTTTCATTTATTAATATGAATGTTATTGTTGCCGTGAATGGGTTTAACTTCCGTGCCATAGTTTTATTTGTTGCAAATTCTCACGATCAGTTATAAATTAAACGCGCATGAAATTCTATGCGCTGCCCTAGGCCACTATTAAATATTTTGCATCACGGGCCGAATAGGCACGGACGTTAAACCTAGGGCGGGCCACAAGATATGTCAGATAAGAAATAAGGCCCAGACTAGGTTTAACTTGTTGAACTAGATTACTACTAGTTCTTACCCGAAACAGCTTGCTATAGAATGTTTTATTTGCTTCAATAACTGCCGGACACTTTGCAGCGTTTGACCACATATCTAATACTTGTTGATCCCAAGTTTGTTCAAGGATATCTTGCTGTTCAGCTTCATAGGCAATTGCGATATCTCTAAATGCATTTATTAGTGCATCCGATGCAATTCCAACTACACAAGCTGAAAAATGTTCGAAACATATCAATACTAAAATACTAAAGTACTAAAATGAACTATAGCCCCCATAGGCGTAGCATCAATTTTTGTAAAATTCAAAATAAATCTTCTTTTTTGGCTTGTTGCCACAATCGCACCCCCTGACTGGAAACCGATTATTTGTCAATCGCACCCCCCCCCTCACTGAAAGCTGGCTACGCCCCTGGTCCGTTTGCAACATATTGCTGTTTTGTGGATAACACTTGTGATTGCAAATTGTAGTAAAAATGCTCATTACTAATGCATTGACTCAGACTTTACTAGATCTTATGACAATGAAGAATTATTATCCGGTATTTGTGTTTTTTAGAAAACCATCATAATTTTCCGGAGAAATGGCGGCCAATTTGAATTCAGCATTCTTCTTAACCAGAGTCCTGTTCTACAAGACGTAAAATGTGAATCAAATCTGTCAAATGTTTTATGAGTTTAACAAGAGTTTACGTGTTTAGCAAAAATGGCGTCCACTTGAACTGAAAAAAGGGAGGTTTTGCCTCGTATCAAAATGGGCGCGAATGAAAAAGGAGCATTTGGTAAGATTTTTTTATTTTAACGATTTTCAGGTTACAATTAATTTTTGGCAAATATGATTACAACTTAGAAATCAATCTAGCCATTGCTGAGATATTTACAAATCAATTCTCTGGCTTTGGAAACGAGACACAATGATAGGAGGAAATATTTATGAAAAAAATTATGAAACCTCCCTCGTTTCCAGTTCATCCCAAGTAATTAGCCTATATATAATTTACCCCGAATCCTGCAGTATAACTTGTATTTTACTGATGCACCCATGGTTTGACGTAATGCCATATACAAAGGCCGATCCAGAAGTTCTGATAAAAATGCTGTATCTTTTTCTTAAGAATGGAAATCACTTGAAAAGACCCAACCCTACCTGATTTAATAATTCGGTTTCCGACCATCAATACATCTTCTTTCGACAGTATTCCATCATTGTCCACATCCCATGCAAGAGTCATCGTTGCAATCTTCCTTAACCAGATATCAGGAATGTTCCTCGTTATGCTATTTTCCTTAAGTATCTGCAAGTTATACTTAAATTGAGATGTTGCATATGCCATCTTTTACACACACTTAACATATTCGAGATAGCCCGTGTGTACTAGTCGTATCTGTGCCCTGTATAAACGTGTTTTCGTCACACTAAGTTTGTTTTCATTGAAATCCATCTTTACGAGCGGATATACGAGCGGAGCGGAGCGGCTATTAAATTAACTTGCCTTTATGTTAATTTTTATCACTTAATTCATAATTTAGCTCACAGTTCCCCTGAACTTGATATATAGTCCTTTAGATGTTCCGAAAAAATAACTGACTTCCCTTATAAATAAAATATATTTCGTTTTGATTGTAACAGGTGATTTTGCCTCTAAAAGGAGTCACGCAAGGTTGCCTTCTAAAAATAACTTTTTGGACATATCTTTTTGTCTTTACCACATAACTGCATTTTAAGTATGATATCAATTAATTTTAATAAAAATTGAGTACTTTGATCAACAAATGAATATAAATAATTGACTTTGACGGCTTGGAAATCTGATGATTATCCATGTTAAGTCAAGAGTGCATGTCCCCATGTAAAGTCAATTTATCCTTGCTTAAATCCTCATTTTCTAAGCGAAAGTCCCTGTTACCGAAAAAATGTAACATAGCCAAATGTTTAGCATATATATGTAGGAACACTATGCAGTAGTTGGTTATTGTAGCGGACACCCGGACAACAAATTTCTTATCTAAGGCTCTTGGAAAATCAGATCGGGGATGCAAAGAGTTGGTTCAATGTTTACAGTATCTTGACGTGGGTGGGTGAATGTGAGGATGGATGAGTGTGTGGATGGATGGATCTAGCAACCGACCAGTCTTATTATTCGTTAATGTTTACAGTATCTTGACGTGGGTGGGTAAAGGTGATGATGGATGAGTGTGTGGATGGATGGATCTAGCAACCGACCAGTCTTATTATTCGTTAATGTTTACAGTATCTTGACGTGGGTGGGTGAATGTGAGGATGGATGAGTGTGTGGATGGATGGATCTAGCAACCGACCAGTCTTATTATTCGTTAATGTTTACAGTATCCTGATGTGGGTGGGTGAATGTGAGGATGGATGAGTGTGTGGACGGATGGATCTAGCAACCGACCAGTCTTATTATTCGTTAATGTTTACAGTATCTTGACGTGGGTGGGTGAATGTGAGGATGGATGAGTGTGTGGATGGATGGATCTAGCAACCGACCAGTCTTATTATTCGTTAATGTTTACAGTATCTTGATGTTGGTGGGTGAATGTGAGGATGGATGAGTGTGTGGATGGATGGATCTAGCAACCGACCAGTCTTATTATTCGTTAATGTTTACAGTATCTTGACGTGGGTGGGTGAATGTGAGGATGGATGAGTGTGTGGATGGATGGATCTAGCAACCGACCAGTCTTATTATTCGTTAATGTTTACAGTATCTTGACGTGGGTGGGTGAATGTGAGGATGGATGAGTGTGTGGATGGATGGATCTAGCAACCGACCAGTCTTATTATTCGTTAATGTTTACAGTATCCTGATGTGGGTGGGTAAAGGTGATGATGGATGAGTGTGTGGATGGATGGATCTAGCAACCGACCAGTCTTATTATTCGTTAATGTTTACAGTATCTTGATGTTGGTGGGTGAATGTGAGGATGGATGAGTGTGTGGATGGATGGATCTAGCAACCGACCAGTCTTATTATTCGTTAATGTTTACAGTATCCTGATGTGGGTGGGTAAAGGTGATGATGGATGAGTGTGTGGATGGATGGATCTAGCAACCGACCAGTCTTAGTATTCGTTAATGCTTACAGTATCTTGACGTGGGTGGGTAAAGGTGATGATGGATGAGTGTGTGGATGGATGGATCTAGCAACCGACCAGTCTTATTATTCGTTAATGCTTACAGTATCTTGACGTGGGTGGGTAAAGGTGATGATGGATGAGTGTGTGGATGGATGGATCTAGCAACCGACCAGTCTTATTATTCGTTAATGCTTACAGTATCTTGACGTGGGTGGGTAAAGGTGAGGATGGATGAGTGTGTGGATGGATGGATCTAGCAACCGACCAGTGTTATTGATTCACAATACTCCATATATTCTAGCAAACCCTAACTCATTGACGGTGCATTTACTTAATTTGATCCAGTCAGTCTTCCTCCTTCGTGGCTGACCGGCGGGGAGTTAATAAAAATGGGCCTCATTTAGATATAGGCCTCGTTTCTTGTAAAATGGTATACCAAAATTATTAATGGTCAGAGACATTTGTGCTGTTATCCGATATATGAGTACTACTCTACCCATCGTTGATTTGGGAATTCTAAATACCGAATCATACATGCTGCATTGCATCGTACTGTATATTTGTAGTATGTATTTTGTTGAGATAAATTCATGACTCCGAGAGTTAACCATCCTCCGATCACAGGGTTTCAAAATCCAGAACATATTCTTTCTTTTTACCCCCTGCGATAAGCAGTTACCATTTCCCCGATTAAGAACTCGCAATCTGATTGGCTGTCGCAACACTGCGACAGAAATCATGTATAAGTCATTGCACATAGTTAGATCACGTGATTAAGTTAAATCGGGCGCGTCCAAATTGGTTATAGCAGGGGGAAGAAGGAGGTACGGATTTTGGACCTGCTAAGGAGGATGAGAGTAAACATATTGTTGCAAACGAGGTAATACTGGAACCGACTTTATCACAGAAAACAATCTAGATATAGAATGGTTTGAATGACCTCCACCCAATTTTGAACAAGGGCAAATCTGAAATAGAGGAAACAAACCCATGCAAGGAATATCGCGAATATCACTTACGTTTTAATAACATGGTTAGATTATTTTGCCGCTATACTTCAGGTACATTTATGTGCAGACAAAATGGCAGGTTCTGCATCAGTCGTATAATCAAGTCGGACCTACTAGTGAAGTTATTCCTCGATCAGATCAAATCAGCCGTTTCCGATAATCAATCACATTTCAAGTAAATTAGTTACATAAGCGGTAACGATATATGATAAAGCTTTTTCCGATAATCAATTATATATCGAGTAAAGTAGTTAAAGAAGCGGTAATCATCTATATATGATAACGCATGACCATGTGAGCACTACAAGTAAATGAAGCTACACGTGTAAACCTCACCGTGTGAAAATTGACACTCCTCTGTTTCTTAAAGTCCTTAAGTTCGCAAGTTTGTTTGTGCCTTTTCTGGCTTGAGTAACAGACAGCGAAAATCAAGGTGACTGGGCTGAGGCCCGGGTATACAATCATTAATAAAAAATCAGTATTATTCTTATTCAATGTAAGTAATACTAGTATAGTAAAAGATAATATATACATGTATACACCACGCATTACCAACTCAGTACACTAGGGGACTTTTTAAACATTTTTAACGTATTCCTGGGCCTGAGTGACATTACTGATATTAAAGGGGCAACGTTATGATTATTAGAAGTTGATGCCAATAAAAATTAAATTCTTAAAAGATTGATAGTTACATGTACCTTGGTTCTAATAATGTGAAAAATGCAAAGTGATTATTACTGCTCTGTTTGATAGATAATCAATAATATATAATCGCCAAGTATTTGCAAATTGCATTCTCTTCACGAATTTGAGAAAAACTTTTTTCAAAAATTGCTTGATGAATACCTTTGAAGTATTCTTTTAATGTTCTTGAAAGTCGTGCAAATTGTTGTTTTAGAATTGTGACGATAAGCCAAGCCTTATAAAGCCTAGATATGATTTTTTTTCTTCCCACCCCCATTTTTGATTTCGTTAATTCGATTCCCATGTTGCTTGAATTACGTACAAGTTAACACTCTTGTATTGAATGTCCTCAACTGGAGAAAACTAGCTGCAAAACAATCTATTTCAGAATGATAAGGTCACTATTTCTAATGAAACAATCCATGTCTATATTTCGCAGTTATGTCTACAAACCCAGTGCCACTGACGGAATAGATCACGTGGATAGGGTGTACATACAGCTGTCTCGATTCTTCATAGTTTAACTTTAGTCAACAGCAGTGTATAGGGGTTGCCTCAAATTATTAAAATCAAATTGATTGCCTACATGCAGGTAACATATATTGCAAGGTAATCATAATATGACTTTGATATGGTCATTGAAAAAACAATTTGCGGGAATATCTACGTTATTGCAAATTAGAAAAATTAACAATGCGCCCCATCAAAAATTACCAGGCGTATTTCTACTACTCGATACAAATTTCCAAATAAACAGTGATACACATAGTTATAATACCCGCCAATGTGACAACTTCCATATTGAACATGCGAACAAATTTTCCATAAAACGGAATGGGCCTTCACTATGGAATTCTCTTAAAAATTCCACAAAAATGTCAAAATCTATAACCTCCTTTAAAAAGGCCTACAAATCTGACCTCTTGTCAAGCTACTTATAAAAAATCTGTCTTATTAAACATCTTTATTTACTATCCACGCATTGTATATTACAATAGTCATGGCACATCATTTAAACACAACGTACATACATGCTTAGTGTATGCATTGTACTATGTTATATCATGTAAATACTTGTATATATGAAACTCATATACCTATATACCCTTGTAAACTAGTTAGACTATATATATATATATTTTATATTTGCTAGTGATACTTTTTTTTGATACTTGACATTATACTTTTATATGCCATTCGGTGTCAGTATTAGTCATGTATTATTATTGTATATACATTTTTTCTAAATAAATAAATAAATAAATAAATATTTTTACAACGCTCTCGGGGTATGCATGGTATTTGTTGACTTGTTGAAAGGACCCCTCGAACACATTTTGAAACACACTGACAGAAACATTTAGGAAACTGAGAAGGCAGCAAGACGTAATGTGATATGATACGCTAACAACAAGTGGTTTCGTTGTACACACATATACCAGTTTACAACAACAGAGAATTACAGTAATGTTCCTCGACGGGCGTTCTTCAAGATGAAGCCGTATTGCCAGAAATTGCCATTGGTATTTGCTAGTTTTGCTGCTTTTATACTATGTTTGCAGCACGTTGGGGCAGTTAAAGGGACAGTAGAAGAAGGTGAGTAATGCCTCGCTCACATTAGATCTACGGCAAACGTTCGGCGGCCGTGGGTTCACAAAATCGATATAGAAAATCTACATCGTACTACCTATCCCTATATTTTATGCTGCGTATTTCTCTCGTTTTTGGGAAGCTACGACCGCCGTACTGTTGCCGTAGAGCAAACGTGACCGAGGCGTGTACGTTAATGCTCAATACGCAAAGATCATACATTTTTGTATCCATGTTTATGTCGTGTGAGTAATATTTGAGGTCAATGGAGTTTGGGTAGAAATAGTAATGTTCTCTAAAGAAATAGCGCTCAGTAAAACAAGTTGTCATGCGTCTGATACCGATCATTAGTAAAATGTTTCGCACAATGGCGCCAGATGTATCCTCAACCGCATCTCGTTTTATTTGTCTGTGCGCGCTAGCTCCATGCATACGCCTTGACCATTACGTGTGTGCGTACAGTAAGTGTACGTACTGTACAATGCGATAACAGACAGGTTAAGTTATACGTTTTTAAAACAACCTGTACGTGAGCGTGTAATATTTCGACCCTAGTGTGTGCCAAATTGCTTTCTAAGTGGCTTAGTTAGGCTAAACCTATGTTGTGGTAGCTTACTATGAATTGACCCATAGTCATTTTAGATTGATCTATTATCTATTCATTTTTACTTGTCTGCAGTCAAAATAGTGACACGAAAGGGCTAAACGGCTTGCACCAAGGTGCGACCGTCAAAAAGATGAGTTTGCAAAATATACATTTTTTAAATAATACTTGTAAGTATATAAAATAAGACGCAAATTTGATATTGATGTGTAATGATAGTCCATTCGAGTGTAGTAATTTTATGAAAAACAATTATGGTAAAAAAATGGATATTTATGACCTTAAAATGCGTTTTCAATTAAAAATTTACTGTTGTCAAGGATATTATTCCTATTTTATATAGTCCATGTTTTTTAAATATACCAATAACCATTTCATTAGTTTTTGACAAAGTAAATAATTATAGGGCTCACACAAGGATCAACTTTGTTCATAGCAATTTCATATTAAGTGATGTTTTGAAAAAATACGAAGGTAAACTAAATTTTTTTTTAATTTGTTGAAGAAAAAACAATTGTATGTTTGTTTTCTTGTTTCGACTGAAAAATCTCAATTCATCGCCCTTGCTTCGCAAGCAGGAGAGTCTACACCAGTACGAAAAAGTCTTTAAAAAGCTGATCCTTGTGTGGGCCCTACAATTATTTACTTTGTCAAAAACGTATATAATGGTTATTCGGATATATAAAAATCATTTAATAGGTAAAATAGGAATAGTATCATTGACTTTTGATTTTGAATAAAAAAGTATTACGAGCATTTAGTGCATCACTTAGTTTATAGCTTGCAGACAGTGATCTAAGAGACATCATCTTGTAGTAATGGGTGTGACAGTGATGAGAGGGAATTGATTTTATTCGCAAGTTTTGACAATCCTAGAAGTATTGATGGTTTATCTTACGGACGTCATATTAAAAGATACCAATTTGCATTACATCAACATCAAAGAAGTTTGATTTGTTTACAGATACGTACGTGATACCTGTAGCAGTTGCACTAGATTGATATACAACAAGATATTATATGTGAGCATTCATTGCAACATTTACTTAAGAGTAAAGAGTAGTAATTTTACTAAATCTGATGGAAAATTAGATAATTTAAGTCTATCTCTTTTGGTTTATTCAATTTAAATATTACTTTTGCAATAAAGATACCTTAGTTTTGAAGCATTAGCAGCAATTTCATTTCAAAAAAATCAGTTTTCAACTTCGTATGTTTTATTCATAAAATATGTATTCAACATAGGTCAAAAGTCAGGGTCATTTCAGGTTTAAAATATCAATATCTAGGATAATTGGCATTTTAAGACATTTTGCCGATGGTGTGACCCTTCACAACCGATGATTATGTGACCTGAGGTAAAGATCAACTGAATGGGTGTAGGTAATTTCAAGGTCAATATCTAGCAATTTGGTGTTTTAAGGCAATTGAGAACAATTCTGACCCTTAACAACCGACAACCTGTTGTCAGGGTCAAGGTCTATAGGTCAAGATGATTGCAAGGTCATCAATATCAATAAATTGAGAAGAATTGTGACCTTTGGCGACCAATGATTAGGTGACCTGGTGTCAAGGTCATTTCAAGGTCAATATCTAGGTAGTTGGCAAATGTGGGGCTACAGTCCTATTTAATGACCAATGATAAAGTGACAAGAGATCTATAAGTCAGTGTTTATGGATCAAGATCATTTCAAGGTCATAGCTCAATATTATGTAAAGTCCCTGTGATAAAAATGATATCATCCAACTTCTTCACTTGAAAAGAAAAAACATCATGAATCCCCCTCAACCTTTATTTTTCAACTTATTTTTTATGATTTCATTCTGGTTTGATTCCTTGAGAACTTAATGATACGCTACATGATTTTACTACTATATGTACGGGTATAAGCATCAAATGTGGTGCCACCTGTTATTAATAACATTCGTAAACATAATGCTTGAATGTATAAATAAATTGCAATTGAAAATATAAATATTTGAAAATATATCTGAAATATTATTGATAAGATCCCCACTTTGTCACTTTTTGAAAAATATTAGGCTTATTTTCTAAAGTATTTTTTCTTAATTCGAATATATCAAAAGTACTTCTACGCTAATGAATTAACAAATTCTGAAAAGGGGACGGGTATTGAAATGTGATAAAGTTAAAAACCACAAAATCCATGTTATTTACCATTGGAAAAACTCAGACTATCCATCGTTTTCAACATAATTTTGTCATTGAAAATTCATATCTCCAAAACTACACTTTCATTACAATTCTACTAATGAAAAAGTTTTAGACCACTTGTTGAATAATATTTTCATGCAATTCAAATAAAAAAGAAGAACCTCTGTTGAGTAAATAATTTCAAAAAAAATGTTGAGATGGGTTCCCCATTCATAGTTTTTTAGATTGTTTGAATGATATTTTTGTAATGATTGAGAATTGAATTTTCTTGAAAGATAACATATTGTGTTTTTGAGAAATGTCATATTTATATTGAGAAAGTAGTCATGGTAAAATATATGACGATCAAATATCACTTGCCATACTATACCTGGTCCTTTGCCAATTTGAAGTAAATTGTAAAATCATATCAGAAGAGAGGATACCCAAATATGAGGTCATTAGTTTAATGACTGCAATTAGTAATAAACAGTCACGATGACTAAGTTTTTCACGAGAGTTACTTTCTTTAATAGTTCTGAATTGGATCAGTAAGCGGATGTGTTTTCCAAAATCTAAATTTAAAGCAAATTTAAAGTTTAATGGCCAAAGCAGGTTCAACATATTATATTTAGTTAAATCAAACAACAAATAATATGACCATTTAATTCACACTAGTTTCTTCATATGCCTGGACTAAAAAATCTCGAATCTGTTTGGGTGAAATAACCAAATGTGACCAATAATATGAGTATATTTGAGTATTGTCTCTTCATTTTCCAGTCAAAAATGTAAGATTTAAAAATAGTTTTACAAATAATTGCAGTAAAACATGCAAGATATAATGCACATTGGTTATTGAAATGTAAAGATAGTCCATGAGGGTATGGTTATATTATTAAAAACAATTATGGTAAAAATTGGGTATTTCTAACCATATAATGCTTTTTATTCCAAGTTCAAAGACATTATTCCTATTTTACCTTTGAAATGATTTTCATACCGACGAATAACCATTATATCAGTTTCTGGTAAAGTAAATAAGTGTAGGGCTTACACAAGGATCAACGTTTTTTAAGACTGTTTATGTACTTGTATATCCCCTGCCGTTCTTAGAGGAAGAGCAATGAATTGCGATTTTTCAGTCAAAACAATGAAATAAACACACTCTGTTTATTTTGTTAAACATTTAACAAATAAAATTGTGTTTAACCTTATATTTTTTCAAAACATCACTTAATATGAAAATATTGCAAATAAAGTTGATCCTTGTGTGAGCCCTATATTTATTTACTTTGCCAAAAATGAATATAATGGTAATTAAAATATTTTGAAAACAATGAATAGGTGAAATAGGAATATTATCATTAACAACCATGACTTTTCAATTAAGATGGTATTTTCAGGTCAGAAATATACAATTCTTCACAATTATTGTTTTTTATGAAAATGGCCACACGCAAATGGACTATCATACTTATCAATATCAAATTTGCCTCCTATATTGTATACCCATTGCTATTATTTGAAAAAAATAATTTTTTATCAAACTCATCTTTTTGATGGTTGAACCTTGGTGCAAGCCGTTTAGCCCTTTCGTGTCACCTTTTTGAGTGCAGACAAGTAAAAATGAATAGTTGATGGACCAATCTATAATGATAATGGGTCACTTCATAGTAAGCTACCACAACATAGGTTTTTGTGATTTTCTGGAGTTTTGGCACACACTACCCCTGGCATTACTGTCCCGCTCTCAATTCACTTTTCCAGGGACCTAATACAATCATTTTCCGTATTCGTACTCAGTCGGCCAAGTAAACACTGTACAAATGGGAGAACTATAATCCACAGAGGACCATAAATCTACACGCTTACAAACAAGTTTAAGAAACGTGTATCTAAACCTTCCTAATAACTCATTATCTAAGCTTGTATTCGCTTTATGTAACTTTCGGCTGTCGGCTACCGGATTAACCTTCTCAGTATTTCATGGGCAACTCATTTAACCATCAATAGAACCTGCCACTGTTCTATTAATATTTAAATGAGTTTGTTATAAAATAGTAGGTTAATTCGCTAATACAACCTATAGTAATATTCTTTGAGTTTGCTTATCCTTTTGCAGATCTCATCAATAACTTGACCAATCACAACATTCTAGTGAGACCTGTGACGTTTACAAATGAGACTGTAACTGTGAATATGGGAATGTCCCTGATAAAGATATTGGATATTGTAGGTTGAATAATTATGGCATGTATATATTATAAGTTATTAAATGATTTGAAGTGCAATACAAGATATATTTTGCTCGAGAAATTCTGTATTGTAACGAGACGAAGTCGAGTGCCAATTCAGAATATCGAGACAGAATATATCCTGTATTGCACTTCGAATCATTTAATAACGTTTTTATCGTGTGATCTTAGGCCAATACATTTTACTTGGGAAATGATCCCTAAGAATTATTCTGTATTCTCTGTATTGCTACTGAGATTGTCCCCGCCTCCGTACTATATTTTCTGTATTGCTATGGAGATGATCAGTGGGGACAATCTCAGTAGCAATACAAATTGGTACATCACAAGAACTGGCCAATCAGAGGGCTTCATTTTACAGATCATACGATAAGACTTTGTAGCTTCAGTCTGAGACTTGCTATTCCTGGCATAAAGTACAATATGAAGTAAAAAATACTACATACAATATATGAATACAAAATATATAATTCACTTCAATGGTGTTTGCAAAGAATAGAAAAAGCTAGGGTGAATTATAAATATATGCTCCCAAATGTGATTTCTCCCGTCTTTAATATTTAACAATCACTTGAAAATGTTAATTTGTTAAATTCCAACATTGAGTGTGGGAACAAGATTAATTTTTATTCCAGGACGAAGCTGCAAACATTATACGTGCAAGTGTGTGGCTACGATTTGTAAGTACTAGTTGATTATATAATCAAAAAACGTGCTTTTGTTTTAAATATAAATCTCATTGATAATAGAATCGTATTTGGCTTGTACATTATTGCTCAAATATTTGGAATATTTTGTGTTTTAAGTATTTAACATTGATTTTAATTTCACAACTTAAGATTTTATTTATCTAGTTTTATTCATGGATCAACATTCATTACTTTCCTTGTACCATTTACAGAATTACATTGTCTAGTGGTTTTGATCGTATGGCATCGTTTCAATGTCAGTCCCAAAATGAGCGAATTGCAATTGATAACTATAACATCGGATTTTTTCAAAAACATCAGAGAGAAGACACACCATCTTTGTCATGTCTGTTCGGATGAGCCTAAAGAATAGGGAGCCAATTCAAGAACTAAATGAAAAGTAGATATGTAGTGGATAAAAGATAATCACATTGCAAGAGAATGGCGGTAACATGAAACAAGGCGTGGTCAAAAGAACGATATCTATGACACAAATGCAAGTAAAAGTATTAGAGGGCAGTGATACATGTAGTCTTCATATCACCTGACAGAGATGATAAAATGCTTATCAGCTTAGTAAATCATAACGCCACCCCACGATATTCGTAAATCAGCTGAGGTGGGCAGCGAAGAGCTATTTGAAGTTCAATATTGGGGGTAACCATCAATAGACGTAGTTCACGGTTGAGCGTCGTCTTAAAAAACAAGAGCAAGGCGAAGCAGAGGCGTTGCCAATGACTCAAACAGTATTTGAAGTTTCATTATCGTCCACACTAGCCTAAGGAAGGGGAATTTGAACATAGTCCAGTCAAAGTAACATTTGACCCAAAACTAATTGCAATAGAAACAAAATGTTGTTTTTTCAATTCATATAAACATATGAAATGACATACTAAAAATCTACCAAAATCTATTAAGTGGAACATGTAAAAAAATCATTTTTGGTACCCCCTCCCCTTGAAAAATAGACCCCCCTAAGGAAAAAATTATTTTTCAAATGCCTGCAATTTTTTGAAAGTAATTTTACAATTTCTTGCTTGTAATAAGGTATCCCAATCTGTGTATCTCTTTAACTTTGGTATTCAGAGTGAATAAGAATATTTTTAACCCTTATTCATCCGAAATTTTGCATTAAATGCGCATGGTAATTTTACGTGAACGCCATTATATTCCTAAAAAGCAACTTAATCATGTATAAAAAAAATCCCAGTTTTACCTTCTTGTGTACTCTATACATATACAAAGCAAGAGAATTTGACATTCATTAGTCGTTGAGAAAAAAAATCATAACTTTCGAAAAAAAAATTAAAAAATTAGGGGTAGGCCTTCATTCGCTTCACTTATTTTTAAATCACTAGGAGAATTTAAATCATTAACCCCTGAGGACTTTATAATGAAATCACATATATATTATGTATGCCTTAAATATAATATAAATATATATAAAGTCATAATTTTTTTAAAACAAATTGAAAAATAGGTATAGGCCTTCATTTGTTTCACTTATTTTTAAATTACTGGGAGAATTGAGACCAATAACCCTTAAGGACTTGAAAATGAAATCTTATTAATATTATATACACTATAAATATGATATAGGTAGCTGGGTAAGTAGCTAAATAAGTAGCTTAGTGGGTTGCTGATCAAGTTCGCACCATTGACTTAACATGAGGATATCATCAAGTCGACTTTTCGAGATTTCAAAACATCAAAGAATCTAAATTCGAAGTCAGATTTCAATTCTGATTTCAGAAATTCCCCAGTATCTTGACACCTCAAACATTACATTTATTTAGAATGTTTTGTTTTGACCTACTTTCCATACAAATCTCAAAAGTAGGTTATAATATAGTACCCTCTGACTGAAAGAGGCTACGACTATTAGCGTATTCTTGGCAATCAGTGCATCAAACCTCAAAGAATATTATGAAAGTGTTGTGTCAGAATCACAAAATACGACATTGGCCTCTCAGTGTCAAAATTGTGAATTCAAGTAGCTCTTGAGGCCCTCTTCTGTAATAATGTGCTTTCAGTAAATTTAATTGTATTCAGTCTGTATCTCACTGGTGATCCATTCGATTAAGCTGGTTACGGAAACAGTTTGTTTGTTAACAAAATGTCTGAACCTCAAGGTACAATTTTTATTGTTTTGGGAAGTTTGGGTTTGCTTTTCTTGTGACTGATGTATACTTAAATGTTTTATTTTTCTTACTTTGTTCTGAACAATTTTTGGTCCTTACCCTTTAGCACTAGTGCTAACATATTCCAATCATAGTCTTATGGTTGTTACACGGAAATATGGCATATATTCATGGTTGTGCGATATTTGTGATACGGGTGAATATGCCATACTCACCTGCAGTATATGGCATATTCTGCAGGTGAGTATGGCACATTCCGCAGTGAATATGCGATATATTGATTTCAGTGAATATCAGATCACTGCAGAATATGTCATACTCTCCAGTGGAATATGACTAACTCAACTGCGGAATATGCCATATACAGCAGATGAAAATGTGATACAGAAAGCCTCGAATGAATCGATTCTTAATGTAAAACTATGCTGGATTACCAATATAGTGAGTGCTACGAGTACTAATATAAATGAATCCTGGATTGATTTAGTACGTTTATTACATGTAATTGCTGAATGATACTCCTGAATGTATCAAAAATGTGTAAATCGTGATTGCCAATACAATATGTAAATACTCGTGGTCTTTTAAAGTTTTTATCTGGCTTTTGTCAACTGTTGATTTGGTTATAAAAGTCTCTTATAAGCTTCACGAATGTAAGTTCATTTATTTATGCATCATAATGTTTCCCTTGAAGTGTGTATTTTTGTGTAACACGTACATAAAACAGCATCAAACAATACAGGTACCGTACTGGTATATGTTATTCAATTGTATTAGTTGATATTTTCAATGCACAAATATGTTGATTCAGTAATCATTGACTTTAGCACGTTCCTTGAATCAATGTATTTGACAGTTGTGTACAGTTCCGTATCACATTCTCATTGGTTAGTGTATATGCCATATACCGCGGGTGAATCTGGCATACAGCGCAAGTGAATATGCCATATTCGTTGCGGAATATGACATAAATTTGTATCGTGTTTACCACATAACAATAGTAACTTTTACAATGCCAATCAACATTGTGTCTAAATACATGAGTAGAATGTATAACAAAGCACAGGGTTAACAATATTTTACCTAATACATAGCAGATTGCATTGGGCTTGTTTCCCTAAAAAGCAAGATGACCACCAAAATGTTTATCAGCTGTAGAACATCTTACCATGTAACATGTGTAAAGTTTTGAAGTAAATCCATTGAGTGGTTGTTATGGAATGCCAATGGCAAAATCAATCCAAAAACATCCAAGATGGCCGCCACAATGCAAGATGGCCGCTGAAAGGGGACCAGAATGCAAGATGGCTTCTGAAAAGTTTATAAGCTCTAGAACTTCTTACTATGTAACATGTGAAAAATTTGAAATAAATATGTTATGATATTTTGGGAATTGTGATGGCAATATTTATCTAAAAACTTCCAAGATGGCCACCAGAATGCAAGATGGCCACCGAAAAGTTAATCAGCTCTAGAACTTCTTTCCATGTAACACTTGTGAAACTTTGAAGTGAATCCATTAAATGGTTTTCCAGAAATCGTGATTTTAAGAAAAATGAAACGCCACCCACCCGCCAAGCAGACAACAGTATCGTACCTTTTTATGTACAATAAAATACACATCATATGATGTCATAATAATGATGTCAAATGAGCTAATTTGCATATGAGCTAATTACATATTTATTGCTTCATTATGATACAAATATCAATTTGAGTCGACGAATAATGAGTAGAATATGCCTGATAATGTATTACATCTATTAACAATATTCAAATGGTTGCTATGGAAACTGGCATTTGACATCATTGGTACCAAATCTAAGACTCGGATACAAGTCGATTTGAAAAGGTTGGGTTATAAGCTCTTCAACCGTACCTTATTTGTGCCTTTTCCTCTCGTTTGTACAAATTTCATTTTCTGACCTTCATTCCATGGTAGCCAAACCATATGGTATCAAAAAGTTTATTTCTCAAAATTTAATAAACTTATCATTTCAATATTATATAGGAATAATAAGTGAATGTTGGTCCATCTTTATAAATTATAGGACATTTTCTAGAAGGTCCCATTAATATAAAAACACACATTCAAATTAGTATATGCGTAATTTGAGGGATTTTTTTCTATTTTTCTGGGTTTGTAAGGGTTAAAAGAGAAGACAAATGAACTTTTTCTTTGTTAAAGTAATATTATTATCTACGAAAAACAATATCCAATCATGGTCAAGCTAAATTATGTAAAAATAAGACCTCAACTTTAAGAAATATGTTTTTAGCCATGCACTCATAATTTGAAGGGGGTGGGGTAGGGGGTATCTTCAATTCAAATTTTAACATTGTTCCACTACTTCGATTTTGGTAGATTTTTAGTATGTATTTCATGGTTAATAAATGTAAATAACTAACCTTATTTGGTTTCTATTGCAATTTGTTTTGGGTTAAGCTATTTTTTTCATTAGTTTGACTGGGCTAACAGTAATTTTCGAGGAACAGTATAATGGGTTCACGTGGTTAGCTCCAACATTAAAATGCTCCAATCCAACAAAGGGGAATAAGGAAACGTCTATTATGAAAACCCAGGAATCTGCCCAGCCCCACGTACTACGGGGGAGCTTAATATTTCCCCTGAAGCAAAGGATATGACCACTTCTTCCGCCATCTTTTTGAATATGAAACAATTTTCAATTAATTTCAAACTCAAGACTACACCGTGTCATACTTTTCATAAAATCATATACAGTCACACAAGATAAATAAAATAATATGTTAAGTCTTAACACTGGTGATAGTACTTATGATACTTGATTTTAGTCAACCATCCGTGGCCCTTTCAAAGTTATGTTTAATCTGTGGAGTAGTCAATGATAAAGTCCATCTGTAAGTTTAGCTATCCGATAGACCATGTATCATGCTTCATTGAATTGATTTTGCTGTTAATATAACGCCCTGTTTTAATTTTGAAATAGCTTTTATAATCCAAAGGGTAAATCCATTCTAAATCTCCACGAGCCATTAAGATTGAATAAAAGCCCAGTACTTGGTATTTACTACACTTTTCATCATTATCACATATAAATATGCATTCAATCAAGAGATGCACATTTGAGTGAACGTTTTGTTTTTCAGTCATGGAACGCCAAAAATTTAGCATGGGACCCATCTATATATGATGTTGATTTGGTACGCATTCCGATAATGAAATTATGGAGACCCGATATTGTCCTCTACAATGGAGTTGGAACAGAGAAGCACTGGGACGAGGGAGAACATAAAAATGCTGTGATTACTAGGGATGGGACGGTGGTATATATTCCATTTGCCACAATTACGGCACAGTGTAATTTGAATTATAGACTATACCCTTACGATGAGCAGACATGCACTTTCAAGTTTGGATCCTGGACCCATGACGGGTTTAAGGTAGGTGTATTTTGAGATTACGGGATGTATATAAAGTAATTCGGCAACCATAGGATTGTTGTGTAAACAAATAACAAAAGATTTTGGCATTATGACGTCATGCCCCTTTTAGATTTGCCTAGGGGTTGGGATATACCATTAAACTGTTGTTAAAGTGTTCTTAGATTAGTGTTCCCCATGTTATTTCCTCATAGAGAAAATTCGTGCTATCCATTGATTTCAGCCCATTTTTGTCATCGAAATTCAGTATTTTAAGAAATAAAACATATCTCAAATTGCATTCTAATCGTGCATTTAACACTACAATAAAAACATGTTTTTTTTAAGTATATTGATGGGTTTATTGTCCCTTTATTCAGAAAATATTCATAGTTAAAGAAGATATATAATCGTCTGACATCTTTTCCGCTCATCTTTGTTACGTTTGATGAATGTAATCAAAAGAGAGTTAGAACCTACTTACATTTTAATTCGTTTATCCACATGAATGAATTTGTTACGGATAGTTCACATATGTGTGTACATTGATGGTTTGAACCCAACTTGCATAATGGATGCTCTATTCTATATTTATGTAAATTGTCCATATTTTGCAGTTGGATTTAGCGTTCTTCTCCGATTTGGCCGCTATTGACACAAATGACTACATCGGTGACTCAGCTTGGGTTCTAATGAAAACAAATGGAGTGAAGAATACAAAGTACTACCCATGTTGTAAGGAGCCTTACCCCGACATCACATTCAGCCTGACTGTTCTTCGCAAAAGCACTTATCTGGTGGTTGTCTATATCTATCCAGTGGTCATCGTGGCATTCGTCTCTCCATTCATATTTCTTATCCCACATCAAATACCAGGAAAAGTTCTTTTTGGTATGTTTGGGATCATTTTTGTGTTTACTGGATGAGAAAGCTTGGAAAATGGAAAGATATGTTTATTAGGGCAATATCTTATTCAATATATTGTGTGCATATATATTTATTACTTTTTCGTTTCCTTACCTGATAAAACGTTCACGTACGAAGTACACTTGGAACACATCCCATTGTTATAAATTGACCAAAAAATAGTTTTGCTATGTGGGATATTTTTATTGTATTTTTATTGTATTTTTATTTTCTGTTGTACTTGACAGCTTTATGCATCTCCCTGGAAAATGGTTCAGAGAAAAGCTAAGGAGGGATAGAAAATAATGAAAGTCGGAACCTTCATTTTTATTAAATTGATATTAAGTTCCTTGTACAATTCTGATTATATTTACCATAATAAAATAAGATATTAACAGAACATATAAAGCAATCATTGAAGAAATTCAGAAATTCATTGGTATGAAAAAGGTGACGTCTGCGATTTTCTTTTCTATACATTCTGAGAATCTCTTAAATTGTGCCAAATATGGCCATGCTTTATGACCGAGTCGTTAACATTTGTTTAGGTTACCTTTTTTGCTTCACCCTGTTGTTGCAATCGCTTCATTAAACAAGTACGAATGTATTTCTTAGGACTGTTGGTTCTGCTCATAGAAGTGATACAGTTGATGATGTTAAACTCAGCTTTACCTGGACATAGAGTAAACACACCGATCGTAGGTAAGCTTTGTACACAAAATACAGGGTGACCGGAAAAAAAGGAGACCATTGAAGTAATCAATTTCTCCTAAACTAGACAAGTGCCATCAATGAAATTTTGCATACACTGGAACAGTTATATGGAAATTTGTTACTGAAGGTTTCAATACAAGCATTCAACTGGTTCAGGAGCTATGATCATTTACATAACATGCTCCAAATAGGCACAATTGAGACCAACGCAGAGTTGGATTCATATGGCAAACTACCCTTACATGTTCTGCCCTCTATGGCATTATTATGGCATTACATATAGCAGTGATTGCCTTCTTTAGGTCAACAATAGTCTGAGGATTGTTTTGGTATAGATTGTCTTTCAAATATCCATACAAAAAGAAATCAGCAGGATTCAAGTCTAGGCTGTAATGGCAATGAAGGGTTATCTGACATGTGGTTCATCATCCTGTTGCCAAAGTGCTGATTTACCAAATCTTAAGAGTCACTTTAGGTATTGGGCATAGTGCCATGTTACTAAAACCACTATATGGCACAATTAAATCCCATATGGAAACCAAGGGCTGCCCAAAACCTCCTTAGGATGATACTGTAACTGAGTGGGACCACTGAGTCAGAAGCCATAGGTCAGATAAGCTTCGTTTCCATACACCTCAAATTTGAATCCACCTGATTTCTTTTTGTGGGTCAATTTGAAAGACAATGTGTACCAAAACAATCCTGAGACAATTGCTGACCTAAAGGTGGCAATAAATGCTAAATGTAATGCCATAACAAGGTCGGAATATGTAAGGGTATTTGCCAAATGTATCCAGCTCTGCGTTGGTCTCAATTGCGCCTATTTGGAGCATGTTATGTAAATGATCATAGCTCCTGAACCAGTTGACTGCTTGTATTGACACTTTCAGGAACAAATTTCCATAGAACTGTCCTGATGTATGCAAAATTTCATTGATGTCACTAGTCTATTTTAGGAGATATTGCCTATTTCAATGGTCTCCTTTTTTTCCGGTCACCCTGTACATGATAATATTTGAAAAAATGATTCCAACTCCAATCAAATTTTCAAAATACAATGAGATTGTCACCTGAAAAATTAAATCAATTCAGTTCTGTTTAAAACAATTTGATAATGATTGTTAAATGCGGCCTGATGTATTTCTAGTGTGGGTTTACTTGTATAATATGGCCATGACAACCGTCTCTTTGTTTCTTACACTCGTTACAACTAACCTGAGTGCAAGTGGTTTTTGTGGAAGACCTGTACCAAACTTCATCAGAAAGGTAATAAGTAATGAATATAAAGTATCTTTCATATTTATACAGTGTAACGCATATTCTGTTTGGTCGGTTTATTATGTCCCCACCACATAGTGTGGGGCCATATTGTCGGCCTAGGCGCGTCCGTCTGTCCGTCTGTCTGTCCGTCCGTCTGTCTGTCCGTCTGTCTGTCCGTACGTCCGGGAGTTTTCTCCAAAACCGCTGCAGATATCACCTTCAAATTTTCAGGGATAATTTATGAGTGCATACAGATGTGGATGAAAAAAAATTAACTCGATACCTACTTCCTGTCGGCCATTTTGAAGTCAAATGCTAAAATCCTTGTCTGCAAACTTTAAGAAAAACGGCTTCACAGTTGCTTTTAAAACTTTAACATCTTGTTCAGCTCACTTCATTCTAGATCTGATTAGGTTTTGGACCTGTTAGCTCAGTCATGTCAGCCATTTTGAATGTTTTAAGAAAAGTTAGCGCACGATAATACTTTCTATCATATTGAATGGTGTTTTTCAGTTTTCATGCTTTAACTTTTTAGTAGCTTTATAAATAATTTCAGGTGTACTTTGTTGTAAAAGCTTATGTTATTGTTAACAGTAGGTATATGTGATAATTTTGTAAAAAGATTTCAGCAAAAACTCATAATCACTTTTTTATTGTCGGCCATTTTGGATTTTTCCGTCCTAAAATCTTGTCTGTAAAGTCTTGTCTACGCGTTTTCAGGTGAACCGTTTGGTAGATCAATTTCAAATTTTCAGGGATGATTCTTAGTATGAGAATCTAGATCTGATTAGTTTTTGGGCATTCTGGGTAAATGTCAAGGCAGCCATTTTGGATTTTCCGTCCTAAAATCTTGTCTGTAAAGTCTTGTCTACGCATTTTCAGGTGAACCGTTTGGTAGATCAATTTCAAATTTTCAGGGATGATTCTCAGTATGAAAATCTAGATCTGATAATTTTTACGGCATTCTGGATAAATGTCAAGGCAGCCATTTTGGATTTTCCGTCTTAAAATCTTGCCCGTAAAGTCTTGTCTACACGTTTTTAGGTGAACCGTTTGGTAGATCAATTTCAAATTTTCAGGGATGATTCTTAGTATGAAAATCTAGAACTGATTAGTTTTTGGGCATTCTGGGTAAATGTCAAGGCAGCCATTTTGGATTTTCTGTCCTAAAATCTTGTCTGTAAAGTCTTGTCTACACATTTCCAGGTGAACTGTTTGGTACATCAATTTTAAATTTTCAGAGATGATTCTTAGTATGAAAATCTAGAACAGATTAGTTTTTGGCATTCTGGATAAATGTCAAGGCAGCCATTTTGGATTTTCTGTCCTCAAATCTTGTCTGTAACGTCTTGTTTACATGTTTTCTGGTTAACTGTGTGAGGGATCAATTTCAAATTTTCAGGGGTGATTCTTAGTATGAAAATCTAGAACTGACTAATTTTTTGTCATTCTTGGTAAATTTTCAGATGGCCATTTTGTGTCGGTAAAGTCTTGTCTACTCATTTTTAGGATAATCATTTGACAGGATTACCCATAGGTGGGGACATATTGTACACATTTGTGTTCTTGTTTGAATTGCATTAGTTTGGAAGAATTGTTTCCCAAATAATAACAGCAGATTATTGATGTAGCAAATTGTATCTCGTTTTATTTTAGTGTCTCCTCGACAACGCGATTGGACGTCTTTGTGGTGTGTCAGAAACCTCAATGAATTATGACGGTTTTGAGAACCCCCTACATATGACCTCAACCACAGAAGATGGCAGTAAGAATGGCGCCAATACAGGGGTAGAAAGGGCAAATACAGCGGTGACATCAAACGTCGGAGATTGGAAGAGAGTGGCCCTAACTCTGGATCGCTATTTCTTTGTCATTATGCTTGTGATGTCAGTTGTCATCACACTGGGAATGTTAAATCAGTATCAGATTTGATCATTAGAAACAGAATGGTGACTCCATAAGGGACTGGACCAGATTGGAGAAACCACTGCACTTTCCTAGATAATACTTTATATATAGCTTAAACACACTAATTATTGTGTATAATTATTGTGTATATCTCTGCTGCGCCTGTATTGTCAGACAGATTTTATATGGAAATATATTTTTAGATATTTGAATATATTGAAATGACACAGAGTTAGTTATGATGCATCAAAAAGCAAGTCAATCAGAACTCTGAGTATTTAAATTCATTTTAAAGTTTATCTATGCAGGAACGCATGCGAAGTGTTTTCAATTCACCATACACTTCTACGGGTTCTGTTTTTCGTTTTCGTTTTCATATACAGGACTTCCTATATTTCACTGGACGACCGATGCATATCTTGCAATAGGGACACCACATGAGCAGTCTTGACCATCGTATGTTATAATACCTTCTTTTATCAGTTCTTCCGGAAACTGTATGCTTAATTCGTTAAATGCGGCATAGTATACGAGCTTTGAACCTGGTTTACAAACTGCAACAGCATTTTTCATCATATTGCATACCTTGTTTGGTATTTGACCGTAGTATGTAGGTACGGTTGAAAGGTTTACACCATTCAGTTTCCTGAAGTGACTTGCTGATTTATACTCTTTCAAATAATCAGTTACATCTGCTTCAATCCATTGTATTCTTTGTAAACGATCTTTTATAAATTCATAGTTGCCTTCCCTCAGATAAGCGGACATTCGTGCCTCAGTTACATCACCCGTGAGGATTTCTTCCATGCTTGGATTCTCGTTATTTGGGATGTGGTTTATCATATTGTTAAGCTGATTTAGATACAGTTTTCCCAATGTCGTGTTGATATTCTCATACAGGTTGACACTCAGTATTGTGCTTTTTTTAAATCTGCCTTCAAAAGCTTCGTGCAATTCAGGTGTGTTCCATATCTCTTTTTGGAAACGACGCTGTTCTTCCATGTTATCACCCAAGGCTAGGAACTCTTTAATCGTTGATTCACCATGAACAGTGTGAAGAATATCGTTTAGTTCGTTATCAAATGCTTTGGAATACTCTCCGCAATAAAGAACACCATCTGCAATGTCATCAATATGTTTATTCCAAAAGTCGAGAGTATCCGACTCGAGGTCAGATCGTATATGTTCGTAAATTTTAATTCTTTCTGTCTTTGGTATTTGTTTTCTGTTTATTCCTATCAGGGAACAAAATTCTTCCCTTGCTAGAAGTTTCATTCCAGTCACCTGCAGCTTTGCCATATGAAGTTGAGGAGCACTTGTATCCACTGCGAGTATACTTTCTGGATCAGCGAAAAGTTTAGAAAGTGCATGCGTCCCACTTGCAGCAATAGTTAGAATTCGATCGCCGGATTTTATACCCATAGCAGTATTTATCTTGGGCACGTTGATATTATTCTACAATATAATATATGATGAATGAATTGTACTATTTACCTATAATACATATAAAGATATTCCCTTTGATATTTTTTTCATTGATTTTCATTTCAAATCGCAATCAAATTTGGTCCCGGAAACCTCTATGCAGTCCTACTTCATAAAAAGCCAAACTGACCATTGCTACTGACCCAATTTAACGTATCAGAAGGCTTCGTGGCGTACCTATCAACTTTGAAATATGTGGTGTTTCTGATGCGTTTATGCCGAAAAATGTAGACGCAGCATCGGAGGTCTGTAATAGGCGTCTATTTGGAAAATATGGGCGAGAATGAGAGAAAACTAGTAAATTAAAGATAATTAGACGTGTAGTTGAATCCTTTGAAAATCTAATAGCTTTTCACAGCTGGGGTCCCAAACGCCGCTAAGAGGAGGGGCCTTGTTTATAAAAAATGAATGAATTAATAGAAACGCATTTTCGGTTGGTGCAATATGAGATTCAACATCCTTGTAGGTCTAAAATTCAAATTAATGCTTTTTCGTGGTGTAGTTGGTTTCGATACGCTTCAAAAATAGAACCTGCGTGAAGTAGATGAAAAATGCAAGGAATGATAAATATTAAATAAAGCATAATATCGATACAATCATATAGATCAACCAAACAGGGGTCAAATCCTCTAAATAATAGTATAAATCTTTAACCTACCTGACTAAACACAATTGATTCTTCTTTTTCACCAGCAGTTCGTCTAGTCAGTCGTCTCTTAACTGGTGTCGTGACCTGTCTCATTGGCAGTAAGCGATGAGTACGTAGTATGTTCTGCAACATCTTCACTCAAAGTTTATTCATGAACGTACTTATGACATGTATATACGCATCTAAATACACCTAGACATCTGAAATGAATCCGTAAGATTAATTTTCTCCGAGCCCAAGAGTTACCTTGTACTATATTTCAGATAAGGTTTAAAAGTATGCAAATACTTATCATCAGAGTTCTTAATGACATGTGTCGTTGGTAATGCAAACATCTTTTCTCAAATTATTAAAAAGTCAGCATAACCGAACAGATAATTTATCATACAACCTATCATGATTATCATATACAATGCGTCTCAAAAACGCAACAAACAAAAACCTAAATGTAAAACTTAAAAAGGTGATAACTGCATGAAGCCACGTGTCTCGTGTTAATGTTATATCATTTATTCATATTCATATGTGCTATGACCAGTAACTGTTGGACAAGAGGTGGAATAAACATGTACATGTTCAAATCTGAGTCAGTGCTCATGACAGAGTTCCAAGCTTCTAGCTTCGGAATCACGGTCCTCTCTGAAAGATCCTGAACTATTTGGGTGTGAATGCAACTCAGTAACCACAAAAACCTGGTTTGGTGAGACATAAAACATAGATTCTGATGAAAACATAAATTTGACCTTAGCTGGTTTTCACGAATAGCTAGTCTTCAAATTGCGAGGAAAACGGTCGCCGGCAGCCAGCAGTTGCATTCACGAATGCTACCCAAGGCTGTGCTGCGAATATAACAGCCAGATGCCGGAGTAATCTCACCATTTCTTATACTCTTCATCTGTTACGTACGTGGTAAGCTGAATAGATCAATTTGAAAAGATGGTTTAAGGAATAGATCATCCTGTTCATTCTTTATTGTAAATTTAAAGCAAGTGTGCCCATTACTAATCCTTACACATAATACACGAGGGTGGAGTTCTGAGTATATTATCAAGGAAGGTTACTAAGTTAGTACACGCATGAATGTTTTTCCCAGGCCAAAATCAGTTGGAACAAGAGAATTTTTCATTTTTGAGTCCTTTTGACATTTCACTACATACACGTGAGAGATTTTCTTGTCACTCTGGGTTCCAAGGTCATATATGAGGTGACGAGAAATCTCGTCACTCCAGGTAGCGAAGAGGCTAGAAAATTTCCGCCACAAAGGTTTTTTCGGTGAAAACTATTTTCTAGTTATGCTGCCCAGATTAGAAAAACATAAAATAAAACAACACAATGAAATGTTGCCTTTTTAGTGAACATTAGGTAATTTTTTAAAAGGTATGATGTTGGGTTTATTGTCCCCTTATTCAGGAAATGTTCATAAGAAGAAGATATATGAAGATAAAAACCGTCTGACATTGTTTCCGTTCATCTTTGTTACGTTTTGATGAATGTAATCAAAGCAGGGTTGGAACCTACCGACATCTTAATTCGTTTATCCACGTCAATGTATGTGTTACGGATAGTCATCTTGTGTGTGTACTGGTGGTCCTCAACATATTTGAGGCCAATATGCATAATGAATGCCCTATTTTACAGGGTGGTCCAAAAACCAATACACAAGTGTAACCATGGGGGAGTGGACGTGGGTTACATTACAAATCGAATAAACAGAATAAGAATATAAAATGTATTTAAAATGTATTCAACCCTATAATCAATCAAATGATCAAAATGTTATACAAATGAGCTAAATCTCTCAACTGATCTTAATACTCAAGCTACCTAAATCACTAACTGATCTTGTATTCAAGCTACCTAAATCATTAACTGATCTTGTATTTAAGCTACCTAAATCACTTAAGACCAAAACCACAAATGCTTAAGGCTGTGCACCTAGTTTGCACCCCAGAGCTGCAAATAAAAGTAATGTACAAATAGCTGTTTGTAAAGCAGGTAAAATACAATAATGAAACATACAGTTTTATGATAAACTTCTTAGTACTAAGGGCTATGGGACTTAAAGGGCCCTTATTCTGTTCCCAAGAAAACCCTTATACTGTGCTTGACGCACTACATACATTTCTCTATTGAAATTTCCAAATGTAAATATAATTTAGTTACTTTATGCAAAATGTACCATGAAGGTTTACAATTAAGCAATATAAAATAAAATGTGGAATGTACCTTATAAAATAAGCTATACAGTCTCTGAGTGCTAGCCATACATCTTTAGTACGCAAACAGTGTCTCCTGTAAAACGTGTGTACCAAGATAAGTCATATGAAATGACATAAATGGTGGTTTTAATTGTAAATGAATAACGCACAGGTGCATGAAATGAACATCACCTTATGCACAATTGTTCCAACACATTGTTCAAGTTTTACAAAGAAATTACTCAAAAGTATTTGAAATACAAAATAATATTTACATCAAATTGGAGCTAAAGTTATGGAGAATAAAATGAATACAATTGGCATAATGTTGGCATATTCTAAAGGGTAAAAAGTGACAAAAATATATGAAAATTTCTTACCATGTCTATGTTTCCTAAGTGACATCCATACATTCAAGTAGATTTCATGTTAAAGGATTGGGTGAAATACATATTTAAGTGAAACCCACCAGAATGTACAGCCTCAGGAAATGGGTTGGGTGGGAGGGTAACTTATTTTTCAATCATTTCCCAATTTCATGATATTTCATCCAAATTTCATGATATGTAAACTATTATCCATTCCATTCGCTAATGACTACCTCCCTCGAATTCCCTATTTAGAATAAACATTCACTCTACTCAATAATATAGATGTCACTTAGGAAATCTATGTTTCCTAAGTGACATCCATACATTCAAGTAGATTTCATGTTAAAGGATTGGGTGAAATACACATTTAATTTTACCCTTTACGGTGTATTTACATCCTGAATAATGTGATTTGTTAATTTTTACTACTCCCAATCCTCAAATCTTTAATAAAAAATTAACAAAAAACTAACGTGGACATCGGATTTGAGAGCAATCTCTCCCAGTAGTTCTAGTAGATGGTTTTCCATGATGTAATTATGAAGCTAATAAAACCTAAAATTGACCTCATATCATTGTTTCATTCATGAATTACTGGTGGGGAAAAAGCAGTCCCCTAACATGAGTAATTAACCTCAATTGCCAATTACCTCCTACTGTGGAGAGACAACTCTCACATCCGAAGCCCACGTGGTTAAAACCACTAAGAGATCAGTGCTCCCGGACTTTAGATGTAAAGAGAAGCCAATTGTTTATCAGACTTCAGTTTGAAGTTTCAAATGTTACAAACTCAAGTCATTTTCAAATTAGTTTACAAGAGGGTACATGGAATTAAACCATTACATAACCAATCACTTGCATAGGTTATCCAGTCATGTCAAAACAATTCAACCTACTTTCTATTGAGTAAACCCCAGTTTTCATTCAATTGCCAATTACGAGATTATACCTGAGTGTCATTGTTTTCGTCTATAACGTACTGTATAATGACCTCTAATTTTACTGTGTTATTAACACGTTGAATTTCCAGTGTTCATTATAAGGCCATGTTATCAAGATTTTTCATGTCATCAATGTTCTATTTTTCTTTGTTTCTGTCAAATATATGCCTCTCAGAAAACTTCTCTTATATTGTCTCATAGTTATATTTAATAGCCCCTTGCTCTGGCATATATCTCTGTATCTAGGCTCTCCAGGCCTTTTATTCATTACCCCTTATGGTTCATATTTTTTGCCCCCTGCTTGCGCATATATTTTCAGGCCCTTGGAGCCTTTTATTTTAGCCCCTTGCTCGGGCGCCCCTTGCTGGGGCATTTATATCTAGGCCCTCAAAGCCTTTTATTTTAGCCCCTTGCTCGGGCATTTATATCTAGGCCCTCAAAGCCTTTTATTTTAGCCCCTTGCTCGGGCATTATATCTCTAGGCCCTCAAAGCCTTTTATTTTAGCCCCTTGCTCGGGGATGTAAATCAAAATATGCTTACCACTGCTGAATGTACGTCTGGCCACTTCGAATTCCCTATTTAGAATAAACATTCACTCTACTCAATAATATAGATGTCACTTAGGAAACCTTTACAGTTCAAAATCAAGGCTAGCACTGGTGATTTGGAAAGTAAATGCAATCAAGGTTAATCCCCTTACATGTGCACACTGTGTGTAAATCAAGGCTATTCTCCTAGCAGGGTTTGAAAATATAATTGAAATACATAAAAATATAACTCTCCACAGTAGGGTTTGAAAATCTAAAACATCCTGTCACACAAGTTTAAAACCACTTCATGTATTATATGCCATTTTAAGATAAATCAAACAATATGGCACCATCCGATTGAAAGAAACGCTATTTTTCTTGTGGAGTTAGAGGCAGAGATTGACACCAGGTGTGACATGAGCGACCAAAATCCAAAAATAAATATTCTAAAATTTCTTTCCATATTGCAGTCACTGCTGCACTCAATATGGTTGGCTGAATCATTATAAAAGATCCGTCACCCTCAGTATATAAAAATGCCCCCCAGAGCATTCATAAAACCATTATGAAATATACGATGGTATTTGGAAAGGAGTTAATAATTGCATAGTGTTCAGGTGCGTAGTTATTGAGGTCATGGTGACTTGTCAAGTCAGTGCATATCTGGCGATAAAAATTCGTGTGTGTAAAATCATCATTTATAAGACCTAAAATGTGAAAATATGATAAAGAATGTTGTTCAGACCAATTTTAACATTAGCCTTTGACTTTGGAAAGTAGGTCAAACTTTCTAACTTGTTAAGTCAATTATTCAAAATATCAAATGAGCTTGGGGTAATGCTCTTTCTTACCATGGAGAAAGCCTCATCTTGACATTCTAGGCAGGTAACCAATTACTCTTAATATAAGCCATAATAGTCTATAATTCAATAGCATAGTTATATTCTTAATCCACTAAAATCACTGCCATAATCATGTGCTATAATTGTTGCTCAAGTTCACTCTTACGGTGATTCTGCAGTCTTGAGCCAAACTAATTTCATCACTAAACTGTGCCCTCTGTAATGGTGTTCATATTGGGACATAAGATTGGGCGGGACCTGCGGAGGCAATGAACCATTTGTAAAAATAGGCCACCTCAATACATCAAGTAAGTGAAAAACACACACAGCATGGTATAACAGGGCGCATGACGTGAACGAAATCACACCATCGAAAAACCTTCAAAATGGCCACCAGAAAACAAGATGGCCGTCTAAAAGTCAATAAGCTCTAGAACTTGATATCTTCTATCAAGTTTGCGAAATTGGAGAAAATCCAATGATTGGTTTTCCTGAAATGGCGATGACAAGATTTATCGAAAAACCTTCAAAATGTCCATCAGAAACAAAGATGACTCCGAAAAGTTAATCAACTCTAGAACTTATACCCTCTATCATGTGTGCGAATTTGGAAAGTATTCCAGAGCCGTTTTCCTGAAATGGCGATGACAAGATTTATCGAAAAACCATCAAAATGGCCACCAGAAGATGGCCATCTAAAATATAATCAACTCTAGAACTCGATATATCACATCGTTAGGAATTCGTTAGGAATTGTGTATTCTTATCTCTGCTGCGCATGTGGAATATGGAAATATATTTTTAGACATTTGAATATATTGAAATGACTTGGAGTTAGCCATGATACATCAAAAAGCAAGTCAATCAGAACTCGGTATTCAAATTCATTTTAATTCAAGTCTATCTATATGCAGGAACGCATGCGAAGAGTTTTCACTTCACCCTACCTCTATTTAATCTCTTTGGTGTCATCTTTCATTTACGGGTTCTGTTTTTCGTTTTCGTTTCTGTAGAGTATAGTTTCCGAATACAGGTCTAGTTATGGACTTCCTATATCTTACTGGACAATCCAGTGGCGGATCCGGGGGCCATGGTGCCCCCCTCCCCCCCCCCAAGTTTGGCCCAGAGAGAAAAATTGGGCCTTTTTGGTCATTACTAGGTCTTCTAAGGCCTTATCCTTTAATTTCAGGCCAAATTTTGAAGAAAATGGGTCTCAAAATTTCAAAATTTGGGCCCACTTTTTCGGTTTTATCAGTTCTTCCGGAAATTGTATGCTTTTAAAATTCGTTAAATGGGGTATAGTATACTAGCTTTGAACCTGGTTTACAAACTGCAACAGCATTCTTCATCATATTGTATACTTTGTTAGGTATTTGGCCGTAGTATGTAGGTACTGTTGAAAGGTTTACACCATTCAGTTTCCTGAAGTGACTTGTTGATTTATACTCTTTCAAATAATCAGTTACATCTGCTTCAATCCATTGTATTCTTTCTAAACGATCTTTTAAAAATTCATAGTTGCCCTACCTTACTAGATAGGCGGACTAGATCAATCTTGAAAAGATGGTTAAGGGATAGAGCATCCTGTTTATTTTTCATTGAAAATTCAAAGCATGGGTGCATTTACTAATCCGAGTACATTATCAAGATGGGTTCTTTATTGCAATTCAACTATACTATCACCATTTTTAAATATGGCATTGTCCATTTTTTATGAAACAATAATGCGTTGTGATAACGTCACTCTTACCCTAAATGGCACTGCTCGCTTTATTATGAAACCTGTATTGGCAGTTAACTTTATCTTGTCAATGATCCCTAACTTAGAATATATCAAAAGTCAGATCGTACAGCTCTGGCAGCTTTAAGAACTTGTTTTCTAGGAAAAGGTTCCCCGTATTTTGCTTCACGACCCAGTGGTCTCTGAATTATACTCTGATATCTCAAGTGATCCATTGCCTTGGTAAGACCCTCCGTCTTTAGATCGGTTTGGTCAATCTTGCATCTAAGGGGTCTTCTAACCGATTCCAGCTCACAATCTTCAACAACTTTCTTTAACGCTTTTCTAGCCTTTGCTGTTGTTTTGATAATATCAGTTCTGATTAGATCAGCACTTTTCGAGTTGGAGTTTGTGAGCAAAGGTAACATCTGATGCGGTATAATCTGGTAACCTAATGTATTGTAATGCTTTGGTATAGTACATGGAAAATGTGCACATTCGCCAGTTTTTGAATCAAATCTACATGTTCTGTTTTTACGTTGTCGTGATTTTAATTCCGCTGTTTCAGGGTATTGCAGCATCTCGGAATTTATCGTCTGCACACTCGTGCGTCCGAATGTCACGTGACTTTTAGCAGACGCAGACGACATTTTCGAATTATCGCGTCCTGCTCTTAACGCACTACTAGGAGTACAGGGGAGAGAATGGTAGGGTGTCCGGATTGCAGTATTTGATTCATCATTGTCACTCTCATCGCTACTACCGCTAGAATTATCGTGATATTTATCCAACATTGTCTTTACCTGGTCAATTTCCTTATCCACTTTTCGCCTTCTCCTCTGGAGAGTTTTTTCAAGCTGTCGGACCTTTGAGTCCAAGGTGAGCTTTTCTCCGATGTTCCGTTCTCGTGTCCGGTGTATAACCCAAACGCTCCTACATGCACGACGGAGCGTTACATTTACGCGGAAACGCTCCGGAGCGAAATAAAATGGCGGCTAATGAAGATTCCACTATGACCGTAAGTATTGTTTCTCTCGTTTCTCTTACATATCATATGTTATGGTGAAATATTATGTACCATTCGATGAACAATACCGTGAGCAAAGATCTTATTTATTCAACTTCTGGTGGTAAACTGTTATTTGCTTGATCAAAGCTCCGTAGTGTAGATCGAACGAATCTGAAGATGACGTTTTGACCACAAATTACGAATTAAACTAGTATTTCTATGAAAACGTTAATCTTTCTGTTAAAGTAGTAGATCACAATCTCGTATATTCTCATTTCCTAAAATCCCAGTCCAAATCCATTACTTGTTCTCGAGAAATCGCTTGTTTTCCTCGAAACGCTCCGTCGATTTAGAACACAATTTTAGAAACGCTCTTACCATTTTGTTTTGATATCATTTTCAGATTATTAGAGTAGAGTCCCGGATCGAATCTATCTCTTAAAAACGTGTTGTACTTGTTAGGCAAATTGAAACATCTGAACCTGGTGGTGCTAAACGTGCAACTAGCTGATTTAAGCCTATACATTAGATGATGTCATGCCTACATATGTGCTAAATCATAATACTATAGAAAAAAACGAAAATTTATATGTGAATTAATCTTTCTTCTATTGATGCCAAGGGGTATAATGGATCTTTTCTTTCTCTTCCTGAAAAGGAAAGGCAAGCTATATATTTCCTAAACTGGTCTAGACTACCGGAGCGTTTCCAGTTCACTGTGTTAATCAGATCGGAGCGTTTCTTGAATATGAGAATGTCATCATTTTTAAGACTGGATTTTCGGTCATCAAATCAGTATTACGATAATGTATGGTGCGTTGAAGCATTGGAATTTGACTAAAATATACGTTGGTGCTCTAATCTTGGCTCAACTAATCACATGTATCGACAAAAGGGGTTTTGACCGGTAGAATGACAAATACGTTTTTGAATTTTGATAACTATACTGCTTCGTATAGCTCTTCCTAATTGCTTCAAACTTCAACAGCCAGCCATGTACAACATGAATATCACACCCATCGAATGGTATACTCGAAATATGTAACTCATACCTCTTATTCCCATTATTGGGGAAATCGTCAGACGGCTCATCATTCCCGCCAGCCAGTTTTCCTACTCCGGAGCGTTTCTTTGTTTAATTTCAGTAATGAAACGCTCCGTCGTGCATGTAGGAGCGTTTGGGTTATACACCGTGTAATATGGGATGCTCGGAGACTTCGTCTGATCATTGCTTCGCGGATTAGTGCTCGTTCCGCCATTTTAAGTTTTAAATAGAATATCAAAATCTATACGCTAAATTGAGTGCACTTTCTCAAGAAAAGTTTTTTCTTCGACTTGCTTCACATATAATGGATTTAAAGATCTAAATATCCACACTCGTTGAGGTCGAGGGGTTTCAGTTCTAGGACTGTATAAATGTAGTCAGTGAAGTAGTTGTGTAATCATCCGGTTAATGCTGTTCACTGTTCTTCCACCATATGCAAATAATTCTACAACCTGAAAATAAAGGAAAATTGTACACTTGGCGACTATCTATATTTGACACATTATTGATAGTTCAATTAATTAAATTGATAGTGTGTATTCTGAAGCCTTCTGTTAGTTCATGTATAGTACATTTTGTCGCGCTGGTATAAAGGAGTTGTCACATAAACAACGTGGACTCACCGTTCGCAACCATGGGCATTTGCTCTTTGATGAATATTAATCTTTTTTATGTCGTGTGAAGGGATATTTATTGCTGTATAACTGCGTTCGTTTTGTCCACCCTGTATCCATGGCGTGCCCCGACGTCTACCCCAAAGTCAATCACATGGTACTGAACGGTGAGCCCACATACCATAAGTGTGACAGCACCATTATTTATATATGTATAGTTCCTGGTTATGCTTTAACTTACCTGTGCAATGTTATTTACTGTATGCTCAAGTTAATATCCATTTTTCATATGAAGATACCAATATCAAAATACTGCTGTACATCGTGAAACTGCTTAATCATTTTCTATTGAATTGCGTGAATATTACGTTGCTTAATCCAATATGTTTGTTTATTTTTATATTGACATCGTTTTGTAGTTTGGAGAGAGTATCTTAGAGATATTATTGATCACCGCATACTACTGTATCTGTCAGGAAAGTGTATCCGGATAACCCATGAGGAATCAATGGCTCGTTCTTTTATATTAATACGTGTCTCTTGTTCTATTTAAACTTCAGATTTAACGTTCAAGTTAATGTTGAGGTTAAGAAAGTACACAAGTTTCAGCATTTGGTTCTTTCAATACATTGAAATATTTAAGTTCCTATATCAATACTAACATTCCTATATTATTCCAAATCGTTAAACAATGGCCTGAAAGTATGTACATCACAGGATTTACAATCGGATTTAAGTTCAATGTTATCTTTATGATTAGACTCGAACGATTATTCCTAGCCTAAGATATGGCAGGACTCTATAGCATCTAATACTGTTCTGTTTGTGTAAATGTGTGATTGTATGTAGTCCCATTTATCATTATCACATTTTTAATCCAATTTTACAATAAAAGCTTTACGAGGTCTCTATTAAACCACATTGCTATATGACATATATTATCTATATTCTTTTTTACTTACCATTCCTAACGTTATATGCTGTCTTGCTAGGCCGCCTTGAAAAAATCATGTTCTCGTGTGCATCATCTTGCCGAGGATTTTGTCAGACTATATTTTGACCATGTTAGAGAATAGACAAAATGTAAGAAATACCCGGGCCTTTAACATCAGCTCTGTGCATCCAGTAACCATGCACATACGTACTAATAGTATATAAAAGCAATTGATTCGGGAATTAACTACAAAGTTCATGTTGATACATCACTTTATGTTAGCGCTTTAGAGTGTTCAATTGTGTTGACTAGTTATTGAGAATTCTAATTCAAATACGCGTAACCCGAGTAAACATTAAATTGAAAGAAAGGTATTGAATTTCTCTATTTGAAATGAAATGGGTTTCTATGCTCGCTTCGTACACTGTACGAAACAATTTTCTCACTATACATGTGAGCCCATGTGACATTCAAATGACGCAAATATTTCGTGTAAAATGGTTACTATGTCGTCTAGAAATGATGTTACCATATTAACCATCTTGAATTGCAATGTGGTTACACATTTTAGTAGCAATACTATCTAAGTTGTCAATATTACAAAATTTAAATCACCATGTTCCCATAGTGATATCGATAATGATAATTTTAGTGATTAAACATTACTACGGTAACAATTAAAGAACGTTAAATTTGGGTTACTGTGGTTGCATTTTATAAATGTCTTTACATTTTAAGTAATATATGATAAGGTAAATATAGAAATCCGAGATTCATAGTCACTAAATTATGTTAATTAATTTTCACCATTCAAAAATATGTTCTTGTTAAAAAGAATTCTGTGCAAAATTTTACAATGAGTTCACAGACATCGGTTCAGAGGTGAGATATTAAAGTTCGTTTTTAAAAGGTTTTATTTGTTTTTGAATGTGATTAGTTTCAATGACACCACTTTTTTAAGTGAGAGCATTGTCAATACCACTATAAATTCTTCATTTTTAATTCAAAATATTTAAGAAATAAGTAACAATGATTCGATGCACTTCATATTTTAAATGTACCATTTTCAATAAAGGGTATCCGCTTATGTAAATAAATGGTGTTCATTGCTATCCATTGATTATGCATTTCAAGGTTCCTTGTAAAGAAAGTATACTAGTTTCAGTTAAGAAATACATGTTCATTTCTTTTCAAACTTTTTTTGTCATTTGCAATATAATTGTAAGAATTGCGAGAGACAGCAGTTAGAGCGTAAGTTTGGCTAGCGTTTGCTTGTGAGACGGAAATGATGAACACCACTGTTATGATAACGTTATAGAGAAGTATCATGTTAATGAATCTCGTGCCTTTAAAATGTCAACCACAGAAAAGGCAAAAAGGCGAGCAGCCCAACTTAACAAACTGAACAATGTAAAACTGGAAAAAGATCTAGTCTCAATCAAAAAAGCTCAAAGTAACAGAAAAAAGACTCTAAGTGATGAAATTGCTGACCTGAGAGAAGACTTCAGAAAAATCAAGGATAAAACGCCATCGCTGGGTGATAAAAAGACAATTGAAGGTGCAGGTCCACCTCAAAGCGAAGCTGAACGAATCATTAAACGACTTTATGATTTGAGATCGAAGAAACATAATGCGGACATTCTCGTTGAAAGACCAGATACTCGTAACACAGAAAAAACTAAAAGTGATACTAAATATAAGCGGCGACGCCCTGAGAAACAGATAGATCCAAGAACAATTGCAACCAGCGCCGGAGAAAGACATCATCACCGAAGCAAATCGTGGCCAAATGATGGGTCGATACTAAATCATAGTAAAGACAAATCTAATCAAGAAGTACCCTTACTAGAAAGATTCAATACAATTGCGGAGTAAAACCATGAATTAAGATAATTTAACCGACGATTAATTTTAAAACAAATTAGTCATTGCCAAAGAGAATCAAAGAGGCCACCGTTTCCTAGTGATACTTTGAAATATATAAACTGTCAACAATACCTCTCTATTTTAATATAGGGTCAATAAGTAATGTTAGTAAAAGAGGACAAAATTCATGGACAAAGTAAAGTATTTTCCTCTTTTCTTAATACACATAAAAGAATATAATACCTTTCTAAATATGGTTTAACACAATTGTTAGGTATTTTCAATATCTGGATCACTTTCTTTAGAAAGAAACAATGACGGGTCAATAAACTTCACTCTGCTCGTTAGGAACCATTCCATTGAAGGTTTGTCGATTTATATTCAACGTTAAAATAGAGAGGCTTGCTCGTGTGAAATTATAGGATTTTTAAGAAAGGATAACAACTAAATTGATAATCACCACGATCAGCAAGGATGTCTAGGTCTATTGTTTACGGAATGAGTCGGTACTGATGTTGCCTTGACATTCGCACAACAACAAGAATCAATCATGCTCTGTACCAATTCAATATGAATGGACGTTTGGGAAATTATGTTTCTCAAGAAACATGATGTCTTATAAATTATTAAAAGCACGGTGGAGAGAAAATGTGGAATCATAGAAGCTACTTGTTTTGGTTTTTCACCAGGGGATATTATAAATCAATAAAGACAGTGTTTTGATGTTTGTTTCATCCTCGAGTCATTATAATGATTAAGAAATACTCATAGAGCCGACATACAGTGTAGACGAATACTAAAAGTGTAGTTGTTGGTGCCCCCGCTAACGTACTTAGGGATTAAACATGCCGGCAAATCAAAGCGTTGTCGAGATGACGCCGGGGACATCTTCAAAGATGAACATTGCTCAACATCTTGGAAACGTGGAACAGATCCGATTAGAAAAGCAACTGAAATATTTGAACAAACAAGAGGTAATCTATGAACGCAAGGCGACAAAGGAAATAGGGAAACTCACACGAGGTCTTACCGATTTGAAATTAGCGAAGAGGGAGTCGACATTTTCATCCATAAGTGATTCAAAGCATATGGATGTTAAAAATAAGGTCGTAAAACGTGATCGAATTAAACTGACATCTTGCAATAATATCGGGAACGAGAGTAGGGACCATTACGGGCGAACGTCGCCAACTTTCATCACGACTGGTGCTGCCGTATCTTCGCCACATTCATCTATCAAAACAAAGGAAAACATCTCATCCAACAGTAATCAAAGCATAAAAACTATTACAAATGATACCCGGGATCCATTTCCGACAAGCACAAAAACTTATAAACGTGTATCGAGGTCCTTAGAAGAACTAAACATGCGCCGGTCGCTAACATTTACAGCGAAAGGTGACATTGCCAATGTTGACGTCAGATTGACACGATCAAAGTCAAAAGCCACATTTGTGAATACAGTTACTCCAGGGCATGTATATCTTACCAGGAGGAAATGTCTGACACCGCCACCGATAGGTGGACTTAAGGAAATACTGTGACAAAACATATTTTGGGAGAACACATCTACATGTAGATGCATCGTGTCAGTGCAAGATTAGCAAATAGTATTGCTATGTTGAACGCTTGGCATATAGGCATATATAGAAACGATTTAAAGAGAAATAAGATCTATCACACATTTTTTATATAGATCATATACATCCTTCATAACATCACGGCGCAACCTGATATCATCACAAAATTTAATAATGCAACAACAACATATCTTGTATTCTGTGTGAAAATGAAATAAAATGGTTGAAATAATGTTATAATAATAAATAATGTTGCTAAATCTTGATATTTTCCATGGATTGTAAAAAATGATGTAAACAGTGTGTATAAGATGTAAACAGTGTAATGCTATTTATTTGGTGAAATCTAAACTTTTGTTATGGTGGGAAATTAGAACATTTGGAAATTAAATAGCAAAAACTGGAACATTGTGTTTCAATGAATTCGAAAATATTTTCAAAAACTTTGCATCAAGGAAATACAATGCAACAAATCAATAAAGCTGATCGCACACATATAGGCGGACTGTTTTTGGGACCTAGACTGCATTTTTGTATGCCCGCGGTGCTAGTGAATTACGTAATGTTTTAATGAGGTTTATCCCCAGGTATCACTAAAAAGAACAATAAGCCCTGCAGTGCTCATGACATGCTCATGTATTTTCAACAAAAAAGCTTATTCAAGCACACTAACACTTACGTTATTATTTTGAAAGACATCACGGTTTATTGCAAACTCCTGTGGTGCACTTGCCACAAGCCGGCGCGGTTGACACGCGCGAGCACCCGACAAGGTTGCCACAGCGTAATTTGCGATTTAAGTGCGTTTGGATGAACTGTATTTGTTAAAAAAACATGTGACCAAGAAATAATTATGCATACATGTATCTGCCTTCAAAAAGCTATTTCACTGTGGCTAGTCGATCTATGTGGATGCAGTCATTTATATGCAATGTATCGTGGGTGCTCGCGTACATTATAGGGAATGGGATCATTGCCAAAATATAACAGCAAATCGAGGTAAGTGATCTCAGGGTTTCTACTTTACATTGTGACTTGAAATCTTGCATACATATTCAATATACATATTATGACAATGTGTGAAAGTTTCAGCTACCATATTCCTGTTATAGGGGAGATACTTTTATCATGATGATTTATTTACTGATGGACAACTGGCCAGATTTTCTTTGTATCCATTGTTTGGATAAACATTCCTCATTCAGTAAAGTAATTAGCCACACCATTACAAGACACCCTCGTGAAGAATTGAAAATACTATACATAAACCCATCAACTGGAAAATGCCATTACAGATGAAAAAACTATGGTTTTATCCCTAATACTGTTAATTTGAAAAACGGGTCCATAACATGTAATGATGACAATGAAAATGTTGAAATGAGTTCGCCAATGAAGTGAAATCAGAGGCAAAACCTATCAACCCACTGGAATACCCACAAATCAAGTTTCATAGCCTTGCCCAAGTCGGTCTCTTTTACTTATATTGATTTCTATTATGACCACCTTGTACCCAAGAGAAAGCCACGTGCTTTACCGACCCAATGTTTTTGTCAGTAAAATTTGACCAATCAACGATGGCCCTACATTGCCGGACTAGGTCTTCGTGCATTGCCATCGAGAATTGATTTTGAATCAACATTGAATTGCATAATTTCATTTATACAAGTATTAATGACTGCTTACATTCCAAAGTACATTTAATGACATAAAATATTGTAACTTTCAAGAAACACTCGATCAGATCGGATGACGTTTTGATTGGTCAATCAGCCTTAAGTCACAGGTCGTGTCCATGCGATCTTGTCAATCAATAAGGTTTCGCGATACCCTTAGGTAGCATAGGTATTATGGGAATCTCGGAACCGCTGAATAACTTAGTATAATATCAGCGATGATGCATTGGATTGTACAAGGTGGTAATAATTCAAGATCAGATAAGTAAATAAATACCGACTTGGGCAAAGCTACAAGTTTCAGGCCATTAACATTCCTTAAAAGTGACAATGAGCAACCAACAGATAGACCATCCGTAAATCTTGTCTGCTACCCAAATTCAAGAATAATATTATCTATTTACAACTTTTTTGAAATCATGGTAGGTGGAATCTTTCCAATTACCAATATAGCATTATCATTGTTTTTGGACATTAAAATATTAAAAATACATACATTCAAAATGATTCAATTAAAACCTAGCCAGTCTGTTCATTGAATCCATTAAGAACGTCTATTAATCCACATGATACATCATAATTAAATTGCTTTTTTAAAACGGATATTTCATACCATAACGCCAAAAATATTATAAAACGCATTGTATTTGTATTTTACTTCACACAGACATATTTGTGTACGTGAAATAATTATATTACTTGAATTTTTTATTCCCCATTATAAGGTAAACATATGGCAAATTATACATACTTCTCACAGCTATGAGCGAGATTATAAAACTGGTCGAGTGAACACGTTTGAGTTATCTATTCTCCGTAAAAATATCAGAGAATGTGTGTTTATAGCGTAGCTTTGGTTTTGTAAATCAATGAAGTATGATATACACGGATGAGTAAATATAGATTATCTAAACAGAAGTGCAAAATTCTTCCATTGAAAAGTACAGAGGCGGGCACTCACGAAACATTACATGTGCCTGACTGCATCCACATAGATCGACTGGCCACAGTGATTTGGTCAAAATTCATGACTGCCGAAACAATAGAGAGGATTGCAAATGAAAATCGTATAAAATATATTTTCATTTAAGTTTAGTTTCGGTAAATGATATAAAGTTGTACAAAAGAAAAGTGTTACCCATCGTTGAAATAGAAAATGTTACGTCATCTGTAGCAACGCTGCATAAGAAATTACCAAAAACATATGAAGACATCAAAGATATTACCTAGTAAAAATGACGATTACCTACACATAAACCAATAGAAAGAGTTTGCAAAACAACCAAGCAATGAATTTAAGTGTACTGGCATTTATATGCCTCGCAACGCCATTGCTTTCATAACTTTTCTGATGTCGACAGCTTGATCATGCGCCGAAACATTTCAAACATTATGAAGATAATACATGACTCGAGTAACGGAAAAGCCCGATCAAATTCTGAAATAGTTGTCCTCGATGACGTTTGCACTTGATTAGGCTGCTTGGGTCAAAACTGTAATTATAAATGATCACACGATACCAAATAAAACGACAACGAATATAGTCCAGAGTAGGGATACTAGCGGTTACCGGTTACTTATTTGGCTTTCTGTATAAAAAAGCTTTTTCTCCTTTTCTGTCCCGTCGCAGCGCCATCTAGTGTTTGATAAATGAATCAAGGTTTATTCTCGATAGGGTAAGTACTAATCTATCAGGAAACATTTACAAGTTTGGTTAGAAACAGAATTTTTAGAGATGGCGGAGTGATTTTTGAGACTATGTAGAGCAGAATAATTTTCTGAAACAGGTAGCTTTACAGTGGTAGCTCAAAAACGGTGTGGTCACCGTATGCTTATTTTGTAACGGCAAGCTAAACAAGACTCCAATGAACACTGCGCACTGTTTCGCTGAGCTAGATCTTTGCCTCGAATATATTATGAAATGAAACGGTATAATGGTCGTCAATGGGATTTTTACTGCAATCTTGACCCAACGTTTTCTTAGCCTAATTCGTTCAAAATACATTTTAAAATGATCATCTTATTAAACTTCCTCAACCCAAATAGAGATTTAATGAAGCCGAGTAACTTCTAGGTACGTTGTCCTTAAAATAAATTCAAAAAAGAATATGTCTTTCAGAATTAAAATTCGAAATATGAGATGAAATTTTAATAACACATGTAGTATTTGCCAAAATGTATCAAAAGATAAAATAAGCTTTTAAAAACGCTTCTGGTTTCATTCACATTTTGAATTATTAGAATTCAAATTGTGACAATAGATTTGGCTAAATTGTCAGATGTTTTCATAAATACCAAGCGTAGGCTTACTCTAAACAAATCTTGTTTAAAACATGGTTTGTCTTTTTATAATTTATAAATATTTACATTGGTGTCACAACAACTTCACTCCATTAGTGTTTGTCATTCTATTTTGGTTTGGAAGATGTCGTTTATGCAGCTTAAAAGAAGACTCTGGAGCTGTTTGAAGTAACCAACGCTTGACCTGAGGATTTAGGGACTTATTCATTTAGAGTATCCTTTCAAAAGGTGAAAAGTGTTTAAGGTGAGATATAATAATGGAAAACTAATAGCATACAATAAGATCTTTTAGATTCAATTCAATTAGTTTTGAAGCTAAATTTTTTAGCAATAACAACATTGTATCGTCTATGGCTATTAAACTTTTTGAAGTGGAAGTACTCTTAGGATTATTGCTCTTGATATTAATAATGATATCATTTGGATATTGCAGGATACAAAAGATGGCAGATCGTTTTAGGCGTGTAGAGGAAAATAAGAAAGAGCAATCACGTCTTGAAGGCAGCATCGCTGACTTAGATCGCATGGCAAAAGCAAATTGCTCAAAACTGGACCGAGAAATGTCTGCCCTTTCAAATAGCTTTGAGAAACTGCATCAACGGACAACAGATCTCCGTGAATTTGAATTAGAGACTAAAGTTGATCGATACTTGTCGACTTTGAATCCAAATATGAATGTTCAGGTTACTTCCAGTGACAAGTGGTCATCTATGCCTTCGTTGATGACGTCGCCAAAAATGGCACGGAAATTAACGGAAGATGCTCTCAGGCAACACGAGCTATCATTAAGGGAGAGCGACAATACTGATCGGAAAATACCGAACACTGTATCGCCTAGATTGTTAAGAAAGACTATGTCATCGAAGCACATAGGTATCACCCGTCCACCGACCCCGGCTCTTCCGACAAAATTTTCTTTTTCATTTAGTCCACCGTCGCCGGGCTCCCAGCCTAAGCTGCATTTTTACGGGAGGGAAAAATCGATTGCCACAAACACGAGTAAGCTTAACGCAAGTGACAATTCTGCACTTATATCGCCAAGATTGGAACGACGAATGCAACTGGATGTTAGTTCGAGCAAAGCCGACATTAGAAAAACAGCATCTTTGCCAGATATTCCGTCAAGCCCAGGGGAATCTCCGAAGCTCACGCGAATTCAAGAATTACGTTTATCTGCACATTAAAAAAACACTGTAAGCCAAAAAGCCGCTGCGTTAAAAGATAAACGTTATATGTTTTAAATTGTTTAGGGGAATGTTTTTTAAATACGTTTATTACCACATTCCTAAATGCAAGTTGCAGACTTTATAAAAAGCTTATGGATAATCATTATACGTTTAAATGGTTAATGGGCAATAGTTATTTGGCGTCTACTAGCCAATTCAATTTGCTTTCACCGAATGTTTCTATAAAGCAATTTGGTTTTAATTCGATAAACATATTAAATACAAGTTGCAAGATTTCATTATGGTGATGCCAATAATTTGGTTGAAATAAAGTATATTTACTGCATTAAAAATATTGTTCAAAGTATTTTGCTCTGTCTGAAAACAGCACAATGCAAGACTCTTTGCTTTGTTGGCGACGCGATATAATGCACGCGTTTTTTGAAATACAAGAACATGCGTTCCTGGCTTAATCGGTTACTATATATCCACTGGGGAGTATCGTGATGCAACAACACCGTGTTGTTGCATCAAGATGGCCAGACTTCCGGTGATAGATTTTCGTACGATATTTTGTTTCCCCAATTAAACCCATTTCTAGGACGAGTTGCTCAATAACCATACACGTGCAGTTAGCGAACGATCTATATTTAAAGAAACTGTCATTAGTATACATGTACCATCACCAAGAAGCAATAAGTTCACGGTTATAGTTCCTCACTATTGATGCAACAACACCAAACCGAAGATGCAACAACACTCCTCTAGATTTGAGCAATGATGCAGCAACACCAATTAATAGTATAATTTCAGAAGACCATAAATCTCGAGAGGAACAGATTTTTAAATGCTACTATTGCAATACCGTTACCAATTAGCCTACCCATATTTGCGTTCTTCTCAAGGCATTCAAAATACACGTCCTGTGGGCGAAGATCCTTTATATGTATTTTCAAAAATTTATACTTTTACATATTATAATGTACTGGACGTTATTCTATAACATAGTTCAATCGCCTTTAACATGGCAAGCTTTAGTAACCCAATCTATTTTCATAAACCACTGTTCCATAGCTTGATGGCCCTGACTCCAGTTAGTATCATTCAAAATGGTGGACAAACATCTTTCGTTCTCGGTAAACATGATGAGCTATTGGATATCATCATGATATTATCTGTCATCCATCTGTGGAACAGTGATAAACTAGTAGATGTACAGGGGCGGATCTGGGAACCAACAAGGGGGGGGGGCCCAAATTTCAGGTCAGAGAAAAACACGTCCGCGCTTGCTGGGAAAAGAATTTTGGGCCCCTAAAACCCAAAAGTGGGCCCAAATTTTGAAATTTTGAGGCCCATTTTCTTCAAAATTTGGCCTGAAATTAAAAAATAAGGCCTTAAAAGGCCCATTAATGATCAAAAAGGCCCACTTTTTGGGGCCTGAAGGCCTTTTTTGGCCCAAAATCTTTTTAGGGCCCAATTTTTTTTGAGCCCCCAGGCCCCCCCCCCCTAATCCGCCAGTGATGTACGTTACCACTGTTTATCAAATTATAACTAAAACAGTTTAACTGTGACATTCGTGAGCTGATGTTGATGGGATGATTGCTTCATCTATGATATAATATGACATGATTCTTTATTTCCTACAATTTGGAAAGCCAACGTGTAAAAACGTCTAATTGACTTTATTAGAGAGGCCGTTTAGTTACACGTTTAATGGAAATCTTGCACGACGCACATGTAGAATTATTGCTCTCTTTGGATTCCTTCTCTCCGACTGAGTAAAAAGGTAAACAAAAGTGATAAGATTTAGGGCCCAAAAAGGTAAATTGATAGGGGTACAGTTATCCCAGATATCCCGGGCCCTCGGGAAATATCATATTGTCTCTCGAAATAAAACCAATATTGAGTCCCTCTCAGTAAATAACTTTTATATAATAGCATTGTATAACTGCAATATCATTAAACCAACACTCATCCTATACAACTCTTGAGAACGATGTACAACTCCTGGATAGCGTAAACTCCTGAGCAGCGTATACAACTCTTCAACTTGATATATGACATCATACTTTGGGTGGGATAACAAAGGATATACAATTGTAGACCCCTCTTGAGGTCAACTGGCAAAATTGTATACCGATACTGTAAACGTTGAAAGTACTGTTGATCACTGAGACCAGATGTCGAGGACACTTTTGCCAGTTGACCGAAAAGAGAGGTTAACAATTATTCTGTTAGTCCAAATAATATAATAATTGGACGAATATATAATCGAATATCACGTGAACATATTTGATAAGTAAAGGTATCATATTTTAGCAAAAATCCCCAAGCCGTCGAATACTTGTAATTTTTTACACAACTTATTTTTTCAAAATTAAAAAAATTTCAACATTAAAAAAAACAATTTTTCAAAAATAGGGGTCAACAGTACCTAGTAGTGGTCAACAGTTTACAATTGTTGACCTCCCCAGAGGCCAACCGGCAAAATTGTATACCGAGACTGTAAACCGAAAAAATACTGTTGACAGAGACCGAAGGTCGAGGTCAACAGTAGTTTCAAGGTTTACAGTCGAGGTATATGATTTTGACGGTTGATCGAATGGAGAGGTCTACTATTGTTTTGTTAGTCCGAGTAAACTAATAATACACATATAGACGACGATCATCAATCGGCATGGCTTCATTTCACAACCTTTTCTCCGAACCACGTTAGCAATATTTTTTTAGAAAATATGGAGACAGTGCAAGAAGCTTAACTCTGTATTTGGCACATCACGGCGTACTCGTTAGTGAATTAATGTTAATTTTAAGTTTCTATTTGTATTTTTGCTATACTTGTCGCCTAGTAAAGTCATTTTCATCAACACTTACAAAATGTCCGTCTTCCATGTTTTTTTGTGACGTCATGAAACTTTTTTCAGAAGTAGCGGTCAACAGTACCTAGTAGCGGTCAACAGGTCAACAGTGTACAAATAGTGACTGCCATTGAGGGAAATAGTGCAAAATATTTTCCTCAAGGGAATATCCTGTCCACTGACATGTTCCCGAGGCTGCAGGCCGAGGGAACAAGTTTTATTATATACCTGATAAAGTGATAAGTACTCTGTAAACAAAAACAAAATGAGAAGTCTTTTCATTTCAATATCAAATGTTCACAGGTTCTTATTGGCATTTAAAGGCATTTTACCTTTCAACTCCTATAATCTCAGATTTGGGGGAAGATAAAATGTACTATTGACTGGTCACATGACCTAACTGGTGATTAGTACAATTCATCTTCCCTGAAAGCAGGGATTTAGGACTTTCCAGGGAATTTGTTCATCTATTCCATGTCATGTGACCATGAATAAGCCAATGAGCATCTAGAATACATTTGAGGTATATAATAATACATAATTTTGACCGCTAATCACCCAATCAGAATCGAGTATTTCAGTTGAGGTACTAACAATACATTTTGTTGCCCGCTCATCAACCAATCAGAATTGAGTATTTCAATTGAGGTACTAACAACACAAAATGACTGATATCTGTTGTCTTTCCAAAATTATATTAGTTATTTGTAAGCAATTTCCATACGGTAAATCAAGGGCATTCAATTTAGAAAATGTATAATCTTTATTTTTCAGATACAATATCAATGAGATTGCCTCCCGAGGATTCTGTACTTTATTTAGTTTGCTTTGTATATCCTTTTAACTTTGATATAGACAAAGAAACCAAACAAAATACGTTTCGTCCATGGACCACTGACTCACGCGTTTTATTCATGTCCCGACCTACACCTGTAAACAGAACATAAAACAGTTTCTCTTGTTGTTCAATGATACATTATATTGGCGTTTTTGCATCAGCACATTGGTGTTGTTGCATCATCGATAAGAAACAGAGTGGTGTTGTTGCATCAATAGTGAGGAATTAAAACCACGAATTTATCGCTTCTTGATGATGCTACATGTATACCAATGCCAGTTTTTTAAAATATAGATCATGTGCTAACTGCATGTGTATGATTATTGAGCAACTCGTCCTAGAAATGGGTGTAAATTGGGAAAACAAAACATCGTACGAAAATCGATCACCGGAAGTCTGGCCATCTTGATGCAACAACACGGTGTTGTTGCATCACGATACCCCCCAGTGATATCGGTCGGCCTATCTCATCAGTCAAATGGATTGAAAATATCTCTCTGTACGTTTTATGATATGCGTTGTCACTCTACGATATTTGTAAACTCTCAAATGTGTAAGCACACCCCGGGAAGCACACATGCACCTTCCTCTTCCTCGCTCACGTTCGTTTTATTTAGGCTTCTTATAATACGGTTCGTTATCACAATATACATGTATGACATACATCAACATTGTTATCTACGATAACCTACTAAATAGTCTCATTTACAACTTCTGTAAAACGTCTTTACATTCCTTTCCTTTGAGGACCACGTCGACATATTTCACAGAGTTTGTTTTAAATGAGTTGCAGATAGGTAAGTTCAATGTATTTTCAATATTATAACTGCTTCGATCCAAGATAGATATTTCATGAATCTTTATTAATGTTGAACTATTTATTATAGTATAATGTTATCTGTATTAGATGCATAGTATTTGTAGAAGCCTCTTACAAATACTTACTAAACATTCTACCAAAACATATTTGAGTTCGTTAATATCATTAAAATAATTCTCTAATTACTAAACTAAATATGCAAAATTCCATTTTGTGGTTTGATTATCAATTGCTGTGATGAATATTATCTGTTAAACTTCTTGTATTTTGGTTGTTTTAGAATGAATCGTTTTCTTGTCACGCAGTTGCTGGCGTTCTTGAACATATTCTTTTTAAAGACTGCTTCGGGAATAAGAAATGTCGAGGACGATGGATTCGTTCTCAAAGCGAATAGGTAACATCTACCATTTAAAAACATTTCGGGTTTGATAAAACGTTGAGTTCGGAGACGTGGTCTAAGAAGTAACAATTAACGTTGTGACAATAGCGCGGTAATCTTGCTTATGTGAAATCGTTTCATTTAGTTTTCCAGACGATGTACGACTGCGCCCACCAATTGGGAATGGGCACATTGCCACTAATGTGCTCAGTGACACGATCTATATGAATGGAGTGTTCAATGGATACGCTGACGACAGTCATCGAGCCCGTATTCCGTCAACTGTCGCAATAGATGTCGTAAAGGAAGATACGAGGGAAAACAGGACTTATATTCTCAATATGAAAGACGGTTTGTAAAACGGTCTTGAAGACACTTTTTGGTTTTCTCGCTCGTTAATTCAACAAATTTAAGGTATATTTGTGGACAATATTCTGTAATTTAAGATTGTATTTCAAACAGATGTCTGCGTACTTCAAATTGAATAATGCATTCGGCATTCATCATTTGTTGTGCGGCTCTATCCTTTTGTATGTATAATTTATTTGCGTCGTTTGTGTGAGTGGATACTTATCCCGTTTAGATCTATTGGGTGAGAATCATACAGATATTTGGCCTGATGTCATATTATTATCCAATCCAACTTATAAACAATAAGCGAAAATAATTCATTCTTGGTGAAAAGAACAACAGACATGATCGATGAAATATATACGTACATCTTAATGCGCAACATTAACTTTCAATTCACTAATACTTAAAATGAGCTTTATGCATAAACAGAAGTTATGCTTTCTCGAATGCGCAAAATCTCGTTATTAGATTATTTGCAACGGAACAACCATTCTTATTGAAATTTTCGAGATTTATTCTAGAAACAATATCCAACATAGAAATAGATATTTCACCAAAATTTCCGATTTTATAATTTTGACAGGCCTTTTTCAAAAACAAGTTGCACTGTCAATAAAATACAGGTTTTGCACAATTGAACGTCATTTCAAATATTGTCTGACCATTGAATTTTCGGCCGCCTAAAGTCTTTCCAGATATATCTGTTGCAATATTAACGATTATCTTGTTGTGTTATCCCTATACGTAAACGTATGTTTACTGACATATTTCAGGGATGTTCATCCAAACGATATCTCGAAGCCAGGCGAACATTGAATTACGATATTTTGCGCATCGTCACATGACTAGGTTATTGATATGCGAGATCTCGCTCGAGAGAACTGGGGGATTCTTAGGTGACGTAATTGTTCGATTACTCCAGAATCGTGGTAATACAAGTGCCGACATTGCCTTCCTCGATGAAGAAATCTTGGAAAATAACACCAGGTATGTATTATTAACCGTAATCCTACTCACTAAGCTGCAAATCGTATTTATCAACTTATATCAAAAATCGGCTGATTTGGTTGCATGGATATATCAAGAAATCCCATCATGTAAAGTTTAATCGGTTTCAATCCATACTTAGATCCTATACCTGATATGTCTCTGGCAATGTGTCAACTCAAAAAACTACTACTACCATCTGTTTGATTTAGATATGCTTATGGGGAGATAAACGAGCCAGAGACCAACACCAGCGCAAAAGTACCTATACACCACTACTCGTCAGACGTCCCAAATACTTTGACCTTGACCTCTGGGGATAAAAACAAGAAGTGGTATTTCATGACGTCATTGAGTATTGATAAACTCGATGCACTGACCTCATATCAAAATGGAATGCAAAGTGTTAAAACCTTGACAACATCGCATCAACAGGTACATTACGCATTGTATAGTTGCATTTATTTCATTCCAAATGGAACGTCAATTCAGATTCATAACTTTGTAAACGGTAAAACTATGCGCCTCCTTAAAATATAAACTACAGGCGTTATCCTTGCAGGCGTGGAATACGTTGTGGGAGAGTGGCAGTATTCATGTAGAAGGGAATAGAGAGACAGAGCAGACAATAAACGCATGCCTCTACCATATCTGGTCATCGATGCCATCACACAGAGACCATGTGAACCCATTCATTGGTCTTTCTCCAGGTAATTTTCTGAGGTCTACCCAATCATAACGATGCCTTCAAGAGATTAGACGCAAGGTGTGAGCAAGATGCTCAATTCCGTACTTGTGTGTGTGTACAATTTTAAACATTTATTTTCTTACCATAACCCAGGCCCTCCTATACTCTAGACAGTGCGTTAATCTCAAATAGCCTCAAATTTTATTGATAAAACGGGGCTTAACAATTTACTACAATTACCTAGTAAATACTGCTTGCATTATACACGTAGGTGGTCTATCAAGGGGAGGCAAGATTCGACCAGACAAGAAAGGAGGGCCGTATAATGACTATGCTGGTCATGTGTTCTGGGATATGGATACGTGGATCATGCCACCTATAATGCTTTTACATCCGGGTATGGGGAGACTAATGATTGAGTCGCGCATGCGCGTGATGGACACCGTCAAAAGACATGCTGCGCTGGGCGGGGATGATGGAATACGTTACCCATGGGAACAAGCCTATACTGGTATTCAGAATTCTGGAAACGAAAATATACAATATAGCTATATCTTCATTTAGAAAGCACTTGTTTAATAAGTATGTGACATGACATTGCCATTAATCAATGCATGTTTGCTCATAATCCATATAAATATTCAACAAAACAGTCAAGATAACGTCATTCTCTATACCATAAATTGTGGTTTTAGGATATGACACATGTCCCTGGGATAAAGCTTCAATGTATCAATTGCATGTTACTGCAGACGTTTCTTACGCCCTGCGTCAATATCTTTACGCCACAAATGACGTCGACATTTTACGCACAGGAAAGGGTAGAAAGTTGGCAGTGGAAATTGCAAGATTTTGGAGCAAACGCGCGAAGCTTATTAGCGCAGAGAAGGGATATGGTATATATGGTAGGTATTCCCTTATTTTGCTTTATAGCATGTTCTTTTCTGTCTGTACTTGACACTTTTTGCACTTTACCTTCATTTAACTTTTGCTCACATATTTAACATTGAAAAGCCCGTATATTGTGTTTCCACAGCCGTGATGGGTCCAGATGAATACCACTACAATGTGAACAACTCTATTTTCACCAACTATAACGCCAAACTGAGTCTGCTACTTCCAAGCTATATTCAAGATACACTGGGAATGTAAGTGACGCATACATGCATGTATACAAAAAAGTGTCAGGGGAGAAAACATCCTTGCATGATCCCTGTTTCAAAATTTAGTGGTTTTTACTAACTTAAAGATTTAATTAGCAACAATATAGGAGAATATACTGATATTTAAAGCATCTGATTCTCTCATGATAATGTATCTAAATAAATAAATTATAAATCAAGCATGTTTCTAAACTGTTTCTTTATGTTTCAGGTCCTATCCTGCTTCGGTGCAAGTTGAGATTTCAAAGTGGCTAGAACAAGCAGCAAAGATGTACCTTCCCTTTGATTCAGAGTCGCAATATCATCCGCAGTTTGATGGATTCGATATTAAAAGTACGGCGAATGTTGATGAACTTATCACTTCATATATAGAGGATAAGTTGAGTGGTGTCATCATTTTGTTACATCGTTAACAACAATCTTCAAAGGCTTTTTCAGCCTACATACTTTGTTAAATATGTCCGATCAAATTAAAAACAACTTGCTCATACAGGCTATACAGAGTAGGTAAATAGAAATGTGATATACGTATGGCTTACTTACTTAAGATAATTTTTATGAATCTTCATTGCATTGATTTTACAGATTCTACGATTAAACAGTCCGATGTAGTCCTTCTTGGATACCCATTGATGATGGAGATGACCCCTACTGTCCGTAAAAACGACCTTGTAATATATGAAGAGGTAATGTTAACCATCCGGTTTACCTACAGTCTGTCACCTACGGGAGAGGGAGATATACAATATAATGTATATGTATAATGAAACCTATATATCGGAAAACCTCTCAGTGGGGACACTTTTTTATCCCAAATTGTCCTTGATTGTAATAAATGGTTGTTCGACGGCGTTGAAATATATGTAGCAAATTGTTTTTGAGAATATACTTTTTAGTTTAAGTTGTGTGAACACAGTGTATTGTGTGAACATTTTAATTACCTTTTTAGTTAACAGATAAGTATGGTCCAGATACTGGCACTTGGAGCATGCATACAGTTGGTTGGCTAGAGTTAGGCAACTATACCAAGGCCAACGAGATGTTTGAGGTCATGTTCAGAAACGTCAATGGGCCATTTAAGGTAGGTGTAGATGCTTTCATGTGGACAGCTCTAGAATATCGCCAAAATCAGAAGAATCGATGGGCGTCATTTTTTGTTTTTAATGATGTAACATCAGCGAGAAAAAGGATTGATAGAAACGTGGCGATAAAAGATTGAATGCCTTTGTTCTTCACAATTCGTGCCACGAGTAATCAGTAGTTCTCATTTTAACAATTGTATCTTTTCATTATTTTATTTATAGATATTTAGCGAAAAACCAGCCGACGGGGAAGAAGGAATGCGATGCACTAATTTTATTACTGGGGCTGGTGGAATGTTACAATCAGTCGTGTTTGGCTATGGTGGTATCAGACTAAGGGGACACTCAATGGAAATTTCCCCTGCAATGATCCCAGGAGCCTCGCTTTGGCAGATAAAAGGCTTACATTATCGCAGCGCCATCTTTGATTTGATAGTCGATAACGATCACATGACATTGACTTTGACGTCAATTGAAGCCAACAGAGGCCCGGATATGTATATTACTTACGGAAATACCAACGCGCACGGCAACAAGTTTGAGTTGGGAATACCAATAAAACTATCGCACCAAACAGTGAGGATAACCACTAAAAGGGAATTTACGGGCACTATTAGTCCAAGTCAGATACCATCGCTTTCCAATCATCTGAAACTAAATAGTTATGTAGTTATACTACTTGTTTATTTTACAATGATAGTTTCATATTAACTCACATTGTAGTGTTAAGCAGACATACCTATGCATTATAACAACAGAATTATAATGATATTAATAATGCTAAAAGTGTATGGGCGTTGTCTTTATGCATAAAAAATACTTAGTTGTAGAGGAATTCGTAGACTTGTAGGGGAGGCCAGATCAATGTATATACAATGGAGCAAAACGGTCCATTCGATGTTCACCATTTTAATTTCGAAATGAAAATGTTATATTTTACGACATCGAATATAATTGTTTGTCAGTTTGAGCAAACCTCAGCGATCTTTAAAGCAATCCATATAAAAGAGAAGGATTCATATTTTGGACGTAAGGACTGTCAAACTGACATAACGTGTGATGCGTCTCTCCTAATAGACTTATATCGGCATAAAATTACATGCACACAGTGAAACTATGTAAGCATCTAAATGAAAAGCACGATGCCATGATTGTAAATTATTATATTTAGATATTTGATTTCAGATTTCAAATATAATTTCAACTCCATGATTCAAATTACTAACGTGTCATTGCACATATTCTTCTCGCAATATCAGGAATCGACGGCAACATATTATTTATGTCTTTAAATGATCTGAAATGTCTATCTTTCGGTTCATCCGGGATTTTCCTTTCGATTACCCTCGGTCTATCATTGTCCAGTTTAGGTTTATCATCATCTGATGTGGGCAGAGTACTTGGAATGTATAGTAGAACCACGTTCACTTTGTCCTCTCTTGCGTTTAGTGCACCTCCAGCTTTTAATGTTTTTGCTTGGATTTTAGCCTTCAGAATTCGACCATCTGTTACATGAATAAGTACATTCTGGGCCAATGGTCGGTCACCTCCACCTGGAGTGAATACAACCTCATTTGCATAATCAAACGCGAGATCTACACGTGATCTTCTTTGGCGAATCATAGACATGTTTTCAATAGCGGCCAATGTCCCTGCTTTTGTGCTGGACGCTGATTGGTTAAACAGTAGTTCAGTCGTCACGTTCTTGTTATATGTTATAAGAGCAACTTTGACCGTTCTATTACTGTTTCCGACGTTGACGAATTGTTCCACCAATGCTTTCATGGCATCGCGAACAATAACGATGTTTTCCTTGGAAATGCTTTGCGAGTGGTCAAGCATAATGAGGACATCCAAGAAAACGTCCTTATCACACGATTCAATTATTTCTCCTTTATCGGTAGGCGCTGGAACATAATTTGTATAATTTGAAGTTCAGTTGCTTTTTATTCAATTTTTGATTTCGAATGAACAAGCTTCAAGGTACACTCCCCTCAATGAGTTTTACAATCGAACGAATTCTTGAATAGAATATGAAGTACTGACAATCGGAAATTCATGGCTTTTGGTGAATATGTTTGTGTGGCCAAACATGACCAGGCGTTGATGCAAAAAGGCACTTCCTGTAGTCAAACTTATGTAGGGGAGGGTATGTCATTTTACATCTCATTTCCGTATATTAAATGACTGTGTTTTAATCTGAGAACAGACTAACTCTTTTCGTAACACGAACGGGAAAAGAAGGAAAGGGGCGGGACAAATAGCTCACACCTACATCTCCACCAATTAAAAATGTTATGAAATAATATCAAAATCCTTTAGAGGGTACATAAACTTGTATGTACAGTAGATAAAGAACATGTCAGAGTGATCTAGGGTATTTCCATACCTAGAAATCGAATTTTTATAGAAAGAGGTTTTGATCAGCTATAATTTATAGTTCACTTCATAATTATCCCTTTCGCGTACCTTTTTCGTTTCGCGCAAATAATCCTCACCATACTTTATCTAAATACTATACATATTGATTTGCTTTTAGTTGTCAATATTTTACATCTATCTTGATGTTGAAAAGCAAACTAAAACATTGCTTAGTTGTAAAGTTTTCGGGTTAAATCGTCGACTTTTAATTCCTATATTTCGAAAGAAATTCATCCCCACCACTATGTCGCTTATTTCTCCTGTTGATGTGATACGTCTTGCTGCTAAGTTACTTCCTGAATAAAGTCCACACGGCGCTCTGATAATGATCACCCTCCCTGGATTATGCAGAAGAATTGAGTAGCTCTATAATTCTTTGGTATTAGCGGAATCCCACTTGCTTTCCCTATATGGTCCCACAAGCCTTATATGGATCTATCACATGACACCAAAAATGGCGTACAGCAGTAAGTAGGATTTCCTATTTGGTCCTATATGCCTTATATGGACCTATCACATGGATACCACGTGACCCAATACCAACATTGAACTTTGGGAGATCTCCCCCCCCCCCCCACGTCGATTATGGGTATACTTCAAAGCAATGTTTAAACCTGCACATCGCTCCAAAACGCAATATGTTGACATATATTGTTTTTACATTTTTAAGCTCTAATATAAAGTTTATGTAAATAAAAATTGTTTTTTCTGCGTAATATCAAAAAACAATCATTTAGTTAAAAAAAATAAAACGGCGACTGCGGGATTCGAACCCGAGCCTCCCGCGTGCTATACGAGAATTCTACCGCTACACCACCGTCTTATAAAGAATGGTGGGAGTAATTAAAAGCTACTTATTTTAAATGCTATGATTCGGAAGTGACGTCACGTTCTTCATTTAGAAACCTTTCCAAAATCATCAATCGTCGGCGCCGATCGAAGCAATTCAATAAAAAATCTTTTAAATGACACATTTATCGTAAGTATTTCTACACAAGATTTGCCCCATTTGTTCATCATTCTATAATCTTTCATTAAGCTCAAAATGATAGAGTTCACCCCCGAAACAACCCAAGATTGCGTTTTGGAGCGATGTGCAGGTTTAAAGTATTTTTATTGTGACTGATATCAGAATAAATTCAATATTGCCTGATTTTAAAATTTTTTATGATTATATAATGAATACATCTTTATCGATCTTACCTGGTTCCGTTTGTGCTCGGATTATGGCCACCCCTAACGCCATCAAAAAAGCTGTTTTTATATACATAATTTCAGCAGCCACGTGATTTCTTATCTTACCAAGGGTTTTCGAAATCGAATACATTAAATATTGCTTTTATCTGTTTCATTTTATGCCATACCATGAATATGCATTGTTCGTTTGTTTTAGCAAAGTAAGACATATTACATAGGCGACACCTCAATGATTATATTATTTACCTCTTTACATTGTGATTAATATTATGTAGTTTATTGAACTTCAGTGTACCGTAATGTTCTGTCAAATCTCTATTTAATTTGCAACACTAGACTGCATCTCATTGGGGAATGAGCAAATTTTGTTATAATTTATAACATTAGAGTTCCCTTTCAAATCTGGATTTCATGAAAATCGAGCCAATATTAATTATATCTTATGAATTTAAAGGTAAACCAAAATTAATCGCCTTGTATTCGCAAATCGAGTTCTCTTCACGAATGTGAGAGAAAAACTGTTTTTCAGAAACTACTTAATAAATACCTTTTTTGCAAATAAGGATACCAATGTACTTTAACCAATTGGATTTTAGATAAAGACCACATCTCTTTGAGACTGAGAAACGCTTCCAACCCACACATATATCTCACAGAAGCATATGTTTCAATATCATAGACGTTTTGTAGACAGATGAGTACTCTCAGCAGTACACCAAATACTACCACTCTTTGTATATTGTCATATCAAAGATCGATATTATTCCTCAGATCAATTGACTAATTAAAAAAGATACAAAACTATTATGATCCTAGCTAACGTTGATTTATAATACGTTGATTTATAATAATCAGGAGATAAATGAAATGAGTGGGAAATAGCAATGTATAGAGGCCTTCTAATCAAACAGAGAAGGCCAGAACGCAAATTTTAAAATATTCCTCCATAAACAGATACTCATGAGCAATTTTTTTACAATTATTACCACCTTGCCGGGCCTGTTCTAGGGGTTTTACTACAAGACTAGAAGGTATTTATTTTACTATCGACCTGGGCAATATGTGACGTCATAGTGGCGGGGAGTGGCGGGCCAATAATGCATTAACCCTTTCACGACGATAGGCTCCATATGGAGCCCTATTATGTAATACCTTTCAGGACGATAGGCTCCTTTTGGCACCATTATTTTTATCTATATACATCAATGAAATGGCAATATCTCCAGTTCTATTCAGTATTTTTACACCAAATTTTGACAAGTTGTTCTAATGTGATGATCCTTACTAAAAATTGTATTTCAGTGATAAAATTCAGGGTATAGGTCCCGGGGCGTAGGTATTTTGCAGTTTTCCCCTAAAAACTGCTCTTACTTATCCGTCACCAGGTCCAAGATTTTCCTCTTATATTCACGTCGGGAAAGGGTTAACGCCCGGCAATTTTCCCCGGGAAATTAGATATCATTCAGTTTCAGCCTTGGGCCTTTCAGCCTTCGGCCCTAGGAAAAATAGTTCACTATATTGCCCTTCGAAATGACGTTATTGTACTATTATTACCATCTTGCAGGGCCTGTTCTAGGGGTTTTAGTACTAGTTGAGAAGGCATTTAAATTGCTATATTGACGTGAGCAATATTGTGTCGGGCGTTAATGACTTTAGTCGGGCAATAATGACATTATCCGCCCGGCTATGTTTCCCGGGAAAAGTGATATCGTTCAGTGCGTAAGATTTTCTATTTCAAATTTGCTATTTCAGCCCTGGGCATAAACGGTAGTAATAATAGTAATAACGTCATTTCTGCGGGCAAAATAGTGAAATATTGGACCTTGGGCCTGCGGTCCTTGGTCCAATATTTCACTATATTTCCCGCAGAAATGACGTTATTGTACTATTACTGCTCCTAAGCATTAATATTTTATAGTCCTATGCAGTCTGCAAGAAACAAGACTGCATGGGGAACTTAGTTCAATCTCAAGTCAGATTTGAATTTCTGAGAACTCTGTAGATGATTTTGAAAAAAGTAGTCTATTTGAAGCAAGTTGAAAAATACCTTTTCGACCCTAAGAAGGTTATTGAAGGTGAAATCTCAAATCTTAAGTCAGATTTAAACTTCTGAGAACTTGTAGATAATTTGAAACAAAATTGGTCAATTTGAAGCTAGTTGAAAAAAGACCTGTTTGACCCTGAGAAGGTCAAATCTCTTTTGACCTTGAGAATGACATTGATGGTCTAATCTATATAGTCAGATTTGAACTTTTGAGAACTTGTACATGATTTTGAAAAAAAATTGGTCAATTTGAAGCATGTTGAAAAAAGACCTGTTTGACATTTCTTTGACCTTTTGAAGGCCATTGAAGGTCAAATCTTAAATCTAAAGTCAGATTCGAACTTCTGATAACTTGTAGATGATTTTGAAAAAATATATATATTTGAAGCAAGTTGAAAAAGACCTTTTTAAACTTTTACCTTGAAAATGTCATCGAAGGTCAAATCTTAAATCTAAAGTCAAATTTGAACTCTTAAAAACTTGTAGACGATTTGGAAAAAAATTGAAGTCAGTCCAAACAGTATTTGTTAAGTTATTGGAAGTTTCAAGAATTTGTTACAGACGCCAACCGCCAACCGCCGATCGCCAACCACCAACAGCCAACCGCCTTCACAAAAACGGAGACCATAACAATATGTCACCATTTCTTGGTGGTGACATAATAACATCTGTTTATAAAAATATCACTTATCTCATTAATCGGTGAATTCAGAGTATACGAAGGCGCATCATGGAATGAATGGCGTTGTTGTCTATATTAGATTCACCGAAATTTTATTTACAATACTTCGCTAGGAATATCTCTAGAGCAGGACGAAAGTAATTGCTTAGATCATGCGTCTTCTAGAGGAATTAAATTTATCCTAAAGATTGTTTTCGCATAAAATTAATTGAGCTACTGTGCACCATCTTTTTAAATTGAAGATCAGATCATCTTGTTAAACATCTTTTTAGCCGAAATCGCCTTTTTCTACCCCACAATGTCACCAAAAAGTGTTGACATTGTTTTGGTCTCAATTTTATGTGATTGCGGTTGGCGATCGGCGGTTGGCGATTATCGATTGGTGGTTGGTTTCTGTAACTAAATTCTAATACAACTTTCAATAACTTAACAAATGCTTTTTAGACTGGTTTCAATTTTTTAAAACCACCAAGAAGAAAGCTTTAAAAGATCAAAAAGGTATTTTTCAACTTGCTTCAAATTGACCAATTTTTTTCAAAATCATGTACAAGTTCACAAAAGTTCAAATCTATATAGATTAGACCATCAATGACATTCCCAAGGTCAAGGTTAGATTTGTGATTTCACCTTCAATAACATTCTCAGACTAAAAAAAGTGTATTTTTAAACTTGGTTAAAATTGACTCAATTTTTCAAAATCTTCTACAATTTTCAGCAATTTTAATATGACTTAATATTTAACTCATAATATTGTGTGCAACTAGGCGGTGACATTTTGTCATGTTAGTGTAGAAGTATCAGCACCCCAACAATTATTTCTCAAAATAAAACATCTACCTGAAACATTTAATAAATGAGCGCCTTATCTGGCAATTTTTGTATTGATTTGCACTTATTAGTTTCCATTGTTTTAGCTATTTTAATCGTTCACTTCTGTGTCAATATGTCCGTCAGTCCGTCCGTTCGTCCATCATTCTGTCTGTCAACACATAGCTAGCTAATTCGCAATCTTCCAAAATCTGTCGTAAAGATTCAAAATGGCCACATTTTTGTGGAAAAATCACTGTTTTTATATCTCTCTGATCATAACTCTACAAATATTCTATCAATTTGCATGAAAATGTACAAATACCTTAATTTGATTATCAATAATGTGTACAAATTTCGCTCAAATATGAAAAATAACATTTGCATTCGTTCGACTTCGCTTCGTAAAAGAAAGCTCCGCCTTTGTAGTTTACAATATGACCTAGACTCTGCGCACGGGGTATATGAAACTGAACAACTTATTACGAAAAATAATGTTTTTCATATATTTTTGATCATAACTCCACATACAAGCATTTCATAAATTTTCTTGAAATTGTATCATTCAAAGCCATCGAATATCACTTTTGAAACCATCGCATATTACTTTTGAAGAAGTGATATTCGATGGTTTGGGGATTTTTTACTCAAATATGTCATTCGATATCACAGGCAATGGGATAAATAGAGATAATCCTATGTGAGTCAGGATATTTGGATTATCCCGAGGCCAATATAATATATCTGCCCAAAGGCCGTAGGTCCCGAGGGTAGATATATATTATAATATTATAACCGATCTTGGTCATCTGGTTCACATTGTTCAATTGGCCACAGCTCAGAAAATTTCCATTAAACCGTGAAAATATTTTAGAATATTCATGTCCAGTTTTGTTTTTTTTGGCCGTGGTTAGATATTCACCCACATGTTTATTCAAGCTACAAAGAATTTTTGTTTATTAACAGAATGCTCTTTCCCTTCTGTAATCCATCGCACATAAACAGATGTAAACAGATCGCAATTGTCTGCGTTTTTCCATTGTCGTTTACAGTTGCGAACGTTACAAAATGAACCAATGTGCGAACGGGGATTATGACGTCGCTGGCAGATAATATGTTTATCCCATACCAATCTTGGTCATCTGGTTCACGTTTAACCGTTTAGTTGGAACTTTTAGAATATTCATGTCCAGTTTTGTATTCTTGACCGTGGCCGGATTTTCCTGTTCTCTCAGATATTCCCACATTTATTTTCTCGAATTTCTGATTGATTAACTGGATGCTCCTTCCCTTTTTTAAACCATCAAACAGATCGCGATTGTCTACGTTTTTCTTCATTGTCGTTTACAGTAATTACGCGAACGATACAAATTATGAGCGGCGATTATGACATAGCGGGCAGATATAGATATACTATACATGCCCGCTTGGAGTGGGACGTAAAGCTATATCTGCTCGTTGATGAAAGTATAAGTTGTTACAAACCTGCTTTATGTACCTATAACACGTCCAAGTATGAAATAAATATAGATATGATACGGGTAAACATTTTTCAGAATATATGTTTTTCTTAAGAAGTTGGTGTATTTTAGAATCAAAATAAAAGTTAAGCCGCAGTAAGTATACAGCTCACAGGAGAAACTGATGCAGTTATAAACAAAATGTTTTATTCAATGTGTAATAAATGCTTCAATATTTTACTCAAAATAAAATAAGAAATGAATGGATGCCAATGCCAGTGTGCTTCTATAAATGCGATGAGTCCATCAATGAGATATTGTCCTTGTAATTTTGGATCAATAAACTCCACCTGGGAGTTAGTATCTGAATTCGATGCCTCGCAGCGTTTAATATCCATGGACTTGCATAACTTCCAACTATGTTTAAATATAGCCATTACTCTACATAGATTAATTCTTCTCGGATATTATATACATCATTTTGTGTAATCAAAAATTTATAGAATCGACAGCAGTTTAGATCATACTGCCGACCACATGTATTATGTTACAGGCTTGTTTAAAGAATGCTCTGGATAATCTATTTCTGTTCCAAAGGCGGATATGGGGATCAATGACGGTAACGTATTTAGACAATAGAATATCGAGGCCCTCCTAAGACTCAATAGATCCGACTCTATGTCGATTGCATACGTGAGTTATTTTTTGGTCCGCCAGTGATCTTCATGGATCATGTCGCCATATCTTCTGCCTCAGGGGATAGTGGTCGCAGTTCAAGCCCACGATTAATATCGGATAGTTCTATAATCTCCGGAGAACCCCGACCGTCGCCCAATGGTGGACTATCGGGGTGATCTTCAAATAAAGGAGGGGGCCAGTTCATCAGATATGGTTTTCCTTTAGAGTCTGATCCCTTAGGTGGAAATACTAGATACGTTGTCTTTTTACCGTTTGGTGTCAGCGGTGGTGAAAAATCATCAAACCCTAACCCATCACTATATCGTCGCGGGGAACAACTTCTCGCATTAGATGTGCCATTTTGCTTTTCACCATTGGTACTAGGGGTGTTAACGGTGACCTTTATAGGAGGCAACTGAATCGGTCGCTTTTTCTCAAAATCATATCTCGGAACTGGAGAACCTGACATCTTTTCTGGATGCGATGAATCAATGCCGTTTCTTGTTGTTTCACGACTAGCCCTTTCATGTTTCCCACCAGAGGCATATTCTGGCTCGTTCATTTGGTGAACCAGAATATCTGTACCGCAGCAGAGTGACAGTTTGTTATATAATTTTGCGATACAAACATCGTGAAAATTTGTGGTGTATACCAATGCTTCTTGGTAAGCTTCAACGAGCAAGTCAATGTCAACGTGCTGGAGGCTATTCAACAGGGGTGAACCCCTTCCTGAGATCAAACTATCGTCCGACTGGGTGCGTCTAAACTCTCGAATAACCCTCCGAGCAGGAAACTTTTCAACTGGTTTCCCATTGACCAGATCACGTTGATTCGATTGGTTGATCTCCGTCGGCGGAGTCGGCACTTTAAAACCGGGTTCTCGGATAGAGACGATCGGGACATTGTTTTCGACAGCGATGTCCAGCAGTTGGAGGCAGAAGGCGTTATCAATTGTGACTTCGTTCATGATGAATATAAAAGCGTTGCAATACATGACGTTTTCAAGTATGTCTTGTTTCGGCACGATGTTAACTGTTTCGGGTGCGAAACATCGGACAGCAAAACATGGTAGCAGCGCGTGAATGACCGAGTCAAGATGGGTCTTCAACCGAGAATCATCCTCTAGATCGTTATGGCATAAAACGACCTGCCTTAGCACAGAAAAGCCATCTTCTGAGCCATTCATTAATGAATCGTGCATGTCAGGCAGAGTAAGAGTATTTTGTGTTGTACCAAATCCGTCGAAATCTAATCCATTCCGTGATACCAACGGCGACAAAAACTCCCAAAGACTGTCTGCACTTTTATCCTGAATAAGATTGGGATACATCGAGATGAGTCTGAGTGCCGTATCCAGTTCATCTTTGTGCCTACGCAGCCATTCTAGCGCACCGCTAAACGTGGGATACGATCCTCCGGGGAGTTTCTTTCGTTTTCTTTGAAATAAAATATCTGGCAGTCTGCGAGTTTGATTTGAATTCCCTTCTGAAGTCATATTTTAATCTAGACTTGTCTCCGTCGTTGCAGTATGAGAATTGTGGCTCTGTCGAGAAACAAACAGGTGTAGCTATTGTTGTTGCTAGGTCTACTAGAGGCTCAGCATCGATTCCTATTGATATTTTGTTCGGTAAAGCAAGTGCCGCATATGAGCTAGCGAGAAAGTAAACAAAACAACAAAATCAATTAAACACAACCAGGGATCCCGGAATGAAACATACTAGAGCAATAATAATGATAATGATAACAGTGTTCAAACATCACGTGCAATATATGGTATGCAACGGACAAATAATCCCCATCCTAAATTACCTATTCTATTTTGATTGATGTGACTTATTACACAATCAATTGACATACGTAGTCAGAAACATCATTTTCTATGATTATTGAAGCTTCTATAGAAAAATCGTTCATCTAGCAGTTTTAATTGACCTTTCAATCGAATTGTCTAGGCTCTAGGTCTATGTGTTGGAACTTGTCATCGTATTGCTTGCTGAGACCCTGTGGTGAATTTACTCCAAGCTTCGGTATTTTTAGGGATATATTACACATTTATTTTAAAGATTATTGTGTAGGCTAATATTTCACTATGAATTAAAAATTAAAGCATCGTGTCTATTGCCCTTTAGTTTAAAATAAACTTTACTATCTAATTTCAACAAGCTTAAAACTTGATGCGGTTAATTATTTTTCTCGTGTGTTTTTGGTGTTCAAGTCACCTAACACTCGTGTCCAATTTGTGAGCTATATTGTAGAACAAATTTAAGAGGCTTAAGGTATTGATTATTTGTGTACATTATGCTAGTTACTGTGGATCTATATATTTGCGCATACCGTACACTTAAGTAGCTCTTGGTGTCAATTTCAGGTATTCATATATTCCTCGATATTAGTTAATAAATAATATAAATATAAAAAAGCCATATAAAGGAATGAAATGTCAATGTCTAAGGACAGATAAGGCGCCTCTTTGGTGTTAACTGATAAATTCACTCCAGATATATGCATACCATAAGAAATAAATGATGATTTGTCTCGAGGATGAGTGTCTATAAAAGCCCTGAAAGCATTCAAATTGTATTGTATATTTATTCACCTCTAATCAATAGAGTTACAATAATAAAGTTACACAATATTGAAACATGTGACATAATATTTTAAGTTAGTGAACAGTGCTGTATTTCTGTATTTATGATAATTGCTCATTTGCAGGCGTAAGGAGAATTGGCTCACAGGATCGAAACTCGATATTTTCCAACAATGAAAATGTCGAAATGTCGTTATTTTCTTAATTTATAACCGATCATAAATTCAAAATAAACAGTTCAAAGATTTGAACCAATATCTCGATCATTTCTTGTGAGTTTTGGAATTTTTCGTTAGGAATCAGGATCAAAATTCAAGATTCAAATGTTGAAGTGAACAAAATGGCGGCTGTTTGAATTCAAATTTTGTATTAGGACATGCCCATATATGGAACAGAATATCGATGTTGCACTCTGGGAGCCAATCCTCCTTAACATCACATTGAAATAGGAAATACATTGTTTAAGCTTGTTCCTTTGTACTTCATAGAGTATAATGTAGATCATTTCAAATTGAATTGATCGTCATACCATCAATCGTCTTGGAACTGTTTAATCATTTAAAAACGTTTGAGCTAAGATCCACCATGCATTTGGTGTTTAACACAGGCCTTGGTATGACATGCATCTAATCTTGAACATTGCATCTTGGAGACTAAGTACAAATCAAACGTTTTGAAACAGCCTCTCGGGGAGCCGTCGACCGTTGACTAATTGTTAGGCGGTTCACCAAATATATTCTTCATAATAATTATATAACTATACATCCACAATTTTAACATGGTACTATAACACCCTTGGTATACGCAGCCAACGAAAATTGAATTTCATCAGCTATTGCCCCGAACCGGTCCGTCTTCTCGCTGCAAGCAGATTGCCCCGAACCGGTCCGTCTTCTCGCTGCAAGATGAAATTCTTTGTCACAAAGTTTGGCATTTTTTATAAAATCAAACGCGCGTCATTGAAACTCACAAGATGTAAATAGCATGTCATTTACATCATACCTTGATGGGGAAAAATAGATCTTATATGTTAGAAGTACTAAATAAAAGTTATCGTGAAAATGAGACAGTCGTTCTCGAGAGAAAAGAGCATAAATGCGCATTTAGAGAGTTTTGGTCCGTTTAAAAATCTGTAAAAAATTTGGGTACTTAAAAGCATCGGGAGGCATCATATATTTCAAATTAGACACGAGGAAGTCAATATTGAGCAAGTTAGGGCTATTTTAAATTCAAATAAAACCGTTAACCCGTACCGGTCCAGCTTTTGACCCGTACCGGTCAATTTTCGTTAGCTGCGTATACCAAGGGTGTATAATTCACATATGGACAATATGGCTCCACCCATTGCTCAAGTAAATGTAGTAAAATATAGCCTTCTAAACTACTATAGTCTTAAAACACGCCGAGAACAGGCCTCGCAAATGGTGATAATTAGTTCATAACATGATTCTTAATATTTAAATTTAAACCGTAAATTTTAATTTCGATAGTCCCGTCGAACTGAGTGTGATCGTTGGTATTGGAAAGATGACGAGAGACGATGAGAGCGCCCTCTCGTGGTATGATGCCGCTTACGATAATGTCGAACCGGAAGTTCATTTTGACTGGAATTTGAAAGTACGGATGGTGCGAAAGTTGACAATCCTGTTGAAGAAGCTCTATCATTGCTACTCTGGCTTCGAAATAAACTCTGTCTGCTTGTGCCGAATGATACATTTCTGCTAGTGGAAAATCGCGTGCCCAAAGCTCCACTTTTATGAAGGGTATCAAGTCCAGTAGAAGTCTGCGAAGTGTTCCTATCACTACTTCTGGATTTACTATTCTTTTTGCTATACATTATATACTGTATATCTTCACCGAGTATTTCTGACAATTTTTTCTGTTGGTCATCCGTATAGTCTCCAAACTCGATTACGAAACTTCCAGTCGATGAGTCGTCTGATAATTCGGCGTCTTCCAATGCAAAGTTCGGAGCACCCTGTATTCCATCGATTTCAGTGTTGCTTTCATTCTGCTCATCTGTTGACAAATCATCGTTGCTGGTTGTTATATTACCCCTTGGCAGCATTTCAAGTATTGATTGTCGTGCTTTAGACGATATACGACCTTTCCTGTCAATAGCAACAGAAGTCGCAACACTCTGATCTTCAATGTTATAGACACGCCGATCATCTTTAATGTCCGTGACTGAAGGCGTCATTGATTGTTTTTGAGAAATATTTACAGACGTATGTACTTGAGAAATGTTACTTTGATCACTGATGTAAACTGACTCTGGTTCGGATAAATTGTGTATTCCGTTATACCCATCTGGAATGTGAAGCTCAATCCAAGGTTTGTCTCGATGTTTGGATGAGTATACGGAGCTGGTGTTATCAGAGCCTTGCAATTCTGCACTGTATATGCCTTGGTCTTCTGAACTTTCACCCCTAGAGGAAGACTTGTGAGTCTTTTGATTGAATCTCACTTGCCGAGATTTGTAATCGTATGCGATTGACTTCAAGTGTTTCATTTCCAGTCTGTTGTGGGGATTTTTGTGGGTGATCGTGTTCACATGGGAAGGTTTCTTTCCTCGCTCAACATGGTTGATTATTGCGCCGTCCACGTTTTCACGTTGTGAATTTAAATCATTTGTCCTGAGAATGTCAATCGGATGTCCATCATGTAGAACCTTAATCAAAAAGATTGAATCAATATGCTATCTGTTTTTACTTTTTAAATGCAGTGTCTCGCTTCAGCATGATATTTCATTATAAAATAAAAATAAGCAAATCATAAATATCTATTGACACGCGTGATTGATAAGACATTACTTTACAAAACTCTACAACCTGCAGGACCATCGCCTTTCAAAACCATGCAGTTTTTAAAGTTTTGAGCAATATACAAGTGATTTTTAGCTGAATATTGTCAACATTGAAACCCCATTGAAATTTTAAACACCTGAAGTCCCTTGACAAAACGGCCTTGCAAGTAAAAAAAACTGTGATTGTAACTATAATGTCATCACGTTAGAAACTAACATCCAGAACAATACAAATTCACCTAAACGTTAAAACACAATATTTTAGGACCTCGTTTTCTAAGAGAATATTTGATAAAAGTGAATGACCAGTCAATGAAATAGTATTCATCAAAAACATTCTGTGAAACTTGGTGGTTTTTTACATTGTTTGCCAGTGGAGAAATGTCATTAATTTGTTTTTTCGCAATCCAAAAAACTAAAGAAAAAGCCCTTACCAATATTTTGTCACACATATCCAGCGGTGAGGCAGACTTTGTTACGAAGAAGAAAATGCATCTAGGAAACGAACGTTCGACGATGCTCTCTAATAAGGGAGAGTACCTAATAAAAGAAATGAGAATATTAAAATAATTTATATTCTAGAAAAACTATACATTGAATTTTCAAACATTATGTTTGTTAAAATAAATAAAGTATGGCATATATAACTGTAACTATGATCAAAATAAGTACGATGCATTTGTTTTATCGATGAATGATAATATGTTTATCATGATGGTATTCAATACTTTTCATTACATTGATAAGTTACATATCTCTGCTTGACATTCTCTTGAATGTACATTTTTTGCATTTATATTTAAATAGACAGCTGATGCTTAAACATTAAATATTCAAAAGAAAAAAATCAAGAAATTGATAAACAAGTAGAAGAAATGAGAGAAGAAAAAGAGAAAGTTGCAGGTATCGCATAGCATTCGATAACTTACAAATCGAATCAAGAATTGTAGCTACATTAAAGGGAGTGGCAAATTCGTTCCATTGAAAACTGACGAATCATTCACCTTCTCAAGTAATAGGGAGTTTAAGCTTGCAATGTTTTTCATAATCTAAACGACACGGAAATATTTAAGTAATGCATTCGTATGGGCGATTGGTCATACGTATAGGTTGGCGTTTCGATTTTATATGCAAGCTTAAACTCCCTTATATCCCCAATTACCGTACTTTATCGCATTCTACCTGCCTGTAAATACATACAACCCAGCAAAGGTCGCCGTCTATTCACAATCATTTCTCTTTCATTACCTATTCAACAATGGCCCATCACATATGACAATAATCTTCTGTTCTCGCAGCAAAGCACAAGTGAGCAATAACAATTGCTTCTCCAACACATCGAAACTATCCCCATCAACCAAGGTATATAGCTTATGTTTAAATTCATCCACCATTGGCTTCAGGCCAGTTTCTTGCAGAGCCAGCCAAAGCTCGCTGTCAGCGTACTCATGAAGCGGGTCTAGGTTTGTGCGGAGTGTGGCTTTAAATATCGGTATTTCCTATCGAGGAGTGCAAAAAAGTTATTATTTAAAGTTACTTGAGAACGTACAAAGGCAGCATATATAACACATGAAAAAGATATTTTTGTTTCACAGTTTATACCTTTACCTTTCTTGAGGCCATTACACCTTCCGACGCATTTCTTTTAACTTCTATATTAATTTTCCTTAAGTTGTTGAATCAATTCAAATCAATAATTTAACAGACATTTACCTTAGGTATAATGGCAATAACTTCGCTCAAGTTTTTAGGATTCACAGTCGCTATATTCACGCCATCTATCGTCACAGTAGAGGCAGAGTCGTTTTTGCCACAAAACAGCTCAGTAAAAATGGCAGTGTCCGTAAAATTCTGGCCATACACAGACACCTATATCAAATCAAAACCATCGATTAGTCAATCGATTTTGTACATCCCCTTCAAATATTTGGAAACCAAATGTCCACTTTCAGACCACGTGATAAAGCATGTCTATGTTTATTGATTTTTAAAAATTCTCCAGTCATAGATTTCGGACGTATGTAAACAAGAGCTTCCCATTCCAAAACGTACGTACGAATGTACGTCTCCGATCCGGAGCAATGCTTTCAAGATGATTCGGTAATCGACTAGTCTTGCTCAAAGACTGTATCCACCCCCCCCCCCCGCCACCTTCACTCTCTTTACCTGGCAATAGAGAGAAGGATAAAGGGGGGGAGTACAGGGTCTTTTAAGCAAGACTAACCAGAGGTACAATACCAGTCGCCTATGGTACAACTACTCAATGCGTTCTCCCCTTAGTCACCATAACCTCTGTTTTGGGGCGGGGTGTATTGAATCGATTGCAATTAGTATGTAGCACTTTTCTTTTGAACATCTAAATGCTAAAATATAGAAGTCTATCTGTTACCATATCTCCTTCTCTAAAGATGCATTTCAAAGGTTCTTGTAATACTTGGTTCCTGTATTCTACGTTCAGCGTAGTCCTCACTGGCCAAGATTTGGAAACTGGTATGTAGGTCGGAGGCTGTAGAACTTTATTGAGATCCAGTCTCTCAATTGTGTCATTAAGTAAGGATATCTAAAGAAGATGATGATAGATAACGATGGTATTGTATTCCACACTCTCTGATTGATCCATTCCCTCGAAATAAGAACCTGTATATTCCCATAGCGTTTATAGCATACTGCCCGACTTGCATTTCGTCTGGTGTAGTCTTATTTATATATTTGGGATGTTATTTTGTTCATCTATTTAAATTATATTTATTAAAATGAAATTCTACCATTAACCATGATCTGATGCTGTTGCCTAAAGTGATGACACCAATAATTGATAGAGTTGCTAAATAACTTACCATGTTCCCGAGTTCGGATCCATATTTCACCATTTCGTGTGCATTAAGATATGCAGCTATCATAAATGTTAGTACTAGACTAGGACCCGCCACATTGGTACCTGCGAATATACACATATAATCCCTGACTATATTCCTGAGCATATAATACGATGAGGAGCTGTCCGGGATATCGTAATGGTGCATTTGAAATTATTCGATGGCAAGCGAGTATTTTAGAATTCTTTCAACTATATCTATTTGTTTTGTTACGAAGTGTCGGCAACTAAAACAAATATATACCTATAAAAACGAACCCTAATAATGTAAGTGCAAGCGAACAGCATTTACGTTAACATCTAGTATTTGTAAAATGTGATAAATGAACATACCAGGGTGTAGCAAAACTATGATTAGTATTGCTATTATTGCAATTAGCTCAATGAATTGGATCCGCAAAAACAACCATTTGAGGGAGCCTAGCAGACTTATATTTCCATTTATTTCAGCAAGTATCATTCGTTTTAGTTTATCAACAACGTAAGACTTCACTGAATTTGTGCATGGCCCGGTGGCTTGGGACTGCGTCCAAAAGTTAATGTAATTTGTGTTATCTGAAAGTAAGAGTTATTGTGATATTAACCTATAAATTTAAGCTATTTTGTACTTTAAATCTAAATATATAATTCAATGTGTAATACTACTGCAATTACTATGATAAATAAGATACATATAAGCATACACCTAGTATCCATCCCGTATTATTAATATTTTTGGTATAATTATCTTTTTCGTGAAATTTCCCCGTCGAGATTTTTTTCAGGAAGATATATATCAGTACAGGGTCTCAAATAAGTCTGTTCTCCCCCCTTAACTTTTTTAATTATGAGAGAACATAGGATTGTTATATACCATCTTAAAGGGAATTTAATTTGCCGATCCAACACCAAATTTCAGATTGATTGACTGAATTCTGAATTTTTTAGAGCATTTCTAGTGATGTTCATATTTCACTTTTTTATGGTCCGTATGTTTTCCCCCAGCAGCTGGGACAGCCTCAATTCTACGAGGATACGATATGTTCAAATCATTCTGAACGTCTAATTTTGGTTGTTACCTACTTTTTGTGATGAAAGGTGCCCCTGTTTCAAATGCTTTCCTGAATGTAACACATTTTACTCTTTTACCATACTGAGAAATATCTAAATCAACCAATGTTGGCATTGTCACTGCAATATCAACTTTGCACCGTTCATTCACCATAACATAATCACGGGGGATAAGCAAAACGAGGGCGAAGCCACGGACTGCGACTCGCGTAATTCAAAACGAGGTTACAACGCATTATAGCTGAACAATGGCGGTAAATCCAAACTTAATTTGGAAGGCATGTTAGGATTTGGGGTAGATTATTGGTTTGGATATTCTACAGAATAGCTAGTATGTTCCAGTCGGTGATCAACATATTCATACTCCACCTGCAATGGCATTCTTTGTGCTCAGCTGTCCAATAGTTTAGCATGAACACAAATGAATTCGAAATCTGCCACAAAAAATGTAATTTTGTCAATATTTGTCCCTAATATACCGATTTAAACAAAGGAATCAGAAATGACATCGAATTAATATAATTATTCATGTTGTGTTGTTACAATTACATCTTCGTGTGATATTTGGTAAGCGGAAAACGTACAATTACATAGAAAATTGGAATTTATAATAGTCGCAGTCCATCCATCTGCCCAACGCAGTCCGCGACTCAGTGTTGCTTTATATCTGAAGCTGAACGCAATCACAGCCAAAGGTAGATAGCACAATGTGTGTACAGGTGTGGCCGAAATGGAGCAACTTTGGACAAAATTGAATATAAAGGGCTATTTTAATAGACCTACATCGTGTCTCAATCCATTCTGCAAATATATACAAGCTGTCAAATACAGCTGAAATCATGAATTTATGGTAGCTAGCAATATTGATGGACTGTTGGAAAGATCATCCAAAATTACATTAACTCACCAACTCTCCAATTATTTGATATTTTCCTGATATCTTAAATACTAGTTAATGTACCCTTCCCCAACAGCTTTTATTGCAATCATCAAAAAGTTAATTGTTTCGCATTTCTACTTCTTATAAAAAGTCTTACCACTATCCAATTATCTATATATTTAACCCTATCCACAAATTGGTTTGTAATAAACATATTACGTTGTCATCAGGAATATAGTTTACACTATCTTATTTATTTCGTGTTCGCGGCTGGACTGCGTTGCTTAGAATATCAATGGAGGCTGTGTTGCGTTGTTGAAATAGCTTTGTTTACTGGACTGCGTCCACTATGAATGCGCAGTTTGAATCTAATTTTCTCCTCATGAACACATTCTATTATCAAATCATTTTCACGAATTATACTCGGAGCCTCAACTAACCTTTAGGTATCAGAAACGTGTTAAAACTCCTTTCAAATGTATAGTAAATTAAATAATATGCACATATTTTACAGGTAAAATCAGAACTTTGCTACTGTTTTAGCTTGATCTGGACAACTGCTTATTTTCTTATCTACAGACCAACAATAGATACAGAGTAATATTTTGGTCACCGATTAGACACTACGATAGCATTTAAAATACCTGGATTTCTCTATTTTGTCGGAACAAGCAGAAGGCACTGCCGGATGTCCCTCCATTTTGGCGCTGGGCTGCGGTGTAAAGTTACGCGAGTCGCAGTCCGTGGCTTCGCCCTCGTTTTGCTTATCCCCCGTGATAATGTATACTGGTAATTTTACTTGTTTTGACGTAATCAAAGGTCAACTACAACCTTTCAAGAAACATTGTAGCAATTTTATTAGGAGGAGTTCATTATTGATTTTTTGAGGGTGATCAGCATTTTCCATAAGCTATAAAAAGATAACTTTAAAAATTAAAAAGTTAAGGGGGGAGAACAGACTTATTTGACGCCCTGTATATATCTATCATAAAATCCCTTCGATTAATGTATAACTTAAATATTACGTACTCCAAAAGTCAGTAATCCGACACAACCTGAGAAAATGTACGCTTTTGACAGCTAGGAGAGAAATCACAACTGCTGTGGCTAATAGTGCTATGAGCGCCCATGGTTGTGATATCGTAATCAGTACCAATGCTCCGATGGTGGTATTGATAGCCTAGAGTTGAAAATAAATATGACACGGTAGTAAAATCGTCCACTGTCGTTAGCTATTACCCGAACAACAGGTGATTATTAAAATCTTGGTTGTATCTCTTTGAATCATTTGATTATAGCTGTATTTGAATTTATGATTTCTAAAATGTGTTTGTGTGTAAAGTAATATTGATAGCTCTAGTTTTATTTAGATACTAAAATTATATATAATTATGACCAATATATATATCAATATCTCAACTATAACATACCATTGTAAATGAGAACAAAGCTTGTGGTAATTTCTCATCCATTACGGTACTTAAAACGCTACAATGCCGCCATGTTTCACCTAATAAATAAAAGAAACTGATATAACAAAAATACATTATTACACTTAAAACACTACAATGCCGCCATGTTTCACCTAATAAATAAAAGAAACTGATATAACAAAAATACATTATTACACTTAAAACACTACAATGCCGCCATGTTTCATCTAATAAATAAAAGAAACTGATATAACAAAAATACATTATTACACTTAAAACACTACAATGCCGCCATGTTTCACCTAATAAATAAAAGAAACTGATATAACAAAAATACATTATTACACTTAAAACACTACAATGCCGCCATGTTTCACCTAATAAATAAAAGAAACTGATATAACAAAAATACATTATTACACTTAAAACACTACAATGCCGCCATGTTTCACCTAATAAATAAAAGAAACTGATATAACAAAAATACATTATTACACTTAAAACACTACAATGCCGCCATGTTTCACCTAATAATAAAAGAAACTGATATAACAAAAATACATTATTACACTTAAAACACTACAATGCCGCCATGTTTCATCTAATAAATAAAAGAAACTGATATAACAAAAATACATTATTACACTTAAAACACTACAATGCCGCCATGTTTCACCTAATAAATAAAAGAAACTGATATAACAAAAATACATTATTACACTTAAAACACTACAATGCCGCCATGTTTCATCTAATAAATAAAAGAAACTGATATAACAAAAATACATTATTACACTTAAAACACTACAATGCCGCCATGTTTCATCTAATAAATAAAAGAAACTGATATAACAAAAATACATTATTATTCTTAAAACACTACAATGCCGCCATGTTTCACCTAATAAATAAAAGAAACTGATATAACAAAAATACATTATTACACTTAAAACACTACAATGCCGCCATGTTTCATCTAATAAATAAAAGAAACTGATATAACAAAAATACATTATTACACTTAAAACACTACAATGCCGCCATGTTTCACCTAATAAATAAAAGAAACTGATATAACAAAAATACATTATTACACTTAAAACACTACAATGCCGCCATGTTTCACCTAATAAATAAAAGAAACTGATATAACAAAAATACATTATTACACTTAAAACACTACAATGCCGCCATGTTTCACCTAATAAATAAAAGAAACTGATATAACAAAAATACATTATTACACTTTAAACACTACAATGCCGCCATGTTTCATCTAATAAATAAAAGAAACTGATATAACAAAAATACATTATTACATTTTGTCCTCGTGTGAATATTTACACAAGGGCTAAAATGATTCAATTATGTTGGTCATTTATTAAATAAGTTTCGAATTAGAATTTACTTATTTAAAGATTTTTTAAATCTTACTTAATTTGATATCGATTTGTCAATGTTTGTAATGTTCCATTTTTCATTTGTGTGTATTCATATTTCCCCAAACATATCTATACTAAAAAATTGTCGTTGACCCCCTTTGCTTGCACATTGCCTCATATTGTATATTAAATCAATGTTTCAGGGAGTAAAGATATGTACACATGAGTGACAAGGAGAAAAAAACAAAAATTGTTCCAAATCGAAGTGAACACAAGTGATAAGAAACGCAAACCCAGTTTATCCAAAACCATAATCCAACGTGAAAAGAAACAATGTCTAATACCCCCTCCCCAACCATACAAATCCTTTTGTTATAATCAAGGTCATTTCATTCATTCAAAAGCCATTACAATATATGTTGAAGAATAAATATAAATTTATATAAATTGATAAGCAATACTCAGTCCATCAATAAAGTTGCAGACATTAGTTTTCAAACAAGATAGGACATTCGGTCTAAAATGATGCGGGACAGACATAATCCAGTCTCAAGGTCGATAACCGTTATCAAGGGCCAACATCCATCCTCGTAGCTGACATAATAATCGAAGTCAGAAATCGACATTATCCCTATAATACATATTGGATTTCTATACTTAAATGTTTACCTTGGTGCAATGTCACTCTAGAGTTTCCGTTTGTTCTAAGCAATATATTGAAGGTACTGAGGTAAACCCTCTGTGACACATGACGCATGATGTAGGGTAAAACTAGGGCAGATATTAGTCCGCATACTACTGAGCCACCAGTCATTCCAATGTAAATATATATTGCATTCCATTGTTTGTCCAGCAAATCCTTCTCGACCTTTGCAGTTATCACTAGTGGCAAATCCTCAGAACTAGTTTCGTATCTTAAAAAGCACAAAACAAAACGTATTTTTTCTTGATAAAATAAAGATAATACGTTTACAGACACGGACTGGTGTTACGATGCATTACAAATACTTTAAGCCTACTATAAGAAAACATTAAAATGCGATTGAGTTATGATTAACTAATACTCACAAAGTAATTATCCACCAAATTCCAACATATAAACAGGCCTACAAAAGATATTAATTGTTTCATATTTTGTCGATATTGTTTTATAATCAGAAATGCATGGAATTTCTTATTTATTGATCAATGGTTGGAGATGAAAAACTAAGAGTCATTAACTGTTGATAAACTATGTTAATAAGCAAAATAAAATGATCATTCATTAAACTTTATTTACAATGTAATCTCCCAATTAACATTATTTTAAAAACATACCTGACACACTGTTACCGATGTGATAAACATACACATAAGTGCAATCAAGCGACATGTCAACAATTCAGACCAATAGCCGAAATTATTGAGATCGCTTACACTTGCAGGGGCATCAGATGATAATTTGCCAAATCTTAGTGTCTTGTTTTCAGGATGTGCATTGGCTAAGATGTTTTTGTGAGCATATTGAATATACTTATTTTCACTTGATATTGCCTCTTTTGTTATGTCACTTAATTTAGTGTCATTCTGGCGAAATACATTGTTTATGAGATTGACGCGATCTTGGCCATCGATGTCTTGGTACAGTCCATTGATGAAGAGCGTTCCCTGAAAAGGCATCAATATGCATAATACATAGGTTCGCAATAATACTGCTGTGTAAATCCCACGCGCCATTTGATCAAGCCTCGCAACACAACCATCATTCTGATACTCATAGCATCTTTCTGTTTCACCCGAGGACTGAGAAAAATGAGATGTCATTGTTTATCATGATGCACAACCTTAATCGCAGTAGCATTTGCAAGTACATATATATTTCTAAATATTAAAGAGTAGAAAAACACCTGAGAATCCAAAGCAAGTACTGAAATTAACTCTGTAAAAAAACTTTATGATTACCTCGATAAATGAGCAGATTCTTGCTTCCTCCGTAGGAATGGTTGGTGGTGTCCTAGAAATCATAATTCTAGTCTTGCCATGTAGGAAACTCTGTACTCCCCTAAAATAGATGAGGGATATTACGACATACGTCTTAACGATCTTTTTATTCTGCAATTCGCAAAACTGTCCTGAAATGCAGGTGGTTGAAAGTACAAGCAACCTCAGTGGCTACCTGCACCTTTAGATGATCAAATCAAATTTTCAACAAACGTGTTCACAAAATATCTCATTGTTATTCATACAGTTGGTCATGAATCATATTTTAATTTAGTTAAACGCATAACTTACCGGGGTCCATCAAAAAATTCCAAATATACGGCCAATGGTGTAAAATCATTAATGAGTACATAAAGAGGGCAAGAAACAATAAAATTATATCAACTAATAACATTTCTAAAATTTTACATAAAATAGCCATAAGCAGTGGGTAGTCCAGAAATGTTGTAACACACGACGGAATCGCAAAAATATAGCATTTTACAATTCGACCTACCGTTTGAATATTGCAACCGATTCTGGTTCGTCTAGGTAAGAAAATATATCTTCGAACACATACATATCCGTATCAGCATACAAAACCCTATAAATGTATAGTACATTATTTTATGTCGTATCAAATTGCCACATGTAACTTAATCTTTATAAAATTGACATTTTGTAAATTTGCGTATATTGTTTAGCGTAGAATGTAATTATGCAAACTGAATTAACTTGTATTTGGTTACATACCTCGCTATATTCACCTTGACAACCACATCATTCGCCACTTCTGATTGGTCCGCATATATTTCAGTAAAATCCTCTCGTTGCATAGCACCCAACTGATCTCCCAATACGCATGCCTCGATGACAGCTTCATAACGCTCCGGGTCAAAGTCTTTTCCCAGCAGGATGTTGTCCCGAATAGTACCAGGTAACATATAGTTATCTTGAGGGGCATAACTGATGCTATTGGTACAAAATACCCGTCCCTTGGTAAAGGGCAGTTGCCCCATTATTGCGGCCATCAATGTGCTCTAAAATGTATATACATGTAACCCTTCGTTGTTAATTCATTCATTAAAATAGACTTGAATTTATAAATTAAAGTTATAGAGTAAGAAATGTATACCTTTCCTGAAGCTGGTGGGCCAACAAAATACACCATTTCTCCCTGAAAAGCAGGTGAAGCAATTGGTACTTTTTATTAAAGCATCATTATAATCTTGGTAACGTCCGTCCTTGGGTATAACTAGAGGCAATGCTTACAATAAATACACTGTGTATATACGGCGTGGCAAGACAATTGCAAAATAACATGTACAGAAAACTACTTTTCTGCAGTTTATGTACAATTGTCTTTGTAGATCATACACCTAAAGTGTAGGAAAAAGCAATGGAGAATGTACGGATACATCTGTGTTTCAAAATAAAAACGGCAAAATTCACCTTTCTGATTTCAATATTAATGTCCTGAAGTAGAAATACTGCATCTTCGACATTTTTCTTTGTAGTTTTATTTTGCCATGACCCGGATACATTTTCAAGGATGACGTCATACATCCCTGTGTCTTCACCATTATGCATTGGGTTCCTGACGTCTTCGGCCTTGACTAGAAACTTCTAGGAATGGCAACGGTAGTAGTAAAAATTAATTTTGTCTATAATATCAGAGTGTGAGCCAAAAAGGTAAACCAAACAATTGTTGATAGCTCAGTCATTTAGTATGGGTATTAAGTCATAATAGGCACAACCATTCTTTGGTCATTTTACAAAACATTTTCCTTTGGTGTCTCTGTCTCTGGAGGGTGAGTGTGGCATGTTTCAGCACTTGGTGCACGTTTTTGTCTATTTTTGAATCGAGTAAAATACTTCGTTAAATGAAAGAATATTGAGCAAGGCTCAATTGTGCCAAAGGCGACAATAAACCAATGCTGAATGAATGAGCTTGTTAGGGCTATATTTTTGGCTCACCCTGTATATATGAACGGAATTAACTAGGATGAGACTCATCTATATTAATTATTGGGAAAGGTAATTATGAACGATATGACAAGCTATATGGATCATTTCAAACATTTTTTAACCTACAGACATGTGAGACACATTTTGCCGATGATGACCCATTTTCAAAAAACTGATATGATGCCTACACTTAGACTCAACACTAATATACAAAATGTATCATATAATATGTACCTACCTGGATCCTATTCACTGATGCAACCATCCGGATGCTACTATACACTCCATCTGGCAGTCTTCTTGTACATCCGTATTGAAAAAGTATAAGCCATATGACTATATCAGGTATCAATGTGTAAGTAGGGGGAGTATTCTGTCCGAGGTAAACTGCCAAAACGAGGCTGAACCCAATATGGGGCATAACAAAGGCTGCGATTCTGAGACACAGTCGGACAATCGTATTTGTTTGAACCAGTCCAAGGTAGATCCTAGAAAAGAATTGCCCTTTGTTAACATCCAGATTAGTCCCACGGATTAGACTGCGTCCGAATGCATATATTATGATGCTGGCGCATGTAAAAAAATATGAATAAAGAAGTGAAAAAGAATGACTGAAATTTAACCAATGCCCAACTGAGACATGTGCCATTTTAAAAACTTCTATCACTTCTAACCTTTTGAGTCGTTTGTATCTACGAAGTAGGGGCTTTTGCCATGTACTTCGACTTAGGAATTCCATGTTTCCAAATATCCCCTTTCCTACCTCCTCGTGTTCTTCTCTTGCTTTGGTGATCTTTTTCCTGACAATATCACATTGAAAAATATGTTCATCATCGTATTTTTATCGTTCACATTGCAGCAAAAAGGTATTTTGTATCTAACACTACATCTAGATTTGTTTATACATGTATTGAATCTCGATATGAATTCTCTGACATTTCTAAATAAAAATAATTGCCTAGTTCTACAATTTTGCACTATTGAAACAGTGACAAAAGTATTTTTACCTTATTAGCCAAACTCGAAATAAGATAATTTAAATGTTTATAGTTTATACCTTCCAGCTGCCAAGTTTGATTTCACAGCAAGTATAAGTGCTGAGACAACAACAATGACACAAATGATAATCAGAGTATAGCTGACACTTCGGAAGAGAAGCACTGCTATAACTAGTAGTTGTATAGCGTACACCCACGTGAAATGCATATATTTTATTCCACTGGATACTCTTTTGAGGTCATCGTTCATTTTCACCATTAAATCTTCACCTTCGTTATCAGTTCGTGTAGATAGCTGGAAATCGTTATACATTTTACTAGTTCAATGCTATCATTTCATTTTTCATCTCAGGTAAAACGTTATAACTATTGACTGAACATTTTACTAGTTCAATGCTATCATTTCATTTTTCATCTCAGGTAAAACGTTATAACTATTGACTGAACATTTTACTAGTTCAATGCTATCATTTCATTTTTCATCTCAGGTAAAACGTTATAACTATTGACTGAAGAAACTCTTTTAAAATACTTTTATAAGTAAGAAAAAAAGTAAAAAAGAATTAAACTGGTATTATACCATAACATAACCTTCTTATTGTGTAATGTAAATTAAAATAGAATTTAACAGACACTGACAAGTAATATCCACATTATCAAATGAAAGAACAATTTACTTTATTCATTATATGTAGACGACACGTGTAGTCCATAATGCCAGCAACATGCTTAGACACGAACAGGGCATAATGATGCAGCAGAGCATGGCACAACAGAAGCAGGAGAAAACCACAGGACCATATTATTGCAGTTTCCAGTGAGGCGGAACCTGATATATACCTCGTGATCTGTTTGAGGCATGTTGGTAAGCCCAATAATACATTTTCCTATGAAAATGAAAAATATTCAGCGTCAATTGGCAGTGCAGCATTCAAATAAACCAGTGGGGGATCCAGAAATTAACATTTTTGAACCCTAAAACCAAAAATTGAGCCCAAATTTTAAAAATCAAAGCCCATTTTTGATAAAAAGGCCAAATTATGCCAAAAAAGGCTCATATTTTGAGGCCCTACAAAGTTTGAGACCCTAAAAACCCCATGCCCACCCCCCTGGATCCCCCAGTGTAAACGTAAAAATATCTATATTACAGTAAAACCTGTGATGTAGAACACCTCCATAATTGGAACATTTGTATATTTCCATAACCAATTGACTTTTACAGATAATTAACCTCGGAAGTCGGAACTTCAGGTGGAACTCTTTAAAAGGTACCCTAGGTGTTCCACTTTCACTGGTTCTACTGTATGTGCATAATATACTCCTCAAAAAAAAGTTAAGGACCAGTGGTTGCCATTTTTGTTAAATTTCATGAAATTCATCAATTTTGACATCAAATTTTGACCCAATGTAATGGAGATATAACATTGAAACGTTGCGGACTTTATAGGGAACAGAATCAAGATACAGATTTATTTACTTTATTGGGATTTCCTTTGTTCCCCGCTTAGAAAATAGTCGTTCAAACAAATATGGGGGTTAACATGTAAACCTATGAGGAAAACCACTGGTCCTTAACTTTTTTGAGGAGTATAATTAATTAAGCAAAACTTGTAGGATATTAAGTGTTCCTAGGCCGAACCAAACATAAAAAGTAAGTATTGTTCATCAAAAAACTTTTTCACTTCACTGCTCGATTTGTCACTAAGGTTGCGTCTTCTTCAATTTGTGCTTAGACTATTTTCCCATAATACTTAATGTAGTTTCTTTGTCAATGGTATATAAAGTAATAGGCTACATGGCTAATTGAAATCATATAAGAGAGTGTTCTTAAAAAATGGTAGTGCATTAATCATCCTGTTTATATCTTGTTTTTCGTTAATTCATATCTGGCTAAAACCCATGCTTTTGCGTATAGCTTAGTACATTGTGCTTACATTTCATTTTAAATTGAACTTAAAATATCTATTAATAGGTAACTTACCGATATAAGAAATAAGAGTCCAGAGAGTATCAATTTCCTTCCAGACTTTCGGAACAATATTTTCAATAAAGATGTCTCATCATCACTACAATGTCATTAAAACAATCACAAGATAAGGTGAAGATTGATTTGATTTTGAAAATGAAATGAACTTGATATGCATTTGATCAATATTTATACACAACAGAAGCGTAGTCACTAATTATCAAGGGGTGCGACTTTTGAGTTTGCATCACTGCGGGCGAAGCGAGACCCCCACAAAGGGAGGTATGGGGTTCACCCCCAGGAATTTTTTAAGATTTACATTGTATATGGTCCATTTTAAGCACTTCAAACTATACTTTGTTAATTTTTTTTTCAACTTTTACAAAATTGCTTTTTTCTTTTCTTGTGGTGGTGCGATCTCCCTGGCTACGCCCGTGCAAAGCAATAATGATAAAATTACTTTTAATATTAAAATCATTTATTACTCACATATCCCCATCTTTGTTTAGATACGTCAACCCCGGTCGTCCTTTAGTCACATTGATTTTTAACTGTGATACCCAACAGAACAGCCATTTTGATATCCAGCTTATTCTTTTGTACTCCCAGAAACGGACTTTAGTTTCCTCTCTCTGAGTATTTAGATCATCTCTTGGATACTCCATGTTATTTTTGTATTTCGACCATAGATCCAGAATCTTTCAATCCTATCCTTTTATATTCTATTATTTGTTTAGTGTATCAACGCATGCCATTATGTATTCCTTTATTATCACATTTTGATCTTAGTTTTTGATTTCTACAGTATGTAAATTAACCCCCGTTTCTCTCATATATCATGTGTAGTTAAGTTTCTATTGCATTTTTCATCGATGACCAAAGTGACTAGTGTTTCATCTTTAATCCTATTAAGGGCAAGGTCCCCTAGCTCGAAAAGTGTTTCCCACTAAGTTTAACATTAGTTTTAATTGCTTTGCATTTTTTCCTTATGATTGTATATCGAGAACATAGTCATACATTTTATTCATATTTATATCTCAACTACAATTGACATTAATACGGAAGACACAAATTTGGTATACACTTATAAATGGAGAACTTGCATTTGCCCTTTATTTCTGGACAAGGGAAATTATTCGGGGTTCAAGGTTGCTTAGGGATTTACGAAGATTAAGATTTTGAGAGGATCGTATAAGGGTATGATCTATATAAGAAATGATGGGTGATCGACCGGCCTTGAAGTTTAAATGTATATCGCAGTGAAAACAAATAAATGTTTAAAATGGCTCTTTTTCATGGTAATGAAAATAGCTGAAACTACATTGATTTTTGCTCATCATTTTGTGTATTCCAAAACACAATGACTTTATCTAAAATCCGTCAGCATACTTTTTGATTGTTCTGAATGTAAATCGCTTTGATATTTGGCTCCAAGATTAGGAATTTCGTGAAATTGCTCGTGTAACAGGACAGCACGCCGCTTAAAACATGTCATATCTCAATAATAAATGGTCGCATCTTTTAAATTTGGTTTTGTTGGTATAGAGTACATCCATTCAGAGTATGATGTAAGCACCGTATTTTGTCTCCACCAATTACTAATTAAATAGACCCGATATAGTAAGTGTAAAATTTATTCTGTGAAAATCGACATGGTCGTTAAAACACACCCACACGTCGTGAGGGGAATCCTAGAAACAAAAATTATCTGTGGTTATTAAGTCCTTAATTCAGTTTATCAGACCATCATGTCAGAAATGTTGATAGCAATTGTGATTGGATTATAATGAGCATGATCTGAAAACTTCTTGGAAATCACCGTTTTGCTTGTGAAAAACGACCATGATGTTACTCATTCATTGACAGCACTTTAATGTGAAAAGGTACACTATTCTAGAAAACAATATGTCCATTCTGTTATAGCAAAAGGAAATTTCGAAAGAACCAGCATGACCCCATTTATTGACCAATTCGATGTGAAACTGTGACAATCGACATGCGTGAAAATCGACATGATTATACCATTGAACTCAAAGCATTAAATAAGCCATTTGTATAAATCACAGCGGGGTTGGTTCTATTTTATATGATTACTAATCCTTTGAAAACACATGTATAACAGTTATTCCCATAATTACGCATAACATCAACTTGTACAGAGGGTTTCGATAGCCGCTAACAAATTTTCTCTTTGGTAAGTGTGCATTTTATCTTTTATACGTCTTTACAAAATTACGTTACATGCAAGCAAATGAGAAGTTATTTTGGAATTACATAAGCATAATTTAGCGAAAGAATTTCTCTACAAAACCCGCTATGAAGATCATAATATACCAAAATCTTTCAGCCACTGAAAATAACGTTTCGTGCAGTGTATTCCCGGGAATCGCTAACTTCAATTATATAGTTCTTTAAAGTTTGGATTCAGTTTTCTTTTCAATGATTTCACCCTTCTCAGTGGAAAAAGAGAAAAACCAACAAGTCTAGTTTGTAATATGAACGATTGCATAGCATTTTAACGATGTTTATGTTCTAATTTTATTTCATCAAATTCATTTGCAGTCTGTTACTACGACGTGGTCTATTAGACATAGTATGCCTTCGCAAAATGCAATGCGTTGCAAAAGATACAGGGAAAGACAAAAACAAGTCAATGCCCGAGAATATACAAAAAAGTGTAAGGAGCGCAATGCAAAAAATTACGTTCCCCATGGACAAATATCGCCAGCCGAACTATCAAGACGAAACCTGAAACACAAAATATACATGCGACAATGGAGGCAAAAAAAGCGAGATGAATTGTACTCTGCTTCTCGAAAAACAAGAACCGGGGGCACCCCATTGAAAATAATTCTTCCCCAAATTCAAAGAAAAACAAAAAAACACAGGAAACAATTGAGTTTAAATAAAGTTATGAGGGGTGAGATCAGAAACCTTAGAAAAGGAATCGAAAATGAGAAAAAAGAAATTCGTTCTCTAAAGCGGAAACTGTGGCGCCTGAAACAGAAATCTCAGAATGAACATAGCAACATAAACACTACCGGTTCAACTAAAGAAACTTTAGATTCACCAGGAAGACAGTCATTTCAAGACTTAAAAGGAATTCGCACGACAAAAGATCGGATGAAAACCTTGAGAGCTAAGCTAATTGTGGCAAATGAATCAATAAGGGCATCTTTCCTACGCGAACGAACATTTTTTCACCAGTCGCTAAAAAAGTACAAATGCATAGGCGTTATAAGTTCTATTCCAGGGATAACAAGACATTCCATTAAAGCCGAAAACAAACCAAAAAAGAAAACTCGAAAAACGAGTATGAGAGCTTTGTACGGAAAGTATGTCGCGGAATTTCTGGAACGAGAAGATAATAGTACTATGTTACCAGGCAAAAGGGACTGCATTTCGAAGAAAAAACAGTGTCAACAAAAATACGTCTTAAATGATTACTTAAGCAACATATTTGACAAGTTCAAAGTTGAGAACCCAGCGATAAACATGAGTTTTACTACGTTTAAGAAATTAAGACCAAATTACATCATGCTCCTTAAATTTAGCACACAACAGAGGTGTCTCTGTAGCAAACACCAATCTATGGCTTTAAAGCTAAGAGCAATCCGAGGTTATAAGATACATGCATCCAGGAATCCGGATGTCTTCATTCAAGATACTTCGGATGATACGGCTAGAGAGATGTTACAGCAATTGCCCATGGAAGTGAACTTTGAAACATGGAAACGAGTGGAAGAGAGAGGAAAACTTCGTTGGAAACGGATTAATGTCAAAAACACGAAAGAGGATTTTATTACATTGTTCCTTAAGGAACTGGCCATATTTAGACAGCACATAATAAACGTAAAAACACAATACTCAGAGACAAGAAAACTTAGAAACAGTCTAAATGACAGCGAAGCATTGGTTTGGGTTGACTTTAGTGAAAACTATACATGCTCCTCAATGGAGGAAATTCAAAGTTCCTACTGGAACCAGGAACTTGTAACTTTACATCCAGCTACTGTCTATTTTAATAGTGGTGGAGAAATGACGCACAAGTCAATGTGTATTGTTTCTCCAGTTCTTGAGCATGATGCTGGTACTGTCCAGGCAATAGTAGGAAAATTAATTCCAGCCATCAAAGACCTTGTCCCAAACCTTTCTCATGTTCACTACCTCTCTGATTCACCTACGTCCCAATATCGGAACAAAACAATATTCCAGTTCATAACCTATCATCATCAAGACTTTCCAGGTATCACTGCTTCCTGGAACTATTTGGAAAGTGGTCATGGGAAAGGTCCCTGTGATGGTATTGGGGCATCAGTGAAGCGATCTGCAGATAATGCTGTCAAGAGGAACGTCCCCATACAGAGTGCAGATGATTTTTATACTTGGGCTACGTCAGACTCCAATAATTCATCAATATCTTTCTTGTATTTTTCAAATGCTGACGTGCAATTAAGTAGAGATATCATTAAAGAGCGATCTGTTGATCTGAAATCTGTTAAAGGGACATTTCAGATACATGCCGTTTATTCGAATGCTATTAATGTCATTTGGAGTAAACAGTTGTCCTGTTGTTGTGATGCATGCAGGAAGGACGTTACTACGTCACCCTGCAACTGGTGTAAGCATACCCTTAAATCTGCACCTAAAGTAAAAGTTACTCAAAGTGTACAATCAAATCAAAGTGTCTTACCTGTTATGAGAGATAAAAGGGAAAACATATGTCAAGGTTGTCAAAAGAATTATTTTGACGACATGTCATCTGTCATTCCATGGATCCAATGTAAAAAATGTAAATCCTGGTTTCACGAATCAGTCCAATGTTCTGGTAAAGTTGGTGTAAAAAGATTTACATGTAAATTGTGCACTTAGTTGTTGAAAATAGTGAAAATACATTTTGTACATAATGTTCAGTTCATAGCCAAAGCGATGATTGTATTGTGTACGTAATACGTACTTTATTAACGATATTGTAGAATAAATATGAAACACTGTAGTCTTTAATTTATGGTTTATGTCAAGTTTTGGCCTGAAATGATAACTATATTTACACACAAATATTAACTAAAACCTTCTCAATCCAGCTAGTCATGTCCTGCATATCAAACATGCCCATTTGTCAAGTAAGCGCTCCCTAAAATGATCCTAATCTCACTGCCATTTGTTTAAGGTTTTATTGTGAAAATCGACACGCGCCTTAAACAGTTAACTGGCCTAATGGTCAATACTTCCCCAATAAAACTTTTATCGTTTTCTAATCGTATTTCGCATACTTTTTCACAATCGCCTCTAATCATGTTTCATTGGAGTCGACCCTTCCTATTTTACTCAAATTAAAAAACGTAAAGCAAGCCAAAAATCAAGAAAAATGATGGATTAGAATGTATCATGTTCACAAGTGATGCACATCAAAAAGGAAATGCTTGTAGTCCAAATTCATTTGTGATTTTATGGGACACTAGAGTCAACATGAGGAACGTTCTTGGTTTTTTGAAAATGTTGCACTCTAATTTGAATAGTTTAACATATTAATTAGGGGTTGGATATACGAAAATCGACACGTTTGCGACGGGTCCTAATTTCAATTTGAAAATTCAGCTATTTTTCCTGGGAGTTTACTTCAATGTCTTTGGTAACTTGTGTACAACTGTATGCAGATACATACCGCATGGCTATTTGAAAAAAATACTCCAGTGCTTTTTTCACTTTTTTGCAAAATTTGTTTCTCACTTAACTGGTTTTCAGTGATCGGCCAATTCGTTACAATTATTCTTGAAACTGCATTTTAAAGATTTTGTTTGAGTATTGGAGATGCGAGAATTTGGTTATTTTTCTTTACTCATTTACTTTTTGGATGGCTTTA